GCTCCGCGCTGCAGGCTGCCGCCCGCAAGCCTTGCGCGCCGGGGGGGGAGTTCCCCCAGGCGCCCAAGGCTTGCGGACAGCTGCGCGAAGCACGGGGCGTCCTCCAAAGGGCGCCCCGCGCTCCGCGCTGCAGGCTGCCGCCCGCAAGCCTTGCGCGCCGGGGGGGGAGTTCCCCCAGGCGCCCAAGGCTTGCGGACAGCTGCGCGAAGCACGGGGCGTCCTCCAAAGGGCGCCCCGCGCTCCGCGCTGCAGGCTGCCGCCCGCAAGCCTTGCGCGCCGGGGGGGGAGTTCCCCCAGGCGCCCAAGGCTTGCGGACAGCTGCGCGAAGCACGGGGCGTCCTCCAAAGGGCGCCCCGCGCTCTGCGCTGCAGGCTGCCGCCCGCAATGTTTGGATTTGCATCCAGCAGGAGATGCCGCCGCCCCGCCTCTCCCGCCTCCCTCCCACGGCACACCAGGCAAGGTCTCATGGCACACTGGTGTGCCGCGGAACACCGGTTGGGAAACACTGGACTAGAGCACACCAGGCACTCCTGTCTTCCACTGCCTCCTGCAGTTTGGTCATACTCATGCTGGTAGCTTCGAGAACACTGTCCAACGATCTCATCCTCTGTCGTCCCCTTCTCCTTGTGCCTTCCATCTTTCCCAACAGCAGGGTCTTTTCCAGGGAGTCTTCTCTTCTCATGAGGTGGCCAAAGTACTGGAGCCTCAGCTTCACGATCTGTCCTTCCAGTGAGCACTCAGGGCTGATTTCCCTAAGAATGGAGAGGTTTGATCTTCTTGCAGTCCATGGGACTCTCAATTGTCTCCTCCAGCACCATAATTCAAAAGCATCAATTCTTCGGCGATCAGCCTTCTTTATGGTCCAGCTCTCACTTCCATACATGACTACTGGGAAAACCATAGCTTTTACTATATGGACCTTAATCCGTATTCAGTAATTCAGTAGACTTCTGACTAAACCACTAGGCATGACTGAAAGAACCACATTTGTTTCCCCACCTCATCTCTCTCCGTCCTGTTTCATATAAAATGATGGAATCAGTTAAAAGGACCTGCGGTCAACGGAAGCCAAGTCTAGCCCCCCTACTTTCTCTTAGGCAGCCTCACCCCTCATATTTTTCTCCCCTAGCCTGGCTGTCACCAGATGGAAGAATAAAAATGACACAGTGGTACCTCAGGTTAAGAACTTAATTCATTTTGGAGGTCTGTTCTTAACCTGAAACTGTTCTTAACCTGAAGCACCACTTTAGCCAATGGGGCTTCCCGCTGCCGCTGCACCACTGCTGCACGATTTCTGTTCTCATCCTGAAGCAAAGTTTTTAACCCGAGGTAATATTTCTGGGTTAGCGGAGTCTGTAACCTGAAGCGTATGTAACCCGAGGTACCACTGTATAAGGTGTCAGCAGGAAATGTACTCCCCAGTCAGTGTGTTTAGGATTGCAACCCAGGACTAGCCCTAGAAAAGTTGGCCTTCGTGCACTAGATCTTGTGAGTCCTGGCAAACAAGGCTTGCTTCTGGCAACGGAGCAATTGGCAGCTCGATCTTTAATTATTTCCCTGTTGCCTGCAAAGTATCGGCTTCCGTTTCCACCAGCTTCCCTATAAAACAACAACAACAAGCCCTGCATTTCAAGGGAGCCTTAACCACGATACATCTCATCTCATCTCTCTCTCAACTTTGTTAGGAGACCTGAGCGAGCAAGCCCATAAATCTTCACCCTGAGGTTGGCATCAGTGGCGGAGAAAGCGGGTGCGGGGGTTGCGGCTCGCCCCAGGTGCCATCCCTGAAGGGGGGTGACAAAATCTCCCCTGGGCGGATCATCGCCATGCCAATAGGGACACGGTGCGCTGTGGGGCCCATAGCAGTCAACTTACAGATTTGAAAATAAGGGACCAGCAGCCTCGAAAATAAGGGTTCAGCAGCCGAAATAAGGGATTTTAGTCAACCAGCAGCCAAACGAATCCTCAAGCAGTGGTTCCCACAGCGCAGCAACCCGGCAAAGGGGATGCAGCAAGGAAAACCACCGTCACCTCTCCGTTGGGAAGCGCTGAGCAAAGGCAAGTTCCCAGGCAACGTGGCCGGGCACAAGGCATGCAAGCTCCACTCCCCAGTCGTTCTCAGACTCCTTATTGGGTGAGCAATGCAGCCAAGCAACACAGTTGGAGCCTCCCTCCTCCCTGGCCGGCAGGGAGGGAGGGAGAGGAGCTGCTTCCTTTGAAACCCAGGAAATTTAAGGGACATCATCAATCCGGGACAGCAACGGGAAACGGCGCTGGGATAAGGGACTTTCCCACCAAATAAGGGACGGTTGACAACTATGGTGGGGCCTCAGTCACCCTACAGTTGGGGGGGGGGAGGCAGCGGGTGGGATGGGCTGTCATGGGCGCTGCGTCCCCAGGTGCCCAAGAGGCTTCCTCCATCGCTAGTTGGCATTTCCACCTGGGAAGTCCTTTAGAAGCCTTGTTTGTGCCTTCCTAGCTTTGGGAACCAGCAGGTCTTAAGGACAGCCTTGCTGGAATGCAGACCTCTTTGCAGTTGGACTTTTCCTACTGCCTCTCTGCCTGCCCCTTCTAAATCTCTCCCCGGGTCACTCTGGAGTCTTCTTGCTGTTATTTTTGCATAGAGTACAGCACATACTTTCGTGCCATCCTAATAGGCCTCATTTATACTACGTGAAGACAAGTTGTCTCAGGCCTGTTTACAAACCCCTAATAAGCGCCAGGCCACCCAGTTTGTCCAGCTGACGGCTGTTCTCAAGTGTCAGTGCACTACCAGGTTGGACTTGCAGGGAACAAGTGCCTCGACAGAGTTGTTGCTCTGGGCATCATCATATCTCATTTATTGATGAGGAAAGATCATTTGGAAAGGGCAGAAGAAGCATCTATCTGATCTAATTCTTGCTGATTCTTCTTACGAGCTCCAGAGGTGTTCTGAACACCTTTAAACGTGTTGCCTTAGAAGCCCTAACTTACCTGGAACGTAACCATATACATTGGTACCTCGGGTTAAGTACTTAATTCGTTCCGGAGGTCCGTACTTAACCTGAAACTGTTCTTAACCTGAAGCACCACTTTAGCTAATGGGGTCTCCCACTGCCACCATGCTGCCGGAGCACGATTTCTGTTCTCATCCTGAAGCAAAGTTCTTAACCTGAAGCACTATTTATGGGTTAGCGGAGTCTGTAACCTGAAGCGTATGTAACCTGAAGCGTATGTAACCCGAGGTACCACTGTAGTCACAACCAGGCAGGAGTCAAGGTCCAAGGAAACAGAACCTGGGCAGAAGATCCACACCGTGAGGGACAAGTTGCTTGGATGAAGGAGCAAGTTCTATTTGTAATTTTTCCTTTTTTCTTTATTTAACATAATTGTTACAAAATATAAGCAAAATATTGCAAATACATACATACATACATACATACACACACAATCTTTCAGATAAGGACATTTATATGAAAAAAGGAACAAAAGAGAAGAAAAGAAAAAAGAAGGGAAAAAGTTGGAAGAATTTCTTCCAAGTTTATTCTACAAATATCTCAATATGAAAATAATAATAAAATTTCATTGACTTCCATCGCTTACACTGCACTTCCTATATGCATTTTAAGCAAGACTGTATCTGTTATTCCGCATTTTCCCCATACAGTCTCACACAAATATTCTAATCAACAAGTTTTCTAAATCTTTCATAAATCTATTCTAAACACAACCAATACCTTACATTTAATCCTTGTCTACATAAATAATCATTTAGACATTTCCATTGCTTCTGGATTCTATTTTTTGGTTTTGTCTTATCAAATCAGTCAACAAGTCAGGAGCAAGTTCTAAGGTCAAGACATCATTAGGTCTAACAGTGTTTCTCAAACTTGGGTCCCCAGCTGTTGTTGGACTACAACTCCCATCCTCCCTGACCACTGGCCCTGCTAGCTAGGGATGATGGGAGTTGTAGTCCAACAACAGCTAGGGACCTAAGTTTGAGAAACACCGGTCAGGTATGTCAAGGGCTGGTGGGCAGCTTAGGCTAGTACTGCAACTCCCCCCGGCGTCTAAGAGGATTGTGTTGTAGGCCTTAAAAAGTGGCTTAGATTACAGTGGGTTAAGAGAGCAGAGGTTTATGAGGCTTATGCCGAGAGTCACATTACATGAGAACCAAGTCGCTTCTGCATAAGGCAGCGTGCGAATCCGGCCTGCATTTTTGTCATGTTTGGTGAATGTATATGTGCCTCCCAATGTACACAGAGGCAAGCTATGACTAGTAGCTGATTCTTCCCTGTGAGCATGCGGTGAAGCAGAAATATTTTGCCATGTGTCAAACCCCACTGAATATTTTGAGTACAGGAGCATAAGTTTCCTATGTGGAAGTTATGCCCATGCAAGGAATTTTCTTCTGGTCCGGGCGGTCCTGATTCTTCTTGGAGTACCGTGGCCCTGCCGTGGTTGCTGTCAATTCTCTCCTCACCCCCTATAAAGATATTTGCAATTTCAGTTCTGCAGAAAGAGACAGTGAGCTAAAGGCTCCAGTCGTCTCCATTTCCTGTTCATTTAGTTAATGTTACTTTGATGTCCCAACTTTCCCCCACGGAGTTCGATGTGTACAGGCTCCCCACCTCCATTGAATCCTCACAACAATCGTGAGAGGTAGGTTAGGCCAGGAGATGGTGACTGGCCCCAAGTACAACCCAGTGGGCTAAGTGGAGATTTGAAAGCTGATCACCCAGGCTCTGGTCTGATGCTGGAACCACACAAGCTCTAGTTTCTGCAGAAAATTCACCCAGGGAAAAAACAACAACAACCCGCCGCGAATTCCCCATTGCTAGGGAGAAAACAAAACCCACAGCCCTCCTCCTACTGAGCCGCTGTTGACGACTGTAGAAATATTTGCCTGACAGCTGGTGTGATCCTTGCCCCGTTGAGCTGGAACGGGTGGCATGCATAGTAGATGCCGGTTATTTGAAAATGACGACATTCAGTCACCCTCCAGCCACCATCGCACCGAGGCTGAGCTTGCCTGCTTTCCTCATCCAGGTTTCAGCCGACTGTTTCTGCAAAGGACTTCTCCCTCCCTTTCCTCCTCTTCGAGCCGGCAAGTCCCTCTCCACCGATTCCACCCCGATCTGCCGAAAAGAATTGCGGTTCTGGCTGCTGTCCAAGTGAGAGGGGGACTGTGCCAGGCAAGCTGGGAGGAGGAGGACGACGAGGCAAATGACATGACTCAGATGAGCTCTTCTAATTATAAAGCACAGCCGGGGGTGGGATGGAGTATTTAAAGGTGTCGGAAGGACAGGAAGACGGTTTCCTGATGCCAGTTCTTCCTACACTTCAGCCAAGCAGGACACACACAGCATGCTTCGGACTCGGGGTGATAACTCTACGCCCCAGTTGAAATGAGGATTGCAGAATATGGCACCTGCTCTGGTAGAAGAACCTGACCAAAGGTAAGGGGGCAGTGTGTCCAATTTTAGCTCTCTAGTACAGTGGTACAGTGGTATCTCGGGTTACGTTACCTTCGGGTAACGTAATTTCGAGTTACGAACATGGCAAACCCAGAAGCGCTTTATCGCGCCGTGCGTGTGCGCAGAAGCGACGCCTGCGGATACGGGCTTTTCGTATGGACTCCCAGGACAAATTAAGTTCGTATCCAGAGGGTCCACTGTACCTTGGTTCTCAAACGCCTTGGTACTCAAACAACTTGGAAACCAAACACTGCAAACCCGAAAGTAAGTATTCCGGTTTGTGAACCTTTTTTGGAAGCCAAACATGCTCTGTTTTGAGTGTTACGCTTCCGATTTGAGTGCCACACTTCCGTTTTGAGTCTTACGCTGAGGTCTGTCTGGTTTTGCTATTTATTTTGCTTTTTTGTTTTTGCGGCTCTTTTTGTTTTCTTTTTGTGACTGCGTAGAACCCAGTTCAGCTACTGATTGATTGATTGCGTGACTGCAATACATTGTTTATTGCTTTTATTTTATGGATCAGTGGTTTCGTTAGGTAGTAAAATCCATGTCAATTTGCTGTTTCAGGGGTGGTTTTTAAAAGTCTGGAACGGATTAATCTGTTTTGCATTACTTTCTATGGGAAACCGTGCCTTGGTTTTGGAACGCCTTGGTTTTGGAATGGACTTCCAGAATGGATTTAGTTTGAGAACCAAGGTACCACTGTAAATATTTCTGGCCTCTTGCATTGATGCGGGTGCCGCATTGACCAGCCTGTGTCGTATAGTTTAATTTCTAGTCCCGTCCTGGTTTTGAGGCATTGGTCAACTGCAGCTGTTGTTGAGAGAGTTTCTGGTTGTTGTTTTTAGGCGGCTTGGAGCTGGTCAGAGCTACAAAGGTCTATAGCTATCACACATCCAAAGGATTGGCAAGGGTTATGCGAGGAAACTTGTGAGATGCCTGGAGGTGTGCCATTCCTGTTGCAGGGTTTTTGTTGTCATAATGGCAAGCGCAGTGATCCGTCAACTTGGGCCTTCCCAAATTCAGACCTCGCCTCTGTCATTAACCTGTTAGGCAGGGTTAGGCAGTCCTCCAGCGGCAATAAAAGAACAAATTACTGACCTACTTTACAGGATTGTTGTAGAGGTTTGCAACACAATGTGGCTGATATTTTTTACATGGCATTGTCCTATTACAGATTGAAAAGCAGACTAATTGTTACAGTTAGATAGTATCACATATAAAGAACTTTATACGTTTTCTCCTTACCAATCTACAGTGGTACCTCGGGTTACAGACGCTTCAGGTTACAAACGCTTCAGGTTACGGACTCCGCTAACCCAGAAATAGTGCTTCAGGTTAAGAACTTTGCTTCAGGATGAGAACAGAAATTGTGCTCCGGCGGCGCGGCAGTAGCGATGGGGCCTCCTGCTGCCGCTGCACGATTTCTGTTCTCATCCTGAAGCAAAGTTCTTAACCCGAGGTACTACTTCCGGGTTAACAGAGTCTGTAACCTGAAGCGTCTGTAACCCGAGGTACCATTGTATTGGTTATGGGGCAAAATGAATGATCTGGGAGCAGCTGGTGTGGTATCATTGCTGAAATTAAGCAGGTACAGACAGACCTTATCACTCCCTTTGATGGGAGAACACTGGGAGAGTAGGATATATTTCTTAAAAATAAGTGTTCAGGTTGCTTTCTTCACACCATTGCAATATTATCAACATGGGTCAAGGTTGTTTGCATCTTTCTTTCATATTTTTTGGGGGGGTCAAATTTTTATTAAACTTTAAAATATTCACATATATATTCCAGATTCCAAATTTATTATACATTTCTCTTTAAATTTTGACTTCCCGGCGTTCGCTCCACACTGTTCTTAATCCCATCCCATTTACAAGATTGCATTCTAACCAACATTTCACCTAAGACACATTATTCTATTTCATGTGTTATCAACCTTCTACCACTCCTCATGTTTCAAATCCTGCTCGTGATTTCATCTGATTATATATTTTTTCAGATATTCCAAAAAGGACTTCCATTCTTCCATGCATAGTCTGCCATTCTGGTTTCTTACTTTTGCCGTTAGTTCTGCCAGTTCTGCATAGTCCATTCGCTTTAGAATCCATTCTTCTTTTACTTCTTTCATTTTTAAGCAGCTAGTGCCTAGGTTGATTCAGTTGTTCAGAATAGGCCAGCATGACTTCGGATTCCTAAACAAAGCCCACATGGAGACTCTCTGTCTCTCTGGAGCACAACAGGATAAGAAGGAAAGCACATTTCTCCTAAGCTACCTTTCAAAATGGGACGAGGGTGGCGCTGTGGGTTAAAGCACAGAGCCTAGGGCTTGCTGATCAGAAGGTCGGCGGTTCGAATCCCCGCGACGGGGTGAGCTCCTGTTGCTCAGTCCCTGCTCCTGCCAACCTAGCAGTTCGAAAGCACGTCAAAATGCAAGTAGATAAATAGGTACCGCTCCGGCAGGAAGGTAAACGGCATTTCTGTGTGCTGCTCTGGTTCGCCAAAGCGGCTTAGTCATGCTGGCCACATGACCCAGAAGCTGTACGCCGCCTCCCTTGGCCAGTAAAGCGAGATGAGCGCCGCAACCCCAGAGTCGTCCGCGACTGGACCTAATGGTCAGGGGTCCCTTTACCTTTACCTTTTACCTTTTAAAACAGGGAGAACCATGTAAAGATCCTTGAAGGGAAGGGTAGAGGAAAACGTAATAAATACAAAGAACGACACAATTCACACTGTGTTTTAGTGCTGAGGAATATGAACTGGGGAAGAAGATGAAAAACCTGCTAACTCACAAGACGTCCACCAGCGGATAGGCTGTGAGCTGAAAGTAATTTAAGAATATATTCCCATTGTTCATTTAACTAGCAACAAAGGTCCAGTGAAAGGAGGAAAGACCATCTGCCACCAAAGCCACATTTTAACCACAAGTCTATAACTCTTTCATTCTGTGTTCAGGACCAGAATGCTGAGATGCATTTTCGAAATGCAGCAACGCTGTAGAAAGGCCAGGAATGAATGGGACAAAAGTGAATGCATTCTTATATCAGCAGGAACGGGGACGCCAACAACATCTCCCTCTCTTATTCTTCGGTGTTTTCCAGGGGGGAAAAGAGCAGGACATTCCATTAGTTTGCTTCTTAGCAGCTTGCCCCCATGGGACCCCTGTGCCAAAAGGCCCCAGTATTGATGTAATGGAGTCGCAGCTGTGGGCAACTCTGGCAGCAAAACGATGTCACTTTAAGCTATGGCTTCGTTGAATGTGATTTGATTGTTCAGTGATTTGGGGCTAGGGCTGCAAAGGGGAGCAAAATGTTTGCAGTGGAAGCAGCCATGTTCCTCACTCTTAACTGGGCATTATCTGTAGGACATTAGAGCATCTGCAAGAAACACTAAGTAAAGGTAAAGGTAAAGGACCCCTGACAGTTAAGTCTAGTCGTGAACGACTCTGGGGTTGCGGCTCTCATCTCACTTTACTGGCCGAGGGAGCCAGCGTATAGCTTCCGGGTCATGTGGCCAGCATGACTAAGCCTCTTCTGGCGAACCAGAGCAGCGCACGGAAACGCCGTTTACCTTCCCGCCAGAGTGGTACCTATTTATCTACTTGCACTTTGACGTGCTTTCAAACTGCTAGGTTGGCAGGAGCAGGGACCGAGCAATGGGAGCTCACCCCGTCACGGGGATTCGAACCGCCAACCTTCTGATCGGCAAGCCTTAGGCTTTGTGGTTTAGACCACAGCGCCACCCGCAAGAAACACTAACTGATGGTAAAGAGGGTAGGGGGAGTAAAGGCAGCACATTTGTAAAATGTGTGCCCCCTGAGTTCCCTTTTGAGCCCAAATATTAACCTTAGCTTTTCTTCAAGCAACAGAGAATATAGCCATTCATAGGGTGCATCCAGACTTCCTTTTGCACTGTGGTTTTCAGGCACATGTCTGGGCTTTAAAGATTTGCATCTGAGCAGTTCTTTCTTTCTTTCTTTCTTTCTTTCTTTCTTTCTTTTTATCCTAGCCCTTTCCCTGGGAAAACCAGTGTTTTACCGCTGAATTGGAGCGAATAATAGTCCATGAAAAGCCTGGCCTGTGTCTGGAACACATGCTTAGAAATGTTTCACAAACGGAAGTCTGGATGAACTCTCAAATGTCGGCATCCATGGCAGCTCTGCTGCCACTCACCATGTTTCATGTGCAAACATTAATGTGCAAAAAGAGCCAACACATCACGGCAGCAGAATGATCCCACAATAAGACCTTACGCAACATACAGGCAAGATACAGCTGGACAGGTGTTAAGAAACCAAAGTGTTTCCCACAGTGCGCGACACCATGGGTCAGCCCGCACAAGGGCTTGAACCCTGAGCATCACAAGCAGCCTGCAGGTAGCTCCATTTCTGAGCAGCAAACATGCAGGGCTTCACCCTAAAGTCACAGGGTAGCTTACATCAATTGCAACACAACATTGATATTAAAAACACAACGTTTAAAACAACAATATAGGAGACACCAGACTTGCAGCAGTAGAGACTGTGTGTGTGTGTGTGTGTGTGTGTGTGTGTGTGTGGAATCCCGAGGCAGAATGCCTAGAACAGTTTTGAGATAAGTATTAAGAAATATTGAAAAGGCAAATCCTTGTTGGGCCAGACCATTTGTGGTTGCCGCATCCCCCAGAACATGATTTCACCTTGGCTCTCATCAGCAGGGCTCCCACTTGTATGCTCTTGAGTTCTCCAGATGTGAGAAAAGAATAAGGCAGCCAGCCCCATGACAGATACGCACCTGGGATGTGTGTTTTCTTGCTAAGCCTTAAATACTTAAATGCAGAGTTTGATGGGTTCCTCTTCCCCTCATGGCTATGGAAATGGAGTGGGAGAAAGTGGGGGAAGGGTAGTATCAGTGGGAATGTGCTTTTTAGCTCTTGCACATGTAACATGGCACCATTACTGTGGGAAACATGCAGGTGGCGCTGTGGTCTAAGCCACTGAGCCTCTTGGGCTTGCTGATTGGAAGGTCGGTGGTTCGAATCCCTGCTCCCGTTGCTCTGTCCCAGCTTCTGCCAACCTAGCAGTTTGAAAGCACACCAGTGCAAGTAGATAAATAGGTACCACTGCGGCGGGAAGGTAAATGGCGTTTTCATGCACTCTGGTTTCCGTCACAGTGTTCTGTTGCACCAGAAACGGTTTAGTCCTGTTGGCCACATGACCCGGAAAGCTGTCCGTGGACAAACGCCGGCTCCCTCGGCCTGAAAGTGAGATGAGCGCCGCAATCCCATGGTTGCCTTTGACTGGACTTAACCATCCAAGGGTGCTTTACCTTTACCTTTTTTAATATTGAAACAGGAGTTGGGGCTGAATAAAGTCCTCCAAGCCTCTCTTTGTGTCTCTTGCTCATACTGTAGAAAGGCAAAATGTTATATTAGTTGTTGTGGGCATAGAATCATGGAACTGTAGAATTGGAAGGGACCCTGCGGATCATCTAGTCCAGCCCCCTGCAATTTAGGAAAATGCAGCTGTCCCATGCAGGGATCAAACCTGCAACCTTGGCATGATCAGCACCATGCTCTAACCAACTGAGCTATCCAGGCTACTGACATACACTTGTGACCTTTCCTGTCTTTCATTTTACAGAGAGGATCCGAATTCGCATGTGGAGAAGCTGAGATCCTCTGGCACGATGACTTCTGGTAAGTTGGCTCTCTCTGTTTTTTTCTTCCGCCTCTTATCATCTTGTGAATGATGTATTCTAAGGTTACCAGATTTTTTTCAAAGGATCCGGGGACACTTTTTTAAAAAAGAGGAAAAAAAGTTACTGATTTTTTAAATAAATAAATAAATAAATAAAATCTTATCTTCTGTGGTCTCCTCTGTCGCGCGGTCTTTCTCTGGGCCCCGGCCTGCTCTCTTGGAGTGCTAGCCACCGTGGGGTAGGCTTGGGTTGGGCCTGGGCTCGGCCACGTGTCCTTGCCCTCCCGGTGCTCTCCTACCTCTCCTCCTCAGCAGCAGCGGTGGCACACCAAGGTCGGAGCTCCCTCTTTTTTCTCCTTCTTCTTTCTCTTTCTTCCTTCTCTTCCTCCTCTCCTCCTTCTCCCTGCGTCGGCTCTGGGGTTTTTACTGGCCCCGGAGCGCTGCTGGGCAGTCGGCCATGTGCTCTCGCTCCCGGCTCGATTTGGATTGTGTGTGTGTGTGTGTGTGTGTGTGTCAGCCACTCCCCCAGTTGACATGCCAGGCGTCCCCGGTTCCCCCTCGGCAGTGGCAGCGGCAGTCTCAGCAGCCTGGAGCCAGCCTGGTAGCGCAGTTGGCTCTGGCTGGCTTCAGGAGCTGCTCGCTGCCGTGGCGCCCGCCATTTTGGCTCGCCGGAAGTCCCCATATCATGTGTCTTGTGCTGTTGAACCAATCACGCAACATTCATTCCCTACTAATAAATCTACAACACTTAAAATATAAATCCAGGGACATTAAATGAAATCCGGGGACGTTCCGGGGACAGATTTTGTCCAGGGACAGATTTGTAAATCCGGGGACTGTCCCCGGGAAATGGGGATATCTGGTAACCATAATGTATTCTGCCGGAAGCAATGCAGAGAACCATCCCAGCATTCTAGGAGTAACTTCAGGTATTGCATTTGACCGGTACCTGCACCCCTAGCTTCCAGGAGCAGCAAATTTACGGAGTAGTTAGATTGAGGGCGAGGAACCTGATGTTGACTAGATGTTGACAATTTTTCTGCTTGGAATGCATCTGACCTAGAATTCCAAAAAGGCCCAGAAGATCGACAACAAGTTTGGCAAGTCTGCCTCAGATGTCAAATAAGACATTTCCCTAAGCATGCAAATATTTTAAGCCGTATACTTATCTTCTGCAAGAAGTGGCCATAAACTGTGAGTGTGGGTTCTCCTTTAAGCTGCTGTTTATACTCAGGGGCAAAATGCGGGTTGTGCCCTTGATCTCCAAAGCATCTAATTTATTAAAAAGGTAAAGGTACCCCTGCCCGTACGGGCCAGTCTTGACAGACTCTAGGGTTGTGCGCCCATCTCACTCAAGAGGCCGGGGGTCAGCGCTGTCAGGAGACACTTCCGGGTCACGTGGCCAGCGTGACATCGCTGCTCTGGCGAGCCAGAGCCGCACACGGAAACGCCGTTTACCTTCCCGCTAGTAAGCAGTCCCTATTTATCTACTTGCACCCGGGGGTGCTTTCGAACTGCTAGGTTGGCAGGCGCTGGGACCAAGCAACGGGAGCACACCCCGCCGCGGGGATTCGAACCGCCGACCTTTCGATCGGCAAGCCCTAGGCGCTGAGGCTTTTACCCACAGCGCCACCCGCGTCCCTAATCTAATTTATTAGCTGAGCTTGATTTTGAGGTCCCAGAACAGTCCTCGGCTAGAGGTTGGAGGCTGCTGCTGCTGCAAGTCTGAAGTCTCAGCACAGTGTAGCAGTCTCTATGATTGAACTCACCAGATAAGGAAGAAGAAAAGTGGAAAGGCTTTCTCATTTTCCTCCTGCAGTGGCGGGGAAAGAGCAATATTAGCAAGTCTGCTCAAATCAGGCTATGGTGGGTTTTGTTTTGCTGAGTTAACTCTTTGTGTACCTTTGTGCAGATTTTTCAGCTGCTAACAGAAATGTGTTAAAGGTGGAAGCCTTAAGCTGTTTGTTGTGATGTAAGCTCACAGCGATTTAAACTCCCTGGTAATCTTTTCAACTCAACGGTGTTCTCATCTGCCCACTGTCAGAAGCACTGTGACTCTGATTAACAATTGGTGGAAACTGGTTAGGGATTGTAGGGAAAGATCTGCCAAAAAAGCTGAAAAACATCTTCCATGTATGCGACAACGGCCGCGCGAGTTTTAATAGCACAAGGATGGAAGACTGAAGAAACCCTAACTAAAGAATCATGGCAAGAAAAATTGATGGACTATGCAGAACTGGCAAAACTGACATACAAGCTACGGGACAAGGATAACCGTGACTTTAAAGATGAATGGGAACCCTTTATAAAGTATTTGAAGAGGCAACAAATCGAACTGGACTCCTTGGCAGGTTTTGAATAAACATTCACAAACTTTTTATTGATAATAATCAGCTAAATAGTTTGAGGATCTATACAACTGTGTAACATGCAGAAAACAGCATTTCTAGAGAAATCAAAGACTGGAAGTGAGGGAAGTCGGGGGCTGGGGGTGGGTGGGTTCTGTGGGGGGAGGGAGGAAAAATGGGGGGGGATATGTTTTGTTTTAATTTTGAATAAAAAGAAGGAGGGGGAAAAACAATTGGTGGGAACCGCAATTGGAGGGAATCTGCTTGTGGGTTTTCCATGGAATTTAGCTGGCCACCCTGAGAACAGAGTGCCAGGTTTGGGGCTTGAACCAGCTGAGCCCTTCTTATGTCCTCCCATTCATGTACCCTCATCATCTGGTGTCAGTGTAATTAATTTTCACAACCTCCCTGATGTTTGGAGGACATGCAACTCCAAAGAGATTTCTTCTTCTTCTTTGAGAAGTATCTTCAATACTCATGAATGCACTACCTATTAGCTTCTCAGGAATGTGTCTCAAAAAATAGATTATTAGCAATGTTTCACTACCACCTCCCATGCTCTCCTAGCCAGAGGGCATGATTCTTCTACCATCCTTGGACTCTGAGGATAAGTCTTCAGAAGAGATGACACCTTCCCAGCCTGTTTGAAGCAGCAGTTACAGAACCATAGAATTGTAGAGTTGGAAGGGACCCAATTGTAGAGTTGGAAGGGACATTTAGTCCAACCCCCAGCAATGCAGGAATCTCAGCTAAAGCATCCCTGACAGAGGGCCACCCAACCTCTGCTTAAAAACCTCCAAGGAAGGAGAGTCCACCACCTCTCGTGGGAATCTGTTCCACTGCTGAACAGCTCTTACTGTTGGAAAGTTTTCCCCAAATGTTTAATTGGAATCTCCTTTCTTGTAACTTATAGCCATTGGTTCAGGTCCTACCCTCCAGAGCAGGAGAAAGCAACCATGTTCCCTCTTCCCTTGAGATATTTGAAGATGGCTATCATATCTCCTCTCAGTCTCCTCTTTTCCAGGCTAAACATACCCAGCTCCTTCAAGCGTTCCTCGTAAGGCTTAGTTTCCAGACCCTTGATCATCTTGGTTCCCCTCCTCTGCAAATGTTCCAGCTTGTCAGCATCCTTCTTAAATTGTAGAGCCCAGAACTGGACACAGCATTCCAGGTGTGGTCTGACCAAGGCAGAATAGAGTGGGACTTCTGTTGATTCAGCCTAGAATAGCATTAGCTTTTTTTGTTGCTGCCTCACACTGTTGACTCATATTAAGCTTGTGGTTCACCAAGACCCCTAGATCCTGTTCACATGTACTGCTAGTAAAGGTAAAGGTACCCCTGCCCGTACGGGCCAGTCTTGCCAGACTCTAGGGTTGTGCGCTCATCTCACTCTATAGGCCGGGAGCCAGTGCTGTCCGGAGACACTTCCGGGTCACGTGGCCAGCGTGACATCGCTGCTCTGGCGAGCCAGAGCCGCACACGGAAACACCGTTTACCTTCCCGCTAGTAAGCGGTCCCTATTTATCTACTTGCACCCGGGGGTGCTTTCGAACTGCTAGGTTGGCAGGCGCTGGGACCGAACGACAGGAGCGCACCCCGCCGCAGGGATTCGAACCGCCGACCTTTCGATCGGCAAGTCCTAGGTGCTGAGGCTTTAACCCACAGCGCCACCTGCGTCCCGTACTGCTAGTAAGCCCATCCAATATTTGTGCATCTGGTTCTTCCTGCCTAACTGCATAACCTTACATTTGTCCCTATTGAAATTCATTTTCAATAGGAGGAAAGAATTAAAAGAGACAACTTCTCTTTGGAGATGGGGCCAACTAAAGAACAGGCTAGCTGGACTTTAATAAGGTTTCAGATAACTGCGGCTCTTTGCTGAGACAACATTCCTCCGTTACCAACACTTGGGTGTGTGAAGAACTACTGTAGCTCTGAATGCTCTCCATGGTCCTGATGAAGCTTGCCTGAATCTTGATTAATCTTGGCTAAATCAAAACGAGATCCTCCCTTTTGCTGGAGGGGGGTGCAAAAGGAAAACATCCCCATACGCTTGTGGCGAACTTATAAAGATGTCAAGACATTCTGCTGACGTTTGGGAGTATATTGGGATTTGTACATCAAGAGCAGCTTCTCCACAAAGATATCCCATTCCTTCTTACAACTGCTGGAGTGGAGGTACCTAGACAGTAAGAAGGAAGAAAAAGAAACCTCACCTGAGCATTTACTCCAGAATTTGTTTCATGAAATTTGGCTTTGGGGAAAAGTTAAGGGGCTGTTTAAACTGGCTCTAGAAGACTGTGTGCGGAAGGGAGAACAAGGCATCCCTCAGAGAAGGCAGGGACTATTGCAAGAGTCATTGGAGAATGCAAGAAAATTTTCTTCTCTTCTTTCTCTTTTTTGTTTGTTCTGGCTCGCCAGTAAGGATAGTACTCTTCTGCCCAAGCTCGCTCGCTCTCTCTTCTTCTTCTCTCTCTCTTTCTTTCTTTCTTTCTTTCTCTCTCTCTCTCTCTCTCTCTCTCTCTCTCTCACACACACACACACACACACACACACTTACAGGTGAAACTCGGAAAATTAGAATATCGTGGAAGAGTTCATTTATTTCAGTAATTCAACTTAAAAGGTGAAACTAATATATGAGATAGACTCATGACATGCAAAGTGAGGTATGTCAAGCCCTTATTTGTTATAATTGTGATGATCATGGCATACAGCTGATGAAAACCCCAAATTAACAATCTCAGGCTGATAGCATCCATGCCATGCCGCATTGAGGCAGTAATTGATGCAAAAAGGGCCCAAACCAAGTACTGAGTACATATGCATGCTTCTACTTCTCAGAAGTCCAATATTGCTCTATTTGCAGTCCTTGTTTTGCTGATTTCATTTAATAGTCTAATTTTCTGAGATTGTTAATTTGAGGTTTTCATCAGCTGCACGCCATGATCATCACAATTATAACAAATAGAGGCTTGAAAGATCTCGCTTTGCATGTCATGAGTCTATCTCATATATTGAACTTTGTTTATGTATGCTACTACAGCAGCAAGAATTCTTATCGCAAAGTATTGGAAGACACAAGATTTACCCACACTGGAGGAGTGGCAGACGCAATTGATGGACTACATGGAACTGGCTGAAATGACTGGCAGAATCCGAGATTTGGGAGAGGAAACAATGGAAGAGGACTGGAAAAAATTTAAGGACTATTTGCAAAAACACTATAAGCTGCATGAATGTTAAGAATGTGCACGATTAGGAAACTTTAGCTTCAGCAACTCGATTTGGTGAACTGAAAATTAAGTTATAAGAAAGACGAGGTGGAAACATGAAATAACTTTATTATGTTTATTTTAAGGTATAAGCAACTGAGATACAGTATTTCGAATTTAGAAACATAATATTTGAAAGATACAGTAAGATATGAAACAAGGTAACAAATTGCTGACGTTTTTATTGCAAAGAACGCAGGGTTCGGAAGATGTGGGGAAGTCCAGTTGGATTGGTAAAAATACTTTGGAAAGTTGGTTTTTTTTATATATTTTTCTTTTTCTCTTTGTTCTTTTCCTTTTTTCTTTATTCTGTATATTTCTGACTGTGTGAAAGAAAACTTAATAAAAATATTTATAAAAAAATAATGAGTCTATCTCATATATTAGTTTCACCTTTTAAGTTGAATTACTGAAATAAATGAACTTTTCCACGATATTCTAATTTTCTGAGTTTCACCTGTACACTTCTGTTGTTGCTGCCCAAAGGGTTTTGCATTAGCATAAAAACCCTGAACTGATAACCAGTCACCATTGCCCTGCTTCAGTTAGTCCCCTCCTCCTTAATGTACTTCCTTTGCCGACTCAACCTGGAATGATAGAGTCCTTTTCTGGAGAGAGGCGTGCATCCCACAGCGCAGTGTTAAAAATAGCTATGCCACCTTTGCTTTCACAATGCTCTACGTCTTTTAACGGCTGCGTGGGAGGCAGCCTTTCAACAGGTTCAGAGTTTCGCTGGCTAGGGTGGTCGTAGGTGAGAAAGGCTGTGCTTTACCTGTCCCATTATCAACCTTTAGTAATTAAGGACGCAACGCCTCTCAGGAAAAGAAGGGAAAAGCTTATGGAAACTCTGAGCGGGAGAGATTGAATGAATGAGAGCAATGAGTGTGATCTTTTGGAAACAACTGATTAAGTGATTTTATGGTATGTTGCAATATTAGGTACAGGTAAAGGGACCCCTGACCATTAGGTCCAGTCGTGACCGACTCAGGGGTTGCGGCGCTCATCTCGCTTTATTGGCCGAGGGAGCCAGCTGACAGCTTCCGGGTCATGTGGCCAGCATGACTAAGCCGCTTCTGGCAAACCAGAGCAGTGCACGGAAACGCCGTTTACCTTCCCACCGGAGTGGTACCTATTTATCTACTTGCACTTTGACGTGCTTTCGCGCTGCTAGGTTGGCAGGAACACGGACTGAGCAACGGGAGCTCACCCCGTCGCGGGGAGTCGAACCGCCGACCTTCTGATCGGCAAGTCCTAGGCTCTGTGGTTTAACCCACAGGGCAGACAATTTGCATTTTTCTTGAGTGTCCCCTTCCCTGAACTAGGGTACCCATTGCATGGGACATCATGCTCCAAGTCTGTTTCCTGTTCCTTGCACTAGGAACCTTCCGTATACAGTGGGCACCTCAGGCACTTTCCTGTCCTTGTGGATGCAGTATGAGAACATTGTACTGATCATTTCTGCTCTTCTTTCAGAATGCAAAGAAGTTGAAGTTGGAAGCACTGTTGTGAATGGCCTGGTACTGGGCAGTAATGGACAAGACAGAGGTATGTTGAATAACAATACAAAATATTATTAGTAGCATTAGTATATGAACCACCTTCTACACAAGCATCTCAAGGCAACGGCAATAAAAATCGAGGGGACGTAGGTGGCGCTGTGATCTGAACCACTGAGCCACTTGGGCTTGCTGATCAGAAGGTTGGCAGTTTGAATCCCCATGACGGGGTGAGCTCCCGTTGCTCTGTCCCAGCTCCTGCCAACCTAGCAGTTCAAAAGCACACCAGTGCTAGGAGATAGGCACCGCTGCGTGGGGAAGGTAAACGGCATTTCCATGCGCCCTGGCACTTGTCACAGTGTTCCATTGCACCAGAAGCGGTGCAGTCCTGCTGGCCACATGACCTGGAAAGCTGTCTGTGGACAAACACCAGATCCCTTGGCCTGAAAGCGAGATGAGCGCCACAACCCCGTAGTCTCCTTTGACTGGACTTAACTGTCCAGGGTCTTTTACCTTTAACTTTACCTTATGTTGAATAGGAATACAAAACATTATTATTAGTAGCATTAGAATATTAACCACCTTCTACACAAGCATCTCAAAGCAACGACAATAAAAATAGCAAGGTAAAGGTAAAGGGACCCCTGACCATTACGTCCAGTCGTGGCCGACTCTGGGGTTGCGGCGCTCATCTTGCTTTATTGGCCAAGGGAGCCGGCGTACAGCTTCCGGGTCATGTGGCCAGCATGACTAAGCCGCTTCTGGTGAACCAGAGCAGCTCACCGAAACGCTGTTTACCTTCCCGCTGGAGTGGTACCTATTTATCTACTCGCACTTTGATGTGCTTTCGAACTGCTAGGTTGGCAGGAGCAAAAATAGCAGACAAACCATTAAAACACCAATGTTAGTTGTGGAAGATGGAAAAGTTGTCTCTCTGAGTTTCCCTGCTGTAGGAGACGGTTGCCAGGTTTTCTTTGCAATATTTCTTTGCCTCAACTAGAGCCAGGGCTTTTTCGGCTGTGGCTCCGATCTGGTGGAACGCTCTGTCACAAGAGACCAGGGCCCTGCGGGACTTGACATCTTTCCGCAGGGCCTGCAAGACAGAGCTGTTCCACCAGGCCTTTGGCCAGGGCACAGCCTGACTCCCTCCCTCGGCAATCTTCGCAGAGCTCTGGCCCAATGGCTGCCAGTGGCCTGAATTAATTAATTTTATAATGAATGATTTTAGAGTGTTGTTTATGCTGTACTTTTGTACTGTTTTATTGTTGTTATCCGCCCTGAGCCCGGCTTCGGCTGGGGAGGGCGGGATATAAATAAAAATTATTATTTATTATTATTATTATTACTTTCGCGAAATCCACGTATATGTAACTAAATTTCAAGGTGAGAGTTGAGCAATAAATTCCCCCAAATCAGTGGGGGGAAAGTTAGAGTATTAAAGTAGAGGAGCAGTCTGCCTGATGCTGCAGTTGACCTGCTTCTGTAGAAGGAAGGTTACTCAGAGAAACCCAAAGGGAACAGGAATAGTCCCCCGTGGAGTTAAGAGAAGTTGTCCAAGGTGCCTGTGAACAGAAGAATCTCTTGAGGCTTCCCTGCAGCTTCACAGCCTGTCCTTCCTGGCTGCATGCTTACAGTGCCAAGGATGCTAATACACTGCCAGCTCAAGCCCTGCATATTGAAAATACTCCCCGCTCAGTTGCAGAGGAAGAGGTGCTGTTTTGTTTTGCAGCATCTTGGAGGAGGGCTAAGTCTGGCTTTCTCGGAGAATGCTTTGAGCTCTGGATGTTATCCAGAGCATTTCTGGCTGATCCGGAGCTGCCTCAATCCATTCTGCATTGGGGCCCTATTCAGAATTCAGGATTTGCTGCAGTCTCAGTTCCTCATCCCATGCCTGTAAAAGGGACCCCTGACCATTAGGTCCAGTCACGGACAACTCTGGGGTTGTGGCGCTCATCTCGCTTTGTTGGCCGAGGGAGCCGGTGTACAGCTTCCGGGTCATGTGGCCAGCATGACTAAGCCGCTTCTGGTGAATCACAGCAGCGCACAGAAACACCGTTTACTTTCCCGCCAGAGTGGTACCTATTTATCTACTTGCACTGGTGTGCTTTCAAACTGCTAGGTTGGCAGGAGCAGGGACCGAGCAATGGGAGCTCACCCCATCGCAGGGATTCGAACCGCCGACCTTCTGATCAGCAAGCCCAAGGCTCTGTGGTTTAAACCATAGCACCACCCACATCCTGTTATGTCTGTAAAGGATTAAACAAAAAACACAGAAGCTGATGTGTTCAGTGTAATGTGTAGTTTGGCCCCCCCAGGTATTCACCTTACATATGACACTGTCATTGCAGGGTGGGTGACTTCATATGAGGTTGGCTTATGCCTCCCCTCCTGGTAATATCCCGCCCGCCCCAAGCTCAGCTGATAGGAGATTACAGCTCAAAAGCATGGGAAAGGGAGCATGGCTGAGTCCTGCTATTGAGTTGTGGGCGGAGGAAGATGTCTTTGCCTTTCCATGACATCTGATGGGAGGGCATTCCACAGGGCGGGCACCACCACTGAGAAGGCCCTCTGTCTGGTTCCCTGTAACCTCACTTCTCGCAATGAGGGAACCGCCAGAAGGCCCTCGGTGCTGGACCTCAGCGTCCGGGCTGAACGATGGGGGTGGAGACGCTCCTTCAGGTATACTGGACCGAGGCCATTTAGGGCTTTAAAGGTCAGCACCAACACTTTGAATTGTGCTTGGAAACGTACTGGGAGCCAATGCAGATCTCTCAGGACTGGTGTTATGTGGTCTCGGCGGCCACTCCCAGTCACCAGTCTAGCTGCCACATTCTGGATTAATTGCAGTGGGGTCACCTTCAAAGGTAGCCCCACGTAGAGCTCATTGCAGTAGTCCAAGCGGGAGATAACCAGAGCATGCACCACTCTGGTGAGACAGTCCGCGGGCAAGTAGGGTCTCAGCCTGCGTACCAGGTGGTATTGTGATGCCTGGTTTATTTTATCCGTTTTCCTTGGTAGCTTTTCTCCAGAGTTCCAGAACACATAGGTTAATGGGTTAAAAATAAGGACATGAGTGGCGTTTCCATTTTATTCTGCACTCTTGCCACACAGTTTCCCTTGTTTCCTATAGAGGTGAGATCTCTGCTACGTATGGTAACGAAGGGTTTCCGTCTCTACCCATGTTCAGATGCTACATATACAACGATTCACTAGTTGTTTACGCTGCTTGAATCTTTCTATGCCACATTTTAACAACAAAAAATCCATTGGGGGCCATTCTTGCCATTTTTAAAGTCCCTTCCAGGTTCGGTGTGATGAGTAAGTGCATGCTCACATGTCAATTGGACACACATAAATTCAGAGATGCCTGTAGTTGTGAAATAGACCCCATGCAATCCTGCTTATTGCCAAAGTCAGCAGTATTTCAAAACGATAAGTTCTGGAGCTTTTCACATACAGTCATACCTCATGTTACGTTTGCTTCAGGTTGAGCGTTTTCAGATTGCGTCCTGCGGCGACCTGGAAGTACCGAAAAGGGTTACTTCTGGGTTTCGCCGCTTGTGCATGCGCAGACGCGGGTTGCGTTCTGCTCATGTTTCGAACAGGCCTCCGGAACGGATCCCGTTCGCAACCAGAGGTACTACTGTATAGACTAAAGTTTTCTCTGAGGTAAACTTTGAAGCATGGGATGCGGGTGGCGCTGTGGGTTAAACCACAGAGCCTAGGACTTGCTGATCAGAAGGTCGGCGGTTCGAATCCCCGCGACGGGGCTGAGCTCCCGTTTCTTGGTCCCAGCTCCTGCCAACCTAGCAGTTCGAAAGCACGTCAAAAAGCAAGTAGATAAATAGGTACCACTCCGGTGGGAAGGTAAACGGCGTTTCCATGCGCTGCTCTGGTTCGCCAAAGCAGCTTAGTCGTGCTGGCCACATGACCCGGAAGCTGTATGCCGGCTCCCTCGGCCAATAAAGCAAGATGAGCGCCGCAACCCCAGAGTCGGCCACGACTGGACCTAATGGTCAGGGGTCCCTTTACCTTTACCTTTAACCTTTCAAGCAGTTTATAACCCAGACTGAAGATGCTTTCTTCTGTGCAACGCATGTTGGCAAACAAGCAGTAATTGTTTCAGACAGTGATGCTGCATTGTCAATAATATGGCTGAGGGTGAGCAGCGCTTGCTGCTGTCTAGTGAACGCTTCACTCCAGACTTGCAGAAAGTTGAGGGGATTGAGAAAGGAGACCCTATAGCAGCTCATCTCAAGACAGCGAACCTCTGGGTTCACACTGAATGCCAAAGGCAATAGCTGCTCTCTTTTGCAGCTGTATGTTATTTTAGGGTGGGCGGGGGCAGTTGACACGCTGCTGTCAAATTGCAGCTCTTCTGGGATCCTGGATTTCTCAGCTGTTTAATGTGGGCAGCCCCCAGTTCCACCGTAGCTGTCAACTGTCCCAAATTTGGTGGGAAAGTCCCTTATCCCAGCGCTGTGTCCCGCTGCTGTCCCTTATTGATGTCCCTTAAATTTCCCGGGTTTCAAAGGAAGCAGCTCCTCTCCCTCCCTCTCTGCCAGCCAGGGAGGAGGGAGGCTCCAACTGTGTTGCTTGGCTGCATTGCTCACCCAATAAGGAGTCTAAGAATGACTGGGGGGTGGAGCTTGCATGCCTTGTGCCGATCAAATCGGCCCCGTTGCCTGGGGACTCGCCTTTGCTCAGCGCTTCCCAGCGGAGAGGTGACAGTGGTTTTCCTTGCTGCATCCCCTTTGCCGGGTTGCTGCACTGTGGGAACCACTGCTTGAGACTTCGTTTTGCTGCTGGCTGGGCTTTCTGCCTTTGGCTCGGAGGGGCTCAGAAGTTGAACATACCTGTGTTAGGAAAATCCCTTATTTTGGCTGCTGATCCCTTATTTCCAAATCTGTAAGTTGACAGCTATGAGTTCCACTCTGGCGGTTGAGGGGAAAGGTGTTGAAGACAGATATTCAGCAGACTCTGAGTTCATAAATGTAGTCTGCTGCTGAGGCAAGGAATGTTACGGTGTCGGTTAAGGAAGAGAGGATTGGAAAAGGAAGGCAGACAGGGGAGAATAGCAATTGGTCTGCATCTTTATAGTTTATAGTGAACATTGTGGAGGGAGGGTTTAGGGTTGGTGGTGGAGCATGTACATGGAGCAGTTAAACAAAATGGAGAAAATTCCCTTCCCCTTTCTGTAAGATGTGGGTATATTTCAGGGGAAAGGACATCTGCCAGAATCAGGTGCACATACACACACTGTAACAATAACATGTTGGCAGTGCTGGATTTGCGTATAAGCTGAACAAGCTGTAGCTTAGGGCCCCGCTCTCTTGGGGGCCCCAAGAAAATTTAAAGGAAAAAAACTGGATGTGCATTTCCAAAATATAAGATAAAAAACAAATAAAATAAAACCTACATACAGCAACAGTGTTCTGTGTTGTGTAGGCTCCTATTTGTTATGTGCAAATGGCTTTAGATACCTATTAGGTCCATAAATAGGGACGCGGGTGGCGCTGTGGGTTAAACCACAGAGCCTAGGACTTGCCAATCAGAAGGTTGGCAGTTCGAATCCCCACCACGGGGTGAGCTCCCGTTGCTCGGTCCCTGCTCCTGCCAACCTAGCAGTTCGAAAGCACGTCAAAGTGCAAGTAGATAAATAGGTACCACTCCGGCGGGAAGGTAAACGGCGTTTCCCTGCGCTGCTTTAGTTTGCCAGAAGCGGCTTAGTCATGATGGCCACATGACCTGGAGGCTGTACGCCGGCTCCCTCGGCCAATAAAGTGAGATGAGTGCCGCAACCCCAGAGTTGGTCACGACTGGACCGAATGGTCAGGGGTCCCTTTACCTTTAGGTCCATAGATTGCCATATAGCATATATTCAACACTAGAAAACAGTGACAATTTGTTGCTGACGAAGGACAGCTGGACATATAAAGGGCACCATTACCTTCAGTAGCTTAGGGCCTCATCAAACCTAAATCTGGCCCTGAATATTGGGACTGGTAACCAGTCTTAAACCTGGGCCTCCTCGCACCAGCAGGAGCATATCTCAGGGAGATAAGAAAGAGGGAAAATTTACCCTCATTTCTCTAGTCTCCTTCCTGGAGTGGTCAGAGAAGCACTACAAGTCTCCTCTTCCAGACTGCCTGGAAAACAAAGCCTTCTTGGTCTGTGTTGGGGAGAGAGATGCGTATGACAGCCTAATGTTTTAATTATCAAGTTTTCTGACATTGTTTGAATACTTTATGTCATGTTTCTCCACATGCCCTCCCCCTTTTGTTTCTTCCCGATTTGGACGCACCATCTTCTGTACCTTTTATGTTTGCAGCGAATGATGTCCCTTTATGTTCACGCTCTGTTTCTGCTGTTAAAATAATTCCCGTGAAGAAAGTGAACAGTTCTCCTGGTCTAGTGTTGCCGACAGGTATAATTCTCTCTCTCCCTCTCTCTCTCTTTTATTTTTTTATTTTTGGTCCTCTCTCCATATATTCTTCCCAGGTCTTTTGCTTTGCCTCCTGGTTGCTAGAATAGTTTTTCTGCACCGTCCTCCCCCACCACATTTCATCAGTTCTCTATAAAATTAGACCAGAACAACAAATATGCCAGCAGAGTTCACCAGAGAGCCATTCTGAAGATAATTTACCATGGAGGAGGGAGGAGAGAGTTACGAACAGGCCTCCACTTGCTTCAGGAGTGAGTGTCTGGAGAATTTGGAAAGGGGTAGGAGTTTAGTGAGGGCACAAGCATACCACAGCCAGGTCACCCCCTTTTGCTCATTCCCACTTCAGCGCACACATGTATTTATTTATTTATTTTGCTTTGGGACCTAAACTTCTTCCTCTTTCCTTTCACCAATTAATTCAAAATTGTGCTTGCTTATACAGTCAATAGTGCTTGCTTATACAGGGACGTGGGTGGCGCTGTGGTCTAAACCACTGAGCCTAGGGCTTCCTGATCGAAAGGTCGGCAGTTCGAATCCCCGTGACGGGGTGAGCTCCTGTTGCTCAGTGCCGGCTCCTGCCAACCTAGCAGTTCAATAGCACATCAAAGTGCAAGTAGATAAATAGGTACTGCTCCGGCGGGAAGGTAAACGGCGTTTCCGTGCGCTGCTCTGGTTCGCCAGAAGCGGCTTAGTCATGCTGGCCACATGACCCGGAAGCTGTCTGTGGACAAACGCCGGCTCCTTTGGCCTATAGAGCGAGATAAGCGCCGCAACCCCAGAGTCGGTCACAACTGGACCTAATGGTCAGGGGTCCCTTTACCCTTTACCTTTATACAGTCAAACCTCTGTTTTCGAACGTCTCAGCTGCTGAACGTTTTGGAAGCCGAACGCCGAAAACCCAGAATTGAATGCTTCCGTTTTCAAATGCACCTTGGAAGTCAAACGGCTTCCGAGGCATGTTTTTCACACACACACACCCCATTGAACTTGCTGACAGCCCTTTGACAACCCTTTGTCAAATGGACATCCGTAACAGATTACGTTAAAAAACCGAGGTTCCACTGTATATTGTTAAAGATTTAGGAGGGGGACCCTCCTAAAGCCTAGAAATTAATAAATTAGGTTTGCCATATTTTGAAGAGCAAAAAAAGAGAGGGACACATTTGCCAGCTTCTAGTTTTAACTATAGACGGATGCGGGTGGCGCTGTGGTCTAAACCACAGAGCCTAGGGCTTGCCGATCAGAAGGTCAGCGGTTTGAATCCCTGTGATGGGGTGAGCTCCCATTGCTCAGTCCCTGCTTCTGCCAACCTAGCAGTATGAAAGCACATCAAAGTCAAGTAGATAAGTAGGTACCGCTCCAGCAGGAAGGTAAACGGTGTTTCTGTGTGCTGCTCTGGTTCGCCAGAAGCGGCTTAGTCATGCAGGCCACATGACCCAGAAGCTGTACGCCGGCTCCCTCAGCCAACAAAGCGAGATGAGCGCCACAACCTCAGAGTCGTCCGTGACTGGACTTAACCATAAGGGATCCCTTTACGTTTTACTTTTAACTATGGATCGCTATGACGACTCTTATTTCACATACCCATGAAAAAGAGGGCATGTCCTGGGAAAAGAGGACATATGGCAACTCTAAATAAATTGTAGGATTTTTATTCTTTGGCATGTGAAGGGAGAACAGGAGCTGCAGTGGAATTCCTGGGCTAGCCTATGGAAAACGACTTGGCTAAGCTAGGGCCATTAAGAATCAATACAGGGCCATTGAGAGTCATTGGCAATGCAAGAGAACTGTCCTCTCTCCTTTCCCTGAGGTGTGAACAGAGATTGGGGGTTGGGAAGGTTCCCAAGGTAACTGGGTGTGAGGTGACAAGGAAGGAGAGATTTTGAGCAAGGTGTTCTGGGAAGAAGGGAGAAGGAAGACTGGCATCCATCTTGGGCAGGCTGGCTGCAGGCTGGCTGCAGGCTGGCTGGGAGAGATGACTTGGAGCAGCTCTTCAAAAAACTGTTTACGTACAATATGAACAAATGACAGCAATCATTTGATAAAATAGTCTATTTGCTTACACTAAAGGTGTCAGACAAAGCTAAAAGGCTTTGCGCATGGGCCCATCAGCACAAAATTGCCTCTAAATTGTATGTGCTGATTTATGAGTATAGGTGCAAAATCATAAATAATTACAGTGGTACCTTGGTTTAAGAACAGCTTAGTTTATGAACAACTTGGATTAAGAATGCTGCAAACCCGGAAGTAGGTGTTTTGGTTTGTGAACTTTGCCTTGGAAGAAGAACATGTTCCACTTCCTGTCGAGTGTGTTCCATTCGTAAATTGAGTCCCCCGCTGCTATGGGAAAGCATGCCTTGGTTTAAGAACGCTTTGGTTTAAGAACAGACTTCTGGAACGGATTAAGTTTGTAAACCAAGGTACCACTGTAAATCCTGTTGCCTCCCACCTGTTGGGACCTGAACTTGAAAGATCAGGGTTCTGTTTAAGCACAGCAGTCTCCCTGCCACAGAAGTTTATCACTTGTGCCGTGGGAGAGCTGCAGGAATGTACAGGAAGGCATTGGGGACAGTGGGCTCATCTCCCTTGTGTAATGGGAGTTTCATTGGCCCATCTCACAGGGGTGGGAAATCAATATGCAAATTCTTATTTTGTGTGTTTGGATAATGGAGTCCATGGGGGCTGTTTTGCCTTGTTATAAAGTGAGATTTGGACTGCCTGAACTAGTCATCCTTTGACCATCCAACTGGATCACGTTCCATCTTTAAGCCTGCAGAACATACACAAGAGAGGAAGCGCCACCAAATGCAGTGATTCTTACTTCTGAGTAAACATGCATAAGATTGCATTGCAAATATTATAATTCTGCTGGAAGCTGCCCAGAGTGACTGGGGAAACCCAGCCAGATGGGCGGGGTATAAATAATATATTATTATTATTATTATTATTATTATTATTATTATTATTATTAGCCAGATACTGTTAAAGTATCTGTTCTGCATACCAACATTTCGTTAAGCCTCCTGGAAGGACGTTGTGATGGTGGCAGACCATAATAATTAGACCCTGCCAACAAATTAAGATTCTGAAGTCGTTTGGACTGTGTAGGTTTACTCTGGAGAGCAAGATCACACCAGGGCTAATGGTGGCAGGTGAAAGAAGAGAATGGGATGTTGGTGAATTCTGACGAAAATGGAAAAGGAAGCAGAAATTGCTGCAGTTCACATGTTTGTGGAAATCAGCCAAGTGAATACATAGTTGTTGTTGTTGTTTAAGTCTGCAAAAAATGCATAATTAATTACTATTTTTACATAGTTTTGATATTTCCTTTACATTGAAATGAATGAATGCTTTGAAAGTTACACAGATACTTAAGTAAGTCATGTGACTTATGTTAAAGAACAGACAGCGTAACGGATATTACAGTGGTACCTCGGGTTAAGTACTTAATTTGTTCCGGAGGTCCGTTCTTAACCTGAAACTGTTCTTAACCTGAAGCACCACTTTAGCTAATGGGGCCTCCAGCTGCTGCCGTGCCGTCGGAGCACGATTTCTGTTCTCATCCTGAAGCAAAGTTCTTAACCCGAGGTACTATTTCTGGGTTAGCGGAGTCTGTAACCTGAAGCGAATGTAACCTGAAGCGTATGTAACCTGAGGTACCACTGTATAGTGTTTGGCTGAAACCGAACTGCAGTAGAATGGAAACAGTGCTGATTGTGGCAAATACCGGTTGGAATGGAAATTTCTGCCTTCTCACATTTCTAGATGGGAAGCAGTTGAGGATATTTGGTCAGGGGAGCAGAAGCAAGCTGTGAAGGAAAGACTGGCAGCCTGAGGGGCACTGAAACATCTGCAGTTAGTGCCTCTTCCAACCCAGAAAGTAGCTTTAGAAGTGAGAGATTCTCTGGAATCCCATTTAGTTGCTTAGTGTGAAATCTCACATATCCAGAAGCTAGACAGTCTTATACAAATCAGTTTGTGTGCCTTAAGTTTATTATAGTGAAGAAGCTGCTCTGGCTGCTGCGATAGGCTTCTTAGGTGAAATACAACTATAGTCAACAGAGGATGGGACAGAAATATACAGTGGTGCCTCGCAAGACGAAATTAATTCGTTCCGCGAGTTTTTTCGTCTTGGGAATCACGGTTTCGGAAAAGTTTTGGAAAAGCTTCAAAAATCACCAAAGTCTTCAAAAACCTCAAAAAAGGCTACCACACCGCGTGCTATGAGTTGCTCCTCGAAGTCAAGTCGCAACTGTATTAACGGTGTTAAGAAAAAGGAAACAAACTTGCAAGACGTTTCTGTCTTGCGAAGCAAGCCCATAGGGAAAATCGTCTTGCGAAGCAACTCAAAAAACCAAAAACCCTTTCGTCTTGCGAGTTTTTGTCTTGCAAGGCATTCGTCTTGCGAGGTACCACTGTAATCCTGGCTGGCTGATACTAGTGATATATCTGAAAATGCAGCCATGGTATCTAATTTCTATACATTATGTATTTTCTTCCTTTTTTTAGATCATGGGCTTGATTTGGAAATTTGACTCATCTCTCTGCAGATAAACTTACTTTAGCGTATATATTTTTAAAGCTGGAGTCGAAGGCTTATTTCCATCCACACTATTATGACTAGATCAATTTGCTTAGATGCTAAAGTGAAGCAACCAGGAAACTTTCTGTGTAGACAGCATGATTTAAGATTTTTTAATGTTCCAACTCATCATCTTAATGTTTTGTTTTGTTTTTTGCCTCTGTAGACTTGGATCCTGCCAAAGTCTGTACTGGAAAGGGGGCTGTGACCCTCTGGGCGTCTCCAACCTATGAGGAGAATCGGAGCGTCAGTCCTACAAGTCATTCACAAGACGTCCACCAATCTGAAAGTAAGTCCAAAGTGCGAGATAATAGCCATAGACTAGATAGAAAGTCAAAGTGCTTATTGTTTAAGCTGCTGCCACTTGAGGGACGCAGGTGGCACTGTCGGTTAAACCACAGAGCCTAGGACTTGCCGATTAGAAGGTCGGCGGTTCGAATCCCTGCGACGGGGTGAGCTTCCGTTGCTCGGTCCCTGCTCCTGCCAACCTAGCAGTTCGAAAGCACGTCAAAGTGCAAGTAGATAAATAGGTACCACTCCAGCGAGAAGGTAAACGGCACTTCCGTGCACTGCTCTGGTTCGCCAGAAGCGGCTTAGTCATGCTGGCCACATGACCTGGAAGCTGTACGCCGGCTCCCTCGGCCAGTAAAGTGAGATGAGCGCCGCAACCCCAGAGTCAGTCATGACTGGACCTAATGGTCAGGGGTCCCTTTACCTTTACTATTAAAAACCTGAAGATGTAAGATTGAGGATGACGCATGTTTGAAGCTCAGGGGTAGAACATAATAACTGTATCAGGATGATTAATTCATAATGTGAGCATCTGAGTTGCACCAGACTCTTTCCTCAAACTGGATGTAATTAAAAAGGGGGAATAGATGTTCCGAAGAAAGAGCATAGTGTTTTGTGCTGTCTGCAGTTTGCTCCAAGCTTTAAGGGACAGTACAGATATTTCTTGCTGACTAATTAAAAACTGCCTCCTTAAACATTCAAGACCTTTCTGTACAGCCTTTTTGTCTGGACAGCTCTTCAATGCTGTATCATAAATATCAATAAATAGCAACAGTGCAATATTCACTTGCACTAAAGTAATATTACACGGTGGCAAGCTAGACCAGAGAACCAATTTCTGAGCATGATCCTATGTAAGTCTACTCAGAAGTAAGTCCCAGAAGGCTTACTCCATGCTCCAAGAACCTCACTTTGGAAATATCAAAACTAGTAGTTATCTGATTCTGTCATGCCATCGTGGTTTTAGAGTAAAGGCTAGAGGTCTTTAAACTAAAGTAAGGTAAAGGTAAAGGGACCCCTGACCATTAGGTCCAGTCGTGACCAACTCTGGGGTTGCAGCGCTCATCTCACTTTACTGAGCAACGGGAGCTCACCCCGTCACGGGGATTTGAACCGCTGACCTTATGATCGGCAAGTCTTAGGCTCTGTGGTTTAACCCACAGCACCACCCGCGCCCCTCAGGTTTTTAATAGCCGTATGTATTTACTGCCCAACCACCTACTTCATCTAAACAGTTAGAATAGTTAAATAACTATGACAGTTTATAGGATTCTAGGCATGCTACTCTTTTTTATGTGTCATAATTGTTCAAATGTGGTACCAGGGGCTGGGACTTGAATGGAAAGAAACATGATGCATTCCATGCGGGACTTCAGTTAAAAAAAACCAACAACAACCCCAGGCCATGGAGAAGTTTGTCCATCAGAAAAAATGCCAGGCTATATTTCTCACAAATAATATCACGGATGATGGTTTTAGCTATGATTCCTGATGTGGGTATGGGAAGCACCCGACTTGATGAAAGAAATGCAAACATTGTTTGCCTGAAATGTCACAGGCAATGCTTATTTATGCAGCATATTTAATCCCTTAAATGGGCTTGGGACGATTGTGATTATTTATTTGGCGACATGCGCAGGAACAAGGGGGAAAGTGCAGGTGCGCAAACACTTTCAACTACCGCAGAGAATCCAGTTAAAAGAAGAAGGGAAAGGATGGAACATTAACACAAACTCCACTGGATAGTTCTTATTGCTGTTTTCCTCTTTTTTCTTTTTAAAGGCTTCTTGATTGATTACTTTTCACCACAGCTGGGCTCTGAACACATTGCCAGCTTAAAAGAAAGCCGCTTCGTTCCTTTTTCTCCATTCAGATCAAAGCTGGCTTGGGGGGAAATACGTAAAAATGCAGTATTTCCCAAGAACAACAGAATAGATATGGATTGCAGCTAGTGTCACCCAACCACCGTGCAGTGCAAGAATCTCAGCTTTAAAGCATCCGTGACAGATGGCCCCTGCTCAAAATCTTTCAATGAGGGAGAGGAATTTCAGCTTCTTGGAGCAAGTGGCAGAGAGCAGGGAGCTGAGGAATATTGTGCTTGGCTGAGAAAAGAAGCAAAGTTTTCCCGGTTCAGTCCATGGGCAAACTTGAGTATGTTAAAGACTACTAAGGCGGATGTTATGTACTGAGTTGAATAGGATCCAAAAGGCAGGAGTCTGATTGGTCCTAGAACAATAGGATCCAGAATGCAGGAGTCTGATTGGTCCTAGAACAATAGGATCCAAAATGCAGCAGTCTGATTGGTCCTAGAGCAATAGGATCCAAAATGCAGCAGTCTGATTGGTCCTAGAACAATAGGATCCAGAATGCAGCAGTCTGACTGGTCCTAGAACAATAGGATCCAGAATGCAGCAGTCTGATTGGTCCACAGGAGCCACCCAATCCAGCTCCAGGTGGCAGTGAATCCGCAACCTGATTGGCCTACAGGAGAATCCTGGAATTAGCCAATCACCTGGGATCCATTGTGTAAATAATGTATATAAAGCAGACATTCGGGGGGAACTTCCATTCCTCCTCACCACTATGAGCTGAATAAAGAGGATGAAATCCACTCTCGACTCCGAGTATATTTCAGCGGAGATCCCCTGCTCTCTTACTTCAGAATAAGCCCGCTGCACTGAACACTGGTGGAGATGTTCTTCCGAGCATGCAACTCATGCTCAGGCTTGCTGGTGGATAATTTGAACTGGTTTCTAATTTTTCCGTGCAGAGGATGCCGCCAGAAAGCTTCCACTGTCTCGTGGTGGGAGGAGGGAACAATTACCGGAAATGATTGTGCATCTGCGAGGGGTTGAGAGAAAAGGGAAGAGAATCGTGCCCACTCTTTTGACCGTTCAAAGTCGAATGCGTGTGGATGGGGAGAAGCATTGAATTGTGTAGCACTCCCCAGTGGGCGTAGATGCCCTGTTGAAATTCCAGATAGAACGTAAAATAGAAAAGCCGCAATCGGAAAGTACTGAGTGCGCTGCACCAGAGCTCTAGTTAAGCCACCTGTCTCAGTTTATCTCCCTCGCTTCCTTTCCCCTTCGTCCTCTTCTCTGCACAACGTCATCCCTCCCATCCACGCCACCCGCTGTCCTTTTTATTGCTGATGGCTTCCTAAATTTCCAGCAGTGAGTCATTTACAATGGAAAAGGAGCATTGTGCTGACTCTCCCTTTGGAAAATGCCTGCCAGAGCCAGGAGACTGCGTTTTGCATGTGCATCAACAGGGGGTTGTGGTGTGTGTGTGTGTGTGTGTAGTGGCACCAAAACCAGGTTCTGAAACATCTTGGAAAGGGAGCCAGTGAGAGTTCTGAACTCCCCTGGGATCTGATTAAGGACTTTGCTGCGGCAAATTTGTTCCTAACCCTCAAAAGAGAGAGTGTTTGTTTGTTTGTTTGTTTGTTTGTTTGTTTGTTTGTGGTTTCCATTCTTAGGATCTCGCAGCAATGTGCGTAAGGCCAGCATGTAAATAGAAAATACTGTGTCACACCTTGTGGCCCGGACTCTATAAAGATGGCACATGTTGTACCAGGCACTTCTAAATATGTTTGTTTGTTTGCGGCTCTCCCTCCCATCTCCTCTGGCAGGGTTAAGAAAGGACAGAATTATTTTCCACCCCTTTGCCTACATCTCCGTTTGAAATATTGAAGCCCTGCACTTGCAGTAGTGTGTGGCATTTGGGCTCCGTACGGAGAGCTCTGACTGCCTTTTTGACTCTGGAAGGAAATGCCAATGCACAATTGTTTCTTCATCACTCTGAATGAATTGCCTTGTGTTTACAAAGGTCAGGAACGGCGAGGGAATCATGTTTCTATGGAAATTAGGCAGCCTGAGCTCTTAAGTATCCCATGCGCAAAGTGGACTCAATTCTTAACTCTGATTGGTAAATGCACCCCGTCCCAATGTAACAGTTGATTGTGGTGTTGTTTTCCTAATTCCCTCCCTTCTTTTCATTTTCTCCAATGCTTGCCACAAAATGCTTCAGGTGTAGAGCCAGGAACACCCGAAACAGGTATTTACTAAATGCTTCGTTTTCTTATCGTTTCCGCGGCACACCTCTCGGTTGCTTAAGCAAGCACAAAACCTTGACTGTTTGGTGCAGCTCTAGTGACCTGAAGTTCTTCGTTTTGCAGATGATTGGAGGTTACCGCTTAGTGTCGACTCCAATGGGGATGCTCAGTCCTCTGCTCTGGCTGCCAAGGGCTACCGCAGTGTGCGGCCAAACCTCTCTGAGAGCAAACCACACGTGAGTACCTGCCTTAAAAAATCCTTATGTGCTAGGAAAACTGTTGAGCCAAAGTAATGAAGAGTGAAGAGACCTGTGCCATCTTCCTGGCTGTGGTTGGGTGGGGAGCTTTTGTAATTCCTTTTTAATGGTTTGTAACAAGGGGTTGCGGGTGGCTCTATGGGTTAAACCACAGAGCCTAGGGCTTGCTGATCAGAACGTCGGCGGTTCGAATCCCTGCGACGGGGTGAGCTCCCGTTGTTCGGTCCCTGCTCCTGCCAACCTAGCAGTTCGAAAGCACGAAGTGCAAGTAGATAAATAGGTACCACTCTGGCGGGATGGTAAAACGGTGTTTCTGTGCACTGCTCTGGTTCGCCAGAAGTGGCTTAGTCATGCTGGCCACATGACCCAAAAGCTGTACTCCCTCGGCCAGTAAAGCGAGATGAGCGCCGCAACCCCAGAGTCGTCCACGACTGGACCTAATGGTCAGGGGTCCCTTTACCTTTACCTTTTTAACATGAGCATAATGCCACAGAACATCTCTCATGTCTGTTCAAACAAAGAGGTAGCTGTAATTGGTGGAGAGCACCACAAAAGAGGAAGTTTCCTTGTTTGTTTTCCTGTTCAGCAGTAGTCTTCTTCTACTTGAGATCCATCTTTAGCCCCAACCTGCAACATGGACCCAGTGTTTGTTTGTCTTTTAAATCAATGTGGACTTGGAGATCACCTAGTCCAGAATGCTATTACAGCATCGCTAAGATCCAGCCATCAAGCAGGGGAGACTGTCCCAAGGCAGGCTGTTCTACTGCCAAACAACCCTTACCAGTAGGAAGGTTTCTCCTACTGCTCAGCTGAAATCTGCTTCCACGCCATTTCTGCCTAGAGATTCTAGCCCTTCCCTCTGGAGCCACACACACAAAGACGTTTGCTCCATCTTCTCCCTGCTGGGTGTTTGAAGACTTGCTGTCATGTCTCCCCTTAACCTTAACAAAGGTGTGAGTTATAGGATTTTACCAGAAAGGGAATTTGAGGCTTTTTTGACGTTGCCTTCTCCTAGAACTGTACTTGGTCAGCAAAAAGGAACCGACGTCCTTCTTGATCTTGAATCTTGGCTCCATGTGTGTAATTTCCATTACTGAATGAGTAGGGAAAACCTCAGCTGTTCTCTCCCACTACCAACCCTGCCTGTCCTTTGCCACAAACTGGATTCTTGGTCAACTAGATTCTTACTGTGCCACCCACTATGTCTGGATTGCAGGAACCATTAAGTTCTGGGTGGCTGTGCTACAGCTGCTGACAGGCAAGCTCTGCTTTGTTTTATTCAGAATAGGGTCACTCCTTATGAGCACCATTGCAGAACACAGATTTTTGTGTGTGAGGGGACAAGCTTGATTCATAATTTTGGTTGCCTTCTTTATTACATTGCCTTAAAATTTTGCTGAGATGCATTCAATGTTGCTTGCTTTTGTTTTGCTTTTTGCAAGCAGAAGGAGGCCCTCACTAATGGAAGAGGCAGTGAGGGATCTTTTTATTTTTTAATACCAAAACCTCCTTCGGGGTACAGTCCCCCAATCATCTGGAGCAGATTTTCACAGGGCTGCAGGGGGAGATGGAAAAGATCTCTTCCCCTTCCTTCAGCAAAGACATCCGTTGGATCAAAAGCGGTTCTCTGAACTGGAAGGGCACAGTCTGATTCAATTCAGTCTGGTGGTTATTTTGTTTTCGTTTTTGTCCAAATCCTGAACCCCAGTCACACCTCAGACAGTTTCTAAATGCTTCCAAATGCTAACAGCCTGACTCCCTCCTTTGGTAATCCTCACAGAACTTCTAGCCCAATGGTTGCCATTAATTTGATTGGAATTAATTTTATAATGAAATGATTTTAGAATGTTGTATCGTTTTACTATTGTTAGCCGCTCTGAGCCTGGCTTCAGCTGGGGAGGGCGGGATATAACAAAATAATATATAAATAAAATTTATTATTATTATTATTAACATTCAGTACATTTGAGAGGAAAATTTAGAAGTTATTGGATGTTTGGGTTGTAGACACATTATTTGGTCACACAAGCTCACTGGATACACAACACCTTCCCTTCTCACCCCCAAACAGTCTCTGGACTTCCCAGTTTCCAGAAGCCTTAAAAAAACCCTTCTTGGGGAGCATTTATTTCACTATGTCTGAGCTGTGATTGGTGCGCAGAGCTCGGGCCAAAATAATAATAGATGTGAGCTAAGTGTCGGATCCTGCGCATGTGTAGGACCCTGTTTTATGTTCCAAGCTCTGGTAGAACTTCTTTTTACAACCAAGTTTTATTTAAAGTTTTCCACTACAATAAAAAGCATACTAATCTAAAAAGAAAAATAGAAAGGGGGGAGCAGGAAAGGAGGAGAGTAAAGAAGAAAAGAAAGGGGAAAACAAGGGAAATGAAATTACAAAGTCCTCTATCAAAATTAAGTCTTAACCCTTATACCGCACATGGAAAAATGAGCCCATGCAGCTCTCACCTGGGACCGTCGCCCTCTTCCCCCAGCCTCCCACCCTAGGAAATGTTCTTACACACAGGGTTCTTCATCTTCAATCCTGTGTGCATCTTCCTTGATATGAGAGGAGGAACTTCAGGTTACAGAACGTAGCATAAGTGTGACGAGAAGAAAGAAGAAGAAATAATAATGAGATAGAAGAAAGTGAGATATAAAAAAGGCTAAAAAGAAAGAAATAGGAAGGGCTTCCAATTATTTGCCTGTCAATTATGTATGTAACACAACAACAACAACAACAACAAACAAACAACAAACCAGAACAACATATTATTTATATCCCGCCAATCTGTCTGGGTTTCCCCAGCCACTCTGGACGGCTCCCAACAGAATATTAAAAACATGATAGCACATCAAACATTAACAACTTCCCTAAACAGGGCTGCCTCCAGATGTCTTCTAAAAGTCAGGTAGTTGTTTATTTCCTTAACATCTGATGGGAGGGCGTTCCACAAGGCGGGTGCTACTACCAAGAAGGCCCTCTGCCTGGTAACAATTATTCAAAATCTTCAAAGTATGCACTCCAGGATAATTTCAGGATGCACTGTTGGGTAGCTATGTCTCCATCTGCTGTAGCAGAACTTCTGAGGGAAGTGGCATTCAAGTCTTCATAATCTCAGTCATTGCAAACTAGGCAACTTCATATGCAGAACAAGATCACTAACATGAGCAAAGCTTAAGTTTTCAGGAACATGCCTGACGTCTGAACTAGGTGCTGTAGGTAACTTTCCCTCAATTATTCTAGATTCAGGTAGGTAGCCGTGTTTGTCTGACGCAGCAGAAATAAATTAAAAAATTAAAAAATTGTCCAGTGGCACCTTAGAGACCAACGTAAGTTTGTTCTCGGTCTAAGCTTTTGTGTGCATGCACACTTCTTCAGATACACTGAAACAGAAGTCACCAGACCCTTATATATAGTTGGAGGGTGGGGTGGGGTTTTCCCCAGAAGGGTAGTAGGAGATGGGTGATTGGCTCAATGGGTATGGTAAACCTGTTGAAGACTATTAACGACTGCAATTAGTCCTACAGGAAACAGGCAAATATGTCCTCAAATAGGTTTTTTTAATTTCCCATGTAACATTTTTACAAATCAGTTTCATTTGTTGAGACATTAGGAAGAAAAGGGGGAAAGAGGTGGAGGGAGTAGGAGATGGGTGATTGACATGGGGAAAAATTACGAGAGAGAGAGAGAGAGAGAGAGAGAGAGAGAGAGCGATATTGCACACACTTTTGTAAAGCAAGAAAATCTTTAATAAATAAAGTATGCTGTGCATACAAAAAAGGTGGTTTTTTTTAAGCAAAAGCAACCACGTGATGGGAATTTCAGTAAAGGGGCCGCCATGGGGAAGGGGATGCTTAACCCTTTCTCCTCTAGCTGTCCCCTCTTTTTGCCTAGGAATAAAATAAAAGCCAGGTTGGGGGGTGAGGGGACTACTTCTACAGAAAGTTAAGTGGCTCCTCCACGTGGTTCCTCTGCATTAACTTGCAGTATCCTGATTCCTGAAACTGCTGTTGATATATAACCAAGTAGGTTAGGGGACAGGTACACAGGGCTGCGTTTCATGTTTAGTTCCAGTTTGAGACTGAAACTGAAAGGCAGATTTTTCTGGTGGCATTCTTGAAGATATACAAAGAAAGGAAAGGCCCAAAGGAAGCAGGCGTCCATCTACAACAACAGCGATAATGAACAATAAACAGCAGCAAATATTTGAATGTTGTGCTCTGGGTATTGCTGTTCAAGAACTGGCAAATTGGAGGAGATTTCAGAAAACAGCCAGAAAGATGACAAAAGGCCCCTTCAAGGCCCATGAATACTAGCTCACAGAATGCGGCTGTGAAACCTTAGACTGAAAAAAGCATCTTTAGGGAGTAGTTTGGTTCTCAAAATGTTTAACTGTTTAATTGACTTGCTGTTCCTGTTTCCTTAAAGGGAAAGGCATTCAAGGGCACAGAGCAAAGACTGGATTTATTTGTTAAGCTAATACATGCCCTGGCCTCCTTTTGCAGTAGTAATAATCAGGGTAGCTTCCCATAAAAATAAAATAAAATTAGGCCCCCTGCCTTTTTTAACACCCCCACCCTAAACTATTAATCACAGACAGTTATAGGAAAGGCAAATGTATCCTGGACATGAAAGAAGACTGCAGTATCAGATAACTGCAAGAAAAGGCTGTGCAAATACCAATTTGGGATGCTTTTGTTATGGGATATCATGTCATAGAGCAAAGCTTGGTGTGGCCCAAATGGTAACTTTCAGGACCTGGGAACAGACTGTCAGGAAAGCATTAACCTCACAGTCCTGGTCCAAATTTATTCTCCCCACCCCCCAAGGGGGCTGCTATTAATTTCCTTTTAAAATGCTGGTGATCTCATTCATTTTATCTCCTGCGTCATGTCTTGTTAGAGCAGAACGTTGAATGGGGTGAAGCACCAAATTCCTTCCAGTTGTATCAATAATTTTACTCTCTCAGCTGCTCACTGGTGTTTTTTTAAATTGAAGTTTGCATATATGAATGAAATCTCAGCATATACAGAAATCCCAGTTCCAGAAAGATTTAGAGACTTATATAGCCGTCTCCCAAATACAGTGGTGCCTCGCAAGATGAAATTAATTCGTTCCGCGAGTTTTGTCACCTTGCGATTTTTTTCGTCTTGCGAAGCACGGTGTCAGGAAAGTTTTGGAAAAGCTTCAAAAATCACCAAAGTCTTTAAAAACCTCAAAAAAGGCTACCACACCGCATTCTATGAGTTGCTCCTCAAAGTCAAGTCGCAACTGTATTAACGGTGTTAAGAAAAAGGAAACAAACTTGCAAGACGTTTCCGTCTTGCGAAGCAAGCCCATAGGGAAAATCGTCTTGCGAAGCAACTCAAAAAACCAAAAACCCTTTCGTCTTGCGAGTTTTTTGTCTTGCAAGGCATTCGTCTTGCGAGGTACCACTGTATAACCACACATAGCTTCAAACCGTATCTGATTATATTTTCAAAACACTCGCAATTTTATCCCAGTTTTTTTTTAAAATTGAGAGTGTTTTGAAAATAAAATAAAAAACTTGTTCTATAAGTTTTTATAGCTGTTTGCCCTGTACCTTTTCAATAAATAAAAATTTGAGCATTATAAATGTTTTTCCAGTTTCCACCAAACATTTTTCTTGTGTTGATAAATTTGATGTTTCCCCTCCCCTAACATATAATTTGTACATCAGTCAATAAATCATCAGGCTATAATGTTATTTGTGTACCTCCTGGATAACACCTAATGACACAGGACCGGAGGCAAGTGATAGTTCTGAACTAAATTTCCCTTAATCACTAAAACAATGGTATTTGAGAAAGACTTTATATTAGAACATGGCCACCACGAATAATTGAAAATAGCATTCCGATTGCCAAAGTGCTAACACCTTGAATTGATTAGGGCAGGGATGTCTACATTGTGGGACCACATCTCCCATCATCCTTAATCACTGGCCGCAGTGGGGCTGATGGGAACTGGAGTCCAATTACAGGTTCCCCTTGAATTAGGACCACTGTTAATCCCTCAGAATTTATGAGACTTATTCTGGTAGAACATGTTGCAGTATATTCAATACATCGAAGAGGATTAACTGTGGTGTACTTGAGATCTCAAAATGACAGCTATTGGTACATGTTGGCTGATGAGATGATGAAAAATATCACCCAATTTTATTTTATAATCGATTTCGGTGTACGTGATGCTTTGGCTTTTATGAAGTCTCTGCCATCTTTTGAAAAGAAACATTTCACCTCTTTTCTCTCCCCCCCCCCAGCCAGCTAAATGAGTGTGTGTGTGTGTGTGTGTGTGTGTGCTGTTAAAAGCTTGCAGCAATGGAAACATTACAATGACGTTTTAGTGGTCTGTCTTGTGGCCCCCCCCATTTTTTACTATGCAACTATTTTGAGTTCGGTGCAGAAGCTCACTCCAAATGGGGTCTCTGCCATAGCTGTCAAGCGTCCCTTATTTGGCGGGACAGTCCCTTATCCCAGCGCCATGTCCCACTGCTGTCCTTTATTGATGATGTCCCTTAAATAAGCTACTGAAGGTAATGGGGCCCTTTCTATGTCCAGCTGTCCTTTGTCAACAACAAATTGTTGCTGGTTTTTTTGTGTTGAATATATGCTATATGGTAATTTATGGACCTAATAAGTATCTAAAGACATTTGCACACAACAAAATAATGTATTTTATCAAAGTAGTTGTTGATCCCTTATATTGGCTGCTGATCCCTTATTTTCGAGGCTGTTGGTCCCTTATTTTCAAATCTGTAAGTTGACAGCTATGGTCTCTGCTAGTGCACTTTGTAATGAAAATCTGACTTGCTCATTGATTGAGGGCTTTCATTTGGTATCAACAAGTTTCGCTCTTAAGGTTGCGTGGTAGATTTCCATCACTCTGCTGTTAAGAAGGTGTTGGTAACTCAATGATACGAGTTCATAACGGACCCGGAAAATGCATTATTAGTCTTACATAAGCATTTTCCTTCAAAGGACCTGTTTGTTTTATGCACCTCTGGCTTTGTGCAGAGTCAGAAGTAATATTGTTGATTGTTTTGAGTAAGATCCTGAACTTCATTCCAATATCCAGAAATCCTGAGAGGGATGATGGGATTCAGAGCTGACATTCACCACCTCTAAAACTGTGATCCTGAGAGTAAACCCCAGTGAATGCAATAGGGCTTCTAAGTAGACATGGTTAGGATTGTTGCATTAAATCCTCAGGCTTCCCTGGTTTGTCAACTAAGCAGAAAACTGAACGTATTTACTGTAAGCAGTACATAACATTGACTTCTTGTTTATTTATTTACTTGCTTTCTTATTTAATCATATCATCAATGCACACTGTGTTACAGTCAAATACAAGGTAATAAGAAAGAAAAACATATCTTAAATATAACACGTACGTATATAAGCAAGGATCACAACATAACTTATTCCTGCAATTTAATTGATTCTTATAAACCTTGATTTCAATTCCTGTTCCACTCTTTCCCTGGTTTGGAAAGATATTGGCTAGGAAATGCATACCATTGACTTCAGTGTGATAGACAGCTACAGTGATCTGGGCTTTGGGTATTCAGCCAATACATGATACACTGAAATGATTCACCAGCTCATCATGTGAAGATCTGGAAATCCTTCATTCAACAACGGGAGTGAATGAGCTGTGTGCGGACTTTGAAATTCCATATTAAAGTTTCGTTTCTTCCTGTTAACCTCAGTCTAATGACGAACTCCTTTCTCTCTCTCCTCTTTTTCTCCTTTGTACGGTGCTGACTTTCCCCCCTTTTGAACCCCTTAACTGGACAGACCCCTTCTCCACCCCACCCCTCTCCTCCAAACGAGGAGAGCTTTGCATGGCGACCTCGCACCGGCACCGCAATAACTGTCCTGCAGCCTGTTCCCATAACGGATTGTGTACACCCTCGCGCACCCAAGCCGCATTTGCGACCCAGCCTCGAGGGCCGGCCCAGTTTTTCCTCCTCGCCCAAACCCTTCGTTGCGGCTCCCTACAAATCCTCTGGCTCCATCCCCGCAGACCGGGGGTTGCATGTTGGGCAATCGCGGTCGGGAAGTTGCTCCTTGTTACCCGACGCGTCATCCGAGCACCAAAACACCCTGGCGCTTGCTGAGGAACATCCGAGTGGTAAAGCTGGACTGAAACCCAACCACGAAACCAGAGCGCAGAAAAAGGTCAGCAGTCTATATGTAGCTTGTTTATCTAACAGCACTTGTCCGGCTCCGTTTGGAAATTCCACTGCCCGTTCAGATGGCCAAACACAAGGCGCCCGTTTTGGAGCTGAGGTCACTGTGGCACCAGCCTTCTCCCCTGCTTCCTCTGTAACAGATACTGGAAAATCTCTTCCTCCTCCTCCTCCTGCCCCTCCCAAGCCATTCTTTAATATTGTTCTCAGTGGAGACTCAGTTAGTTATGGTCCGAGCCATCCCTCCAGGACTCCACAGGCTGTTGGCAACACAAAGGCAGACTTCCCACATACGACTTGCAGTGAGGACAGGATGAGAAAGGAACCGTGCATTGCTCAGCCGCCGCCGCCGCCCCCAGCAACATCCATGCAAGGCAAAGGAACATGGCAGGGTACTTGGTTTTCTTCATAACCTTTTTTTCCTCCCCCTTTCACACGGCTGTATCTTTCTTTTCCTTCTCCCACCGGCGTGAAATGCACCAGCGCCTTCCTTTCCGATTTGGATGCATCCTAAGATCTTTCCCTCTCTCCTGCTGAATAACCGACAGCCTTTCCTTCCGAGACGGATGCATGTTTGTGTGGAGATTGCGGTTGCAAGGTTTTGGGGGGTGGGTGCCTCAAGCCCAAACCATACCGGAGAGTTTGGGATGGGTGCCGTTCTGTGAAACCCCTCTGTCTTAGGCTAAAGGAAACATAGCAGCTGGCACAAAACTGCCCTCAGGTGATGACCGTGTAGTCGAAGGGATTTTGGATTGCTTGATCTGTTGATGGCAGGTGACCTGGAAGGTGGGTTTGGGGCCCGGGAGTTGTGTGAATTGTTGTTGTCTTTTTTTAATGGCCGCCGTGCAAAACTTGCTCCTTTGGGTAAAATAATGTCGTCTCACGAGGTGTCGTCTCACGAGGTGCGGCATCTTTTGCATGTCACTGCTCACCTCCACTGTTTCGGTCCCCCCCTCTTGTGTAATGCCACCTTATCTCCCACAGGATGCGACTTGCTCTGCCGCCACCACCCCAGCTCAGACAGAGGTTATAGTAGTGCCATTCCAACAGGTTTACCCCGACCGCGGGCGAGAAGGCAGCTCAAGCACACCTCCACCGTCTCTCCTGCCATATGGCCAAAGCTCTGCATTCTCTGACAGCACGCCTGCTCCTGGCTTACTCCTGACCTTCCCGACATTAGACGATTTCATTCCCCCTCACCTTCAGAAAGGTTCCCAACATAACCAGCCGTCCTCTTCGTCGGGGATCGTGCCCCACGTTCGCCCGAAACTGCCTTCACTGTCGCCACCACCACCTCCTCCTCCTCCTGTGCTGATTCCTCCCGTCACGGAGGTCTCAGACAGTGTGTCGGAGCCCGAGAGCACAGGAATGATCTTGCGCACAGTAAGCCTTGCCACATGCCACCGTGACGGCTTTGCTAAATTTATGCTCCCGGATTAAATGACCTTATTTTTTTTCTCACTGGCATACTAAACTTTGAACAAGGTGCTCTCTGCCAGCAGCATGACAACCGAAACCTTGTTTATGTGCTATTAAATTGCATGTGTGTCTCTCCCCCCACTTCTTGCTCAGTCACCCTTCGGCCGTGTAATGTTTCTTCCTTGTCCTTTCCTATTTGAAAACTCTACACCAGGGTTTCCCCAAACGTTTTGGACTACGGTACCCATCATCCCTGACCACGGGTAGCTAGCGGTGATGGGAGTTGCAGTCCAAAAACTACTGGAGGGCCCAAGCTTGGGAAGCCCTGCTCTGTGCCTTTGGCCATAACCAGGGCTATGTACAAGGCACATCCCAACTTGGTGCCCTGCAAATGGAGCTGGACTACAAATCCCAGCCTCCTGACCTGATGGAAGTACTCCATTTTAGTGTTCCACACTGCTTTAGACTACCTTCACGGAAGGACATAGGTAAGCTGTTATGCCAATGTCTTTGGGCTTCTTCCTTTGTGGCAGCTTCGTATTCGCAATTTCACATCTGCGTACGAAAGCACATCTGCCATTGTTGCGTTGCAGAACACATGAGTTTCCTAGGCCCCATTTAGTCACCTGGTAGTGGGAGGAGGTCTTTAAAGACAGCTTCACATGCAATGCCTTTCATAGAATCATAGCTGGAAGGGGTTCTGAGGATCATCTGTGTGTGTGATAATTTTTATTATTACACTAATAAATAATTTTTATTAGTTTTCGATTACAATAACTCCATAAAAGCCTCATTGTCACAGTACCAAATTATAATACAATTCATATTTCCAATTGTTCAGATACCAAATTCTATTATTTTGTTGGGCCCCCGCGTGCTAGAATTGATGATTCGATAATTTGCTTTAACTCTGCATTCCAAAAGCTTATGAATTCCAGTTGCACACCAGTCAGAATAACAAACCCTTATATTGCAGCTGCAGTTTAATAATAATAATAATAATAATAATAATAATAATAATAATAATAATAATTTATTATTTATACCCCGCCCATCTGGCTGGGCTACCCCAGCCACTCTGGGCGGCTTCCAAAAAAATATTAAAATACTGTAATACATCAAACATTAAAAGCTTCAAAAGTTTTAACGACTTCCACCCACAGTAACACGTCAAATAATTTGCAGTCCTACAGATGAAGTCTTCAAACTCTCTCTTTGGATTCTGAGCATCATCTAACCAGACCCCCTGCAAGCAAGGAAGTTGCCCCATATGGGGATCGAACCTGTGACTTTGGCATCATCAGTACCACGCTCTAACCTACTGAGCTATCTAAGCTCAGGGAAGGCTGGTGGGCTGTCTCTGCCCATGGCAGGCTACCTCTGTCCGGAGGACCCCGATTAGAACAGCCAGAGCTGGTGAAAAGTACTTTATGCCACCAGGATCTCCATACACAACTCTTCCAGTTTCAGGCTGCAAATTATGCCAGTCTCTATGGTTTTCTTCTTCAAGATTCGGCTTCTACTGGATTGGCTTCCTTGAGTCTCAAAAGGCAGCCAGACACAGCAAAAACAACAACAAACCTATTTTAATGGTGGGCTGGTGGGCCGGGAGCTAAACAGGTCACCTCTCTTCCAGTTTCCCCCGACGGCTTTTATATACTTGCTGAAAGTAATTGGCGCTGTGGGTTAAACCACAGAGCCTAGGGCTTGCCGATCAGAAGGTTGGCGGTTCGGATCCCCGCAACGGGGTGAGCTCCCATTGCTCGGTCCCTGCTCCTGCCAACCTAGCAGTTCGAAAGCACACCCAAAAGTGCAAGTAGATAAATAGGTAGCGCTCCGGCAGGAAGGTAAACGGCGTTTCCGTGCGCTGCTCTGGTTCGCCAGAAGCGGCTTAGTCATGCTGGCCACATGACCTGGAAGCTGTACGCCGGCTCCCTCGGACAATAAAGCGAGATGAGCGCCGCAACCCCAGAGTCAGCCATGACTGGACCTAAAGGTCAGGGGTCCCTTTACCTTTTTAAAAGTGATTGTGGGACCAAATGGAGCTCTGGTGGTCACTCAATGATTCTGTTGATCTTTAAATATCATGTAGCACAACAAAAACCCCAGAGGGGCACATTTGGATTTGAATTTCCTGTGCTTCTGGTTTGATTCAAAGTGTTCCATTAAAAAAAAAGAGGGGGGGGGAGATGCAATTGAATTTTGACCTTTTATCCCTCCGGGGAGGTAGGGGCAGCACACATGGTTTCCCCAAACGCTTCATCCTTGTGGCATTAGGCTGAGAGGTGGTGGCTGGTCCAAGGCCATCCAGGGACTGTCAGTGCCTGATGTGAACACAGGCCATGCTGGTTTAAGCCCAATGATCCACCTACTGGCACTTCATGGAGTTGCTTTTACAGGAGAACCCAAAACATGAAACCCCAATGCCTTGAGATTGTCCTTCCTGGTGCACACTGGCTCATGCAAGTGGCTATGCATCATAAAGATGAGTAGGGGATCAGTATGAGCTGTATGTAGTTCAAATGCTGTTTATTGGATGTGAGGACATGGGTGGCGTCGTGGTCTAAACCACTGAGCCTCTTGGGCTTGCCAATCAGAAGGTCGGCAGTTTGAATCCCCGTGACGGGGTGAGCTCCCCTTGCTCTGTCCCTGCTCCTGCCAACCTAGACAGTTTGAAAGCACATCAAGTGCAAGGAGATAAAAGGTACCACTGCGCGGGAAGGTAAACGGCGTTTCCATGCGCTCTGGTTTCCGTCACGGTGTCCTGTTGCCCCAGAAGCAGTTTAGTCATGCTGGTCACATGACGCGGAAAGCTGTCTGTGGACAAACGCCGGCTCCCTCGCCCTGAAAGCGAGATGAGCGCCACAACCCCATTGTCGCCTTTGACTGGACTTAACCGTCCAGGGGTCCTTTACCTTTTTACCTTATTAAATGTGCACACTCACAGAATGGTGGAGTTGGAAGGGACCCCACGGATCATCTATTCCCAACCCCCTGCAATGCAGGAAACCTTTTGCCTGACGTGGGACTCGAACCCACAACTTTGAAATAAAAAATCTCATGCTCTACCAACTGGCTATTCCTCCTCCCCCGCCCCACTTGCAGTTGTGCCCTAATTTTCTGCCACTCGCTGCTCACTTTGAACAAATCCTTCTGGTAGGTCTAAACTGGAAATCTCAGGGTCAGTATGGTCATTTCATCTTGACGGCCACCTTTACTCCACCGCCACAAAAATTTAACAGCAGTTCTTATGTCAGTGATAACAAATAAGCAGTTTCTGCAGCTGGCTGCGGTCGGCCCAAGGATGTGATCCTCTACCTTCCTCTCTCCTGTCTCTGCCGGTTGCTCTCCACCTGTTCTTCGCATTGTCCTGATGTCCCTGGCGTCCTGCTGTCTAACAGCTTGCAAAGGGCGGTGCGTCCTAAAGTTATTTCCCGGATCCCCCTCATCAAATAATCCGTAACCGGCTTTCGTTCAGGAACTGCATGGGTTTTGCATGCCTGATGGTTTCTGTGAAAGGAACACCTCTTTTTAAAAGGAAGCATGGGTCTGAACACACAGATCTCTCTCTCTCTGTGTATCTCTGTAACCAGAACAGCTCACTCCTGCCACCAGCTGTATGCCATGTATTACAGTTCCTTCTTCCAGTGCAAAAAATGGGTTTTGGCTCTTCCCTCTGTGTATACTAACGGCAATGAGAAAGGCGCCGAGCCGGTGCATCAAACTAAACTTTTCTCGGGTTTGTTTGCTCTCTGTTGCAAGGCGGCTGTCCTCCAGGTACCCTGTGGCCCTTGGGCAATAACTGCATATGTACCTTTCCGTTTCAGGACCCCTGTCCTCTGCTCTATGAAGCGCCCAGGTCCAGCAGTGGCACAGAGTGCTATGGCTCCCTAACTCTCACCAGCAAACCCACCTCTGGGTACCCCTCCACCACCATAGTCAACCCCACCATCGTCCTTTTGCAGCACAACAGAGGTAAGGGTAACAACATATTGCCTTTTCCAGCTCAACTTGGGGCAATTTTCAGCGAGGGCAATTACCGTATTTTTCGCTCCAAAAGACGCATAAGGCGCAGCTAGTTTTGGGAGGAGGGAAACAAGAAAAAATTATTTTGAATCCCAGAAGCCAGAACAGCAAGAGGGATCTGGCTTCTGGGATACCGTGTGGCTGTTCTGGCTTCTGGGATAACTGCACCAAGCCTCTTCAGGGCAGTGGGATGAAGGCTCCCTCTGCCTGAAGAGGCTGCGCAGGGCTAAGGCAGAAGCCAGGATGGCGCGTCGCTGAAGGGGCGCTGCGAAGTTCTCTCTCTCTGCACAGTGCCTCTCCTTCACAGGAGAGATGCTGCGCAGAGAGGGAGAAGGCGCAGCACCCCTTCAGCGAAGCTGGAGAAGGAACAGAAGGAGACCCTTCTGCTCCTCCTCCGGCTTCCAGGGCAGGCACGTCACCGCGAAGCCAGAGACGGAACAGAAGGAGTCCCTTCTGTTCCTCCTCTGGCTTCGCGGGACAGGCGCTGCACAGAGAGGGAGAGCTGTGCAGCGCCCCTTCAGCGAAGCGGGAGGAAGAACAGAAGTTCCTCCTCCCGCTTCGCTGAAGGGGCGCTGCGCAGCTCTCCCTCTCTGCGCAGCGCCATTCGCTCCATAAGACACACTCACATTTCTCCTTACTTTTTAGGAGGAAAAAAGTGTGTCTAATGGAGCGAAAAATATTGTATATATGACAGGGCATTCGCAATGGGATGGGAGTAAGGCTGGGTTATATATCGATACATCATCCAAAACCAGTTTGAAGTCGTGACATCGGTTTCATAATTTTTCGATCTGGCAATCTATCGCGAAGCATGGTGTGTGTGTGTGTGTGTGTGTGTGTGTGTGTGTGTTATGCAAAAAATCACAATGTGGGGAAAACCATGAAGCCAGCCAATGCTTCTCTCGATTCCTGCAGCCCCTCTGCTGGCCCAGCTCTTCCCTGTCTCATGCAGGGGGTAGCTAATTACAAGAGCAGGAGCCAGAAAAAATTACGATGCGGGGAAAACCGTGAAGCCAGCTAATGCCTCTACATAGCTCCATCCTTATTTCAGTCGCCGTGATATATTGGTGCATCACGATGTTTAGCTGGTGATACCTGGTTTTCAACTCTGTGATATATTACCCAGCCCTACTGGTGGCCTCCTTATTTCAGACATTGTGATATACATATGCATACACACACACACACACACACACACACACTCTCACACCGTACTTTTCTGTCTATAAGACGCCCCCATGTATAAGACGCCCCCTATTTTGGGGGACTGAAATTTCAGAAAATGGGGAGAGATGGCAAAAAGTTGTTGGGGAGGGGAATTACCGAGGGTTGCTAAGCTTTTTTTAGAGGGGAATGCCGAAAATCGCTCACCCACACGCATCACAAAATCCGCCTCCCGTCTGTATCCTCGCCGGCGGGAGCTGCAAACCCCCCTGCCCCCCAATTGCCGCAGCGTTGGCCAATCAACAACACCAATTGATGCAGCAACCAATAACATGCCCAATAGCCTCTGATAGCCACGGCAGCAACCAATCAAACGTCCACCCTATGTACTACCCATGTATAAGACGACCCCACTTTTTTGCATGATTTCTAAAACATTGTCTTATACACGGAAAATTACGGTATATCTATTTATTTATCTTATCTGTAAACTGCCTGAAGATTTTCCTTTAAAATAAAAACAAAACTGCAGGGAGCCGTCACAGCATGTTAACGATGAGATTAAGTGACGACCTTGGAAACCCTTCATTTTAATTTTGCCTCTGCCCATTAAGTCAATAAGTGGCCTTCGATAAGCCACCCTTTCTTTCATACTTAACCCGCACCTGCAATCTGAATATAATAATTATTTACCTGTCTTCCAAAGTCGTTGCAAAAGGTCACAAGATAAACAGTCTAAAGTGATATATAGATACTAATAATAAACTCACTGCTTGGAGGTGTGGGTTTGTTTTTTGAGCTTTGGTATTTATACATCCTGTTTGGAGCAACTGTGCAAGCGTTTTACTCCCTCGCTGTATCAATGACTTGAGAACGTTGTCTAGCACTGCCGTTTTGAAGTTGTGCAGGGCTGAACATTAGCTTGCATTGGTGGGAAGACCCTGGGTTCAGGATCTGATAAGGAGGCACCTAAGCCCTTGTGTACAGCATGTGTTATTTATGCCTGCCCAGATCACTGCAAGAGTTGAGAGCTCTCACGTCTCTGGTGTTTGTACCACTTATTTGTCTGTCGTTTTCTCCTCTCCCACAGAACAACAAAAAAGGCTTAGTAGCCTATCAGGTACGCTGCCCAAAATGTTGCCACCTCCTTTTCTTCTCCTGTTCTCCTGCTGCTGTGTTCACCTGAGAAGCGCACTGCTTTGTGACTTAGCAGAGTACCTTTAGTGAATCCGCGAGTGAAGAGCCTTTACTGAAAGGGGTAGATGAATTATTGTCCGCTCAGTCACTGCAAAGTATATCCTCTCTCTTGAAAGCGCTGGAAGGAGCATGCGAATTCTTTTAAGACTGCCTTGGGTGTATTAGATTCTGAAAGGCAAGACTGTATAGTCAATAAATATGCTTGACAGCTACACAGCGCCTTGCCACTAAAAAAAAGAAAGATCTTGAGCTCCCCCAACACAACTATTCTGTCCAGTTCTGCAAGAAATTTGCACGCATGTCTTCGCACAGCCACTGCACCTCACCTGAGCCAATTCCTGAGGAGGGCTCCCAGCCTGGATGAAAAATAGTGTGCCCCACATACATGCCTTCAGATAGTAACGTGCTTTAAAACCGAACATGCTTTTAAATGATGCTAAACTGGACCCAAATGTAGAAGGGGGAAAGGAACAACTACATTTATCGACTGATTACACTTACAGGCTGCTAACAGGCCGGGTTGCCAGTGTAATTGCAGTAAGCTTTCATATATAGATATATATATGATATGATATATATATATATATATATGCAGGTTTTGGTGTCCTCGGGTGTCTTCCCGTGTAAAAGTTGGGGTGTCTAGGCGACGTTTCGACGAGGTCTCACTCGTCATCTTCAGGCTGGTGCTTTCGGCTTCTTGTTACTGGAACAGAGCAGGATCTCAGTGTTTGAGTTCCTATAAATACTGTTGAGGGGGTGTGGTGTATAGCCTCCAATGTTCTGGGCAGAGAGGAAGTTCCCAGGCTAGTGTGCCTTTTCTTCTTTTGTTCCTTAATTACTTGAGGGATATCTTGAGTGATTTCTTGAGTGATATTCTGAGTACCACTTAGGTGGGTCATTAGTGTGGATTTTGCTAAAGCTCGTGTCTTGACCCTTGAACTTGTGCCTGAAGAGACGAGTGAACCTCGTCGAACGTAAACCCGAACTTTACACGGAGACACCCGGGCACCAAACCTGCATTCCTACCGTGAAAATCTCGAAAGAAATATATTTTATTATATAATAGATGAAGATATTATATTATAGAAAAACTGCTTGGCTCGCTTGCTAGGCTTCTCACCATTTCCTTCTCCTGAAGCGAAAGAGCGGCCTGGCACCCTGTTGTATTTATGAAATCCCCTTTTAAAGCTGTCTCAAGCTTAGTGGCTTTCACCACATCCTTGGCAAGCTCCTGCCATAAATTAATTGATCCTGTGAAGTATTTTCTTCCTACCGCCACCAATAAATGTCACTTTACCTTCCTTGTTAGGACGTGGGTGCACTGTGGGTTAAACCACAGAGCCTCATGGGCTTGCTGATCAGAAGGCTGGTGGTTCGAATCTCCGTGACGGAGTGCGCTCCCATTGGTCGGTCCCTGCTCCTGCCAACCTAGCAATTCGAAAGCACATCAAAGTGCAAGTAGATAAATAGGTACCACTCCAGCGGGAAGGTAAACGGCGTTTCCGTGGGCTGCTCTGGTTCGCCAGAAGCAGCTTAGTCATGCTGGCCACATGACCCGGAAGCTGTACGCCGGCTCCCTCGGCCAGTAAAGCGAGATGAGCGCCACAACCCCAGAGTCAGTCACAACTGCACCTGATGGTCAGGGGTCCCTTACCTTTACCTACCTTCCTTGTAGACATCGTACACAATCTTAGAAAGCAGCATTGTGTGCCCATCCCTGTTATGCAATAATAATAATAATAATAGTAATAATAATAAATTTTATTTATATCCCACCCTCCCCAGCTGAAGCCAGGCTCAGGGCGGCTAACAACAATAAATTTATTATCCCACCTCTCCTCAAAGGAACGCACAGTTCGTGGTTCTCCCACAATCCATATTATCATCTCAACTCCCTTAGGAGGTCGGTAAGGCTGAGAGATGCTCACTGGCCCATGGTCACCTAGTGAGGTTCATGGCACAGCTGAGGTACGAACCCCGGCCTCCCAAGTCCTAGTCGGACTCTCTAACCACTCTTAGTCATGTTTATTTTCTAAATGAAAAATCCTCTTGAACTCTTATTCCACCTAGAGATGCTGGTTCAACTCCCGGCTCAAAGTGAGCCTCCTGCACCAGTTTCTTTCCCATCTGTAAAGTTTGGAGAGATCCGTTTGAAACAGTGCGCTTGTACCATTCTAATAAATTTGGTGTCACAAGCAATCCTGACCACTTCCCTGTTCAAGTTGAACATGTTTAAACAAGCACAAGTCGTAGTAGAGATCCTGGGAGAAACCTACTTGTTTCTTTCCATCTTTGAGATTTTTACTCATATTATGTGCTCAATCTGGGACAATTACTTTTTTAATGTTCCTTCGGTCTAGGTACCTATGACCCCGGAACTCAGTTTAAATTTCCCACTTCTAGAACTTGTTGGTCTTTCTCTGGTTTGCTTTCCATAGAACAACAACTTTTTCTTAGCAAACCCATTGTGCTTCCTGGATTAGGCTAACTGCTCCTTGTAGTGAATTTAGAGGGTTACGATGCTGAACTTTCAGTGATTTCGAGACCTTTCCTTCGCTTGTCAATCTTGTGCTAGATTTAAGAGCAGGCCCCTCAATCAAAACCTAGATCAACAATCAGTATTTTCATTTATTCAAAACATATATGCCACCCTGCAACAAACTGATTCAGGAGCAATTTACACAGGTTAATTGACAATATTAAAAAAAAAAATTAAGAGTATTAGATGAAGTGGCTCTATACAGGATTTGCTAAGGGTACTCAATGACTGAAGCTGGCTCTCTCTGCATGAGCCTTGTCCTGCACTATTTCAATATCCCATTCTGAACCATACAGCTCTGGTTGGCTTTGGGTACTACAGCTGGGTGCATGAGTTTAGTATCTGATCTTTCTCCCGTGCATGCTACGCAGTGATATCAGAGTTCCTGCAACTTGGCAAACTTTTGATGAGGGAAGTTGTAATGTCCTGTGTCCTTTTCACTCCTGAAATCCTTCACGGGAATTTCCTCAGAGGTGGGACTTGAAGGATTCCCCATTGTAGCACTTTTTATGCAACCTAACGTCAAGGTACGAGCCAAATTTCTCAGAAAAGAACATTATCGGAGTTTCCTCTTTTGGTGTGTTCCTTGTCCCACTACCTCCAAGCTGGCTGGGGAGTTCAACCGAATGGCCCTCTCAACTTCTCCACCAACATTACAAGCGGGGAAGATTTTGAGTGCAACTGCAGATCCCATACATGGGACGCGGGTGGCGCTGTGGGTTAAACCACAGAGCCTAGAACTTGCCAATCAGAAGGTCCGTGGTTCAAATCCCCGTGACGGGGTGAGCTCCCATTGCTCGGTCCCAGCTCCTGCCAACCAAGTAGATAAATAGGTACCACTCCGGCGGGAAGGTAAACAGTGTTTCTGTGCGCTGCTCTGGTTCTCCAGAAGTGGCTTAGTCATGCTGGCCACATGACCCGGAAGCTGACCGCCGGCTCCCTTGGCCAGTAAAGCGAGATGAGTGCCGCAACCCCAGAGTCGTCTGCAACTGGACCTAATGGTCAGGGGTCCCTTTGCCTTTGCCTTGCAGATCCCATATATTTTAATATTGTTGAAGGAATCAACAGGCTTGGCTCCTGTTCCTGCCATCTTCTTGTCCTAACTTTGCGCTTCCTTCATCTACCAGCGTGAGCTAAGAATAGAATTCTTTTGAGTTTAAGTGAGCTTCAATGAGTTTTTGCAGAATTTTCCCCCTGATAATTCCCCATTAATGCCTCCACTTCAAACAGTAAGAGAATCCCACCTTGCCCCAAAGAATATTTGGGGAAAATGTCTCCCCACCACCACAGTTTTGCCACCCACAAATAGCGTGGCGAATTGGGGGGAGCCATTTTTTGCTCAGCCCTATAAATATTTAAACCACTGTGCCACTTGGACTTGCCGATCGGAAGGTCGGCGGTTCGAGGCCCCATGACAGGGTGAGCTCCTGTTGCTCGGTCCCAACTCCTGCCAACCTACTAGTTCGAAAGCACGCAGTGCAAGTAGATAAATAGGTACCGCTCCGGTGGGAAGGTAAACGGCATTTCCGTGCGCTGTTCTGGCTTCACCAGAAGCAGCTTAGTCATGATGGCCACATGACCCGGAAAAACTGTCTGTAGAAGCAGACAAATGCCGGCTCCCTCGGCCTGTAAAGCGAGATGAGCGCTGCAACCCCAGAGTCGTTCGCGACTGGACTTAACTGTCAGGGGTACCTTTACATTTACCTATAAATATTGCTAGAATTAGGTAGTGCTTTTGAGAACCCATGTTTAGCCTGGTTGGTTAATTAGTGGCTAGAGTCAAATCCCAGACATTGATGGGCTACGGCTCCTTGTAAAAATCCCTTGCTTATTCGGTCACGTTTCAAATTATTTTGCTGTCTTGGGACAGTCAGACTCATCAGTGTTTCGCCAAGGTTTTTGGAGTGATTGATGTTGGATATTGTGTAATGATTGTATTGGAAGTCAAAGCGATGGACTTGCTTCCTTTGTTTACAGAGCCAGCGATAGATGTGCCACTAGTGGATAAAGTAGATTATATGCCTGTCCAAGAAAAGATGAGCCAAAGCAAGAAACAAGGAATGGAGGAAAGGAAGAAAGTAATTAAGAGTCCACAGTACATGACCGATTCCTCACCGGATGACATAGGCATTCCATTAAGGGTAAGGAAATTTGGCCCATTTTCCTTCCACATAAATTCATTTGTGCTAACCTGTATGGGGTGTCAAATCTAAAAAAAATGTACAGTGGTACCTCAGGTTAAGTACTTAATTCGTTCCGGAGGTCCATACTTAACCTGAAACTGTTATTAACCTGAAGCACCACTTTAGCTAATGGGGCCTCCTGCTGCTGCCGCGCCGCTGGAGCACTATTTCTGTTCTCATCCTGAAGCAAAGTACTTAACCCGAGGTAATATTTCTGGGTTAGCGGAGTCTGTAACCTGAAGCATATGTAACCTGAAGCGTATGTAACCTGAGGTACCACTGTAGTATAAACACTGACAACTGGGAAACACTGGCCTGCGAGCGCTCCAGTTGGAGAACAGCCTTTACCAAAGGTGTCATGGGCTTTGAAGACACTCCAACTCAGGACACAAGGGAGAAACGTGCTAAGAGGAAAGCACGCTTGGCAAATCCACACCATGATCAACTCCCACCTGGAAACCAATGTCCCCACTGTGGAAGGACATGTGGATCCAGAATTGGCCTCCACAGTCACTTACGGACTCATTGTTAAAACCGTGTTTATGGAAGACAATTTTACTTGGCTACGAGTGATTGCCAAAGAAGAAGACGACGACAAAGGAGTGGTTTGTTCATCTTTGGCCCTCACCCTGCACTCAGCACTCACCTGTGGCTCCTGGCAGCATGCAACAGTGGCCACAATCTGGGAATGGCTTCGACTGGGCAACTAAACCAGGTGAAGGTTTGAGACCGGTGGGTCTCAAACCCTCAGTGAGTTAGGGGCTTGTCTGTCTCCTGCATGCTAGGACAGACTCTGGCAGGTTGAGCAGATGAGACCAATAGTGAGTCTAATGGCCGAGAAGGAAGATTCTGCACATGTTTTTAGACGGAAGTGAGGGGCAGATGAGGCTTGTCCACCTGGGAAGGTAGCCCATCAAGGAGTCGGAAATGCAGTGCATTGCAGTGCGCTTTTTACACACAATTAATATCTTTAATCGGGAGGATTTGATTTAAATCACTAGTCAGTAAGACTTGATTTAAATCACTAGTCAGTAAGACTTCATTTAAATCATTATTATTTTTTTGCAGAAAGACTCATTCTTGCTGGTATAATCCTAATATTTACAACCAGATGAAGATTTCATTTTTGGAACAGTAAATTTTCAGAGTAGTTTTTACAGTTATATCAAAAATTACTGATATGGTTATACTATTAGAAATACATAGACAGATAATTATGAAATTATTGTGAGGTTTAATAAGTTAAATGTTTATATCTGGACAACTTTTCTGCTGTGCTTTATTGGAAGGAGAAAAATAATGATTTCCTTAATAACAATTTAAACAATTTATTTAACTAAAACAATAACATTATAGCATATGTATCCATGTTGGTTCACTGATGTGGTTAAAAGGTTGTTGTTGTTTTTAAAAAAAAAAACTTAGACTGAGTTTTAGCACACATGAAAAACTTAAAACAAATCCTTATTTCTTGATGAATAGCCTTTGGACTATAAAGTAACTTAAATAGAAAACTGTCTTTAGAAAGATTTTTCCTCCAAAAGCATTTTATTTTAAAAATCCGATTTAAATTTTAAAAAATCCAATTAAAAAAATAATAATTAAAAATTGATTTTTATTCACCCTGTCTTTAATATGGCAGCTTAGGAGTTGGGCCGAGAGACAGCAACCCTGCCAGCTCAGTTTTACTCACAAAAGTCAGAGAATTGTAGAGTTAGGAGGAACCCCCAAGAGCCATCTAGTCCAATCCCCTGCAATACAGGAATCTCAACGCACGGTCTCCCATCCAATTTGAAACCATACCGGACCCTGCTTAGCTTTGCAAATGTGCCGGCATCCTTTTATTGCTGCACCACTAAATTTCCCTCAGTGCTTGCAGGTTGTTGGTCAAGCTGTGACAGAGCAGCAGCAGGGGACAAACCTTTGCAATGCAGTTATTGTCGCAGAGAACGAGCAGAGTGCATGCCGTGAGGCGAGCTTCTTTGTTTTTCGACCGGCAGAATGAACTCGCGCCAATGACTTGTTTTGTCTCTTTTTCTATCAGAACACGGACCGATCAAAGGACTGGTACAAGACGATGTTCAAGCAGATTCACAGGCTGACAAAAGGTACCGTTTGCCTCCCTGATTTTTGTTTCCCCCAGAAGCCCTGAGTTCAAATCTGTGGGCAGCCCTTAGTAGATGTTGAAGGTACCCAGAGCACCAGGAGAAAGGTTGAGAACGGACTTGGGGAGCCAAACTACCCACGCGGTTACATGCGTGATAGCATTTAGCTTGCCTTATTTTTGTCCTTTAAATAGCAGTTGGAGGAATGGCTGAGTTTCAAAGAAAATCCAACCTTTCCCGAAGCTGCCATTAAGTGTTTGTGGAGGCCAAGGGAAGGTCTCCCCCGAGGCGCTAACAGCAGCTTGGAGGGAGGTGATCGGATCTGACTCTGACCCTATGCCCGCCTCCATGACTGTCATTTAAAAAGCAAAAAAGGAGAGGTGTGTTGTGTTTACACATCTTTAGCATCATTTGTACGTTGGTCCATGGATGCTGTGTGTCTGAATTTTTATACATGTTTATAGTCCTGGCTCGGGACGCAGGTGGCACTGTGGTCTAAACCACAGAGCCTAAGGCTTGCTGATCAGAAGGTCGGCGGTTCGAATCCCCACGACGGGGTGAGCTCCCGTTGCTCTGTCCCTGCTCCTGCCAACCTAGCAGTTCAAAAGCACGTCAAAGTGCAAGTAGATAAATAGGTACCGCTCTGGCGGGAAGGTAAACGGCGTTGGCGTGCGCTGCTCTGGATCGCCAGAAGTGGCTTAGTCATGCTGGCCACATGACCTGGAAGCTGTATGCCGGCTCCCTCAGCCAGTAAAGCGAGATGAGCCACGACTGGACCTAATGGTCAGGGGTCCTTTCACCTATAGTCCTGGCATGAAAGGGGCTCCATATCTTTGCAATGTGCAGCTCCTGCCACCTCTGCCCCTGCCCCCTATGTACTAACATGGATGTCTAAGGTGTGGAACATTTTGCACATGGACCTCCATGCGTTTAGGCTTTCGCATATCCAGGAACCAGGAGCATGTGGGACTTGAGGGCCCTGGGAAGGCTGCGTGCAGAGAGGCCTGCCTGCCTTTCTCTGTGCAAACATCCATGCCTGGAATTGGGGGGGGGGGGCAGAGCCAGGAGAAGCCCCACACCATCAGGGCAGGGCCTGAGATAAGGCCCCACAGCCTTCTTAGCATCAGCTGCCCTCTAAGGACTGGCTGGCTGATACTGACGGACAGTGTCTTGCAGTAAATAAAGAACCACGCAGAGTCAAAAGATCCACAGGGAAAGGAACAACTTTACTGAGGCAAAATCTTTGGTACATGCAATGTGCAATCAAAGAAGAGAGAGAGAGAGAGAGAGAGAAGCTCGCTGAACACAGGGATTTATCTTTCCTGCCTCAGCGTGACCTTGAGGTAGCCAAAACAATAAGTGAGCCTACTAGAACCTTCCAGCACTTTCCACTTTCTGCCCCCAAAGACCTTAGTCATGACAGATACGTGTCCTGTTCTTCAGTTGTCTGGCATTGACTCTCTTGATGCCTCTCGCAACACTGCTATTTGTTTCTCTCTATTTATTTCTTGGGGACGCGGGTGGCGCTGTGGGTAAAACCTCAGTGCCTAGGACTTGCCGATCGTATGGTCGGCGGTTCGAATCCCCGCGGCGGGGTGAGCTCCCGTCGTTCGGTCCCAGCTCCTGCCCACCTAGCAGTTCGAAAGCACCCCTAAGTGCAAGTAGATAAATAGGTACCGCTTTACAGTGGGAAGGTAAATGGCGTTTCCATGCGCTGCGCTGCGCTGGTGCTGGCTCGCCAGAGCAGCTTCGTCACGCTGGCCACGTGACCCAGAAGTAGCGAACTGCCATCTCAGGGAGACCACGAGCCACCCAGGGATGGGGCTTGAAAGAAGGGCGCAGAGATAGTTGGCCTCAGGGTACAGCAGAATGCTAAATGGATGTTTTCTGCACTTTTTTGCGGGGGGCTTCAACGTCAAATACAATTCTCGACATGCGCGTGCGAGGAGATTCACACTGATTTGTCCATCTCTCCCTTCATTTCTTTCCTCTCTGTTCTTTCCCCCAAAATGTGCTCTTTCTGCACAGACCCTCCTGAAGAAAACCCTTATTGCCCTACCTACAAATTCCCCGAACTTCCTGATATCCAGCCCCAAACCAAAGGTACCCACAAGCTTAGCCACTTGTTCTGTGTTTGGTTTTTAACCATCCTCTTAAATCTTTCACACTAGAGCGTGCTACTTAGTTGAATGCCTGTCCTTTCAGCATGGCTGGCTCTTGAGTGGTGCTCAGTTTGCCTCCTTGTGTGATGTGTGTGGAGGCAAAATACTTTCTAACCTTTTCTTCTCTGTCTGGAGTGTGTGATGTAACACTGTTTTCGAACGAGGCCACGAGAAGCTTGATGGGGATAGGGAATTGGGGGAGTGACGTTTCCTCCACTGCTGTCCAACTCCCTTGCTTTTCTCTGCTGCAGAAGAAAATCCTTATTCTCCTACCTACCAGTTTCCTGTGTCTACTCCTAGCCCTAAATCTGAAGGTAAATAGTCGTGGTTGGCCAACGTTTCCTTTTGCACAAGCTCTGCTGCTGCTTCCTCCTCCTTAACTTTCCAACCAGAGTTTTCTTCCCCTACCTTAGTTTGCTTCTTCCTAATGATCTGCTGTCAGTTAACTTTTTTGCCTTAACTGTCGGACCAGCTTTCTTGGCTTGGCCTTGCTCTCTCTGCTTTCTAACAGTCCCCGGACTAATGCAGCGGGACTTGGATCTGCTTGGTTTTTGTGTGCTCAATCCAAGGTACCCAGCCGCGCATCTGCAGTTGTTTATCTGGCACACTGAGCCCAATCCACCAAGCGCAAACGGCATTGGGTGGAACAGGACTGGTCTGAGAAGAGAGCCATTCGGTTGCACATTCCCCGTTCATTCCATGGGGGGCTTTGCTGAAAGCGGTCCCAGTGAATTGGGCTCATGATGCCAGCTAATTGATCGCCCTGAAATAATAGCATTTAACCTAGTGTGTATTTTTAAAAAATAGTGTCTTGCGTTTTTCCCTTCCCCTGACTACTTTTTAAAGATGACCTTAGACGGGGTTTCCCAATTTTGGGTCTCCAGCTGTTTTTGGACTACAACTCCCACCAGTGGTCAGGGACGATGGGAATTGTAGTCCAAAAAAATAGCTGGAGACCCAAGCTTGGGAGATCCTGCCTTAGAAGAAAAAAGACTAACAAAATCAACTGAAAGAGATGACCAATTGACGTGACATTTAGTTAACACAGAGAGACAGAATTTACACATAATCTTTTTTAAAAAATATTATTTATTATTATAATTAATATATTTATATATAAATTATTAATTATTAACATTTTTATGTCACATATGTATACATTATCATATTACATTACAGGGCATATTATAATATAATATCCAACATGTATACAAAGTTTATGTACCAAATTTATGTACCTAAAGAAACAAAACTGGGACGCAGGTGGCGCTGTGGGTTAAAGCCTCAGCACCTAGGACTTGCCGATCGAAAGGTCGGCGGTTCGAATCCCTGCGGCGGGGTGCGCTCCTGTTGTTCGGTCCCAGCGCCTGCCAACCTAGCAGTTCGAAAGCACCTTCGGGTGCAAGTAGATAAATAGGGACCGCTTACTAGCGGGAAGGTAAACGGTGTTCCGTGTGCTGCGCTGGCTTGCCAGAGCAGCGATGTCACGCTGGCCACGTGACCCGGAAGTGTCTGCGGACAGCACTGGCTCCTGGCCTATAGAGTGAGATGAGCGCACAACACTAGAGTCTGGCAAGACTGGCCCGTATGGGCAGGGGTACCTTTACCTTTAAAGAAACAAAAAAGAAAAAAGAAAGACATAAAGCCATTTCAAAATAATATTTGTACCAGCACTACGGACTTCCTATCAATCTCTTTGTATATTCTTTTTTAAAAAATGAATGTACTCTTATTATTGTATATTTCTTTACATTTTATCTAATACATTCTTATATCAATATGTACCCTTAATCTTGTTTCTCAACTCAATTTCTCTCCGACATCAATCGAATGCTAGCATAGATAGCGAACCTTTACTATATTCTTGAACATATGAATTTATACATATTCAGTGTATAGCGGTGCATTTATACTGTGCGATTTTGCACATATTTATACGTATCTTAGCATTTTACGTGTCATGTATGATACGTAAAAGTTCTAAATATGTATCAATATGTATATGTATAATCATGCATTTATGCTCTGACTCAAAATGTTTAGACTCATTGAAGCTCCTCTGATTCCGGCCCCCGGTTAGCTGCCCCCTCCCCCATGGATTACCTGCACTTCTAGGTAAACTTAGATATTTGTACCTGTGTAATACTTCCTACTTCGCTGGCAGTGTGGGGCTTGCTGGGGGCTGCCTTTCCATAGCCGGTGCACTCTCAGTGGCAACAAGTACAAGCTCTTAGATGCGCTGAATCTGGCATGCTGTCTGTAAAAGTGACCCATAGCTCAAGACTTTAGAAAAACCCTTTTGGAAACGCATATGTTTTGCATGTATGAGTCTCCAGGCTTACCCTCTGACACGGGGGGTTAAAAAAATGATCTCTGGTGGCAGAAGAACCTGTGTTAGAGATCCCAGGTAACAAGATTCTGTTCCATCTTATGTGGGCATTTGAGGCCTTCAGACAAAATGCTTTGCACTGCAAGGAATGCCTGTGCGATAAAGTTATTTACAACATGGACTCGGAAACCACTTAGCAGCAAATGAATGTTTAGAATATTTCAGTCCCTTTGCGGTACCGGCAGTGTTGCGTCCGATGCTGCAGAGCGGCCCAGGACACCAAGGTTGGAAACCGCCTGGTGTGGAATTGTTATTCCGTCAGCTACTGCGATTACTAAATGCATCTCAGACGTGTTGCAGGAGGAGGGGGGGACGACTTTCCTAAGCCCTTGTTGAGCACCATGGCAAACTATTTGTGGCAACGTCTTATAATGAGATTGCTGCCGCAGGAACCTCGCTGAGTATGCCAAGCCTAGGACGACAGCCTGCGTGCTGTTGTGGCTCTGTTTTGGAGCATTGGGTGGTGAAAAAGCAGATTTCTAGCTTGTTTTAAAGCTTGCGGGTCTGTTTTATTGTTACAGAGAATGAACACTTTCTGCAGCAGGAGGCTGCCATCGCTTCAAGAAGGTTTTGCTCTTGCTTAAGGCAAGAGAGTGCGGGTGGCGCTGTGGGTTAAACCACAGAGCCTAGGACTTGTCGATCAGAAGGTCGGCGGTTCGAATCCCCACGGCGGGGTGAGCTCCTGTTGTTCAGTCCCTGCTCCTGCCCACCTAGCAGTTTGAAAGCACGTCAAAGTGCAAGTAGATAAATAGGTACCGCTCCAGCGGGAAGGTAAACTGTGTTTCCATGCGCTGCTCTGGTTCGCCAGAAGCGGCTTAGTCGTGCTGGCCACATGACCCAAAAGCTGTACGCTGGCTCCCTTGGCCAATAAAGAAAGATGAGCGCCACAACCCCAGAGTCGGTCACGACTAGACCTAATGGTCAGGGGTCCCTTTACCTTTACCTTTAAGGCAAGAGAACTGGGGACTTGGGCAATGGACCCAAGTGCTTTTCTTCTGTGCCACAGTGGCAGTGTTCAAGCTGAGAAAACTGATAGCCAACCTAAACTGTCAAGTGCAGATAACCAGAGGATGAAGTGAAGCTTTCAGCTCAGTGGGAATCGGGTGGCATGGGGAGCCAACGAGAATCCTTGTAGGCCTGTAAAGAAACATCTCTCTCTGAGCTGACGTTCAGGTGTGTCGGCTGGCATGCAGATACGCCGAGTCCATCTGCCTGCCTGACTCAAAAGGCTTCTTCTTTCCACTTTAAGGCAGTGGAAAGCTCCAGGTCAGCTTTCCAAAACAATTCTGCACCGTGAGAATTCTGCAACAGCTAAAATGCTGCCAAGGGTCCTCGGAAGTATAGAGGTGTGACCTTGCTTGAGGATGATTGGATCTTCATACAAACATAGTGGAAACTGGTCAGTCAAATGGGAAGGCCTCAGAACTGTTGGTGGGTAATGGGCAGGAGGTAATGGACAGTCTTTCTAGGGATGAATGGAATACCAGCACCCATTTCCCAACCCAGAGTTTATTTATTTTATTCCATTTTGCTAATCAGTGCTGCTATGGTGTTGGGAATGAGGATATTTTCGGCAGTCCCTATGAAAAATAGGATTCCTATACAGTGGTACCTCGGGTTAAGTACTTAATTCGTTCCGGAGGTCCGTTCTTAATCTGAAACTGTTCTTAACCTGAAGCACCACTTTAGCTAATGGGGCCTCCTGCTGCCGCCGCGCTGCTGAAACACGATTTCTGTTCTCATCCTGAAGCAAAGTTCTTAACCTGAAGCACTATTTCTGGGTTAGTGGAATCTGTAACCTGAAGCGTATGTAACCTGAGGTACCACTGTATATCTAGATTGGTGGGCATTCTTTCACAAATGCTGTTACTCTGAAGAAGAAGAAGAAAGACATATGTACTTATATGTAATTTGGAACACAAGTTTGCTAGAACTGAGCATAATAAGATGCTGAGTTGATGTGGAGGGCCTTCTTAGTAGTGGCACCCACCCTGTGGAACGCCCTCCTATCAGATGTCAAGGAAATAAACAACTACCTGACTTTTAGAAGGCATCTGAAGGCAAGTTTTAAATGTTTGATGTTTTGTTGTGTTTTTAATATTCTGTTGGGAGCCGCCCAGAGTGGCTGGGGAAACCCGGCCAGGTGGGCGGCATATAAATAAAATCATCATCATCATCCAGCCATTCTAATAGTCAAGCATGGAAGGAGAAGGAGCTCTCACAGCCACATGCACAAAGGTAAACATGGGAACACGTGTGTATTTATGTGTTTCGTAAAAATTATATACCGCTGGCTTATAGAACAAACCTCAAAGTGGTTTACGAAAAAGTTAAAACAATAAAATTATCACTGAAAAAGATATTCCCCTAGTTTAAAACATCCAGAAAGTTTAAAACCAGAATAGAGCAGACAAAACAAATCAAAGCTCATGCAAACTTTCTAAACTACTGTGTGGGGTCGTTTAGGCGAAGAGGTTTTCAGCTGGTGCCGAAAGGAATACCTGCGGTATTTCAAACACCTGCCTTTTCCATGGTTAGAGAGGAACCTTGCAGACCTCTCTCTCTTCCCTCTCTTATTTCCTCCCGCTGCCGTTCCCCACAGGGATGAGAACACTGGAAACGATACCTGCATTTGCCCTTGGAACCCTGTAAGGACAGAAGGCGAAACTCTTTTAAGTCATAGGTGCATAATTAAATACCTGTGGTGATTGTAAATCGTTTGTTTTCCAGATGAAGATTCCGATTCCTGTGTGCCTCAGTACTCCTTTTACAAAGACAGTAAGTACCTGGGTGTTTCAAAGTCTGAGGTGAACTCATGTAAACGCTAAAGATTTGAATGCTATGAAAGAGAACGTGTTGGTGGACTGTTTGTTGAATCCCATTATCTAGAACGCAAAACCTTTAACATATTAGAACATTGAGATCTCGTTGTTTCCCTTTCACACGTGTGTGTGTTTTTAATGCTTCCTTTTCAGCAAGAGCACAGACTTCAGTACCCCGTTCCAAGAGCGAGAACGACACTATCGACATGGAGAAAGTGGTCAAGAGATCTGCCACTCTGCCCCTGCCAGCTCGTACCTCTTCTCTTAAACCGAGCACTGAAAGGTAACTTGGTTTCTCCTCACCAGGAGCGCTTTAACTTGCGCCACCTGTTTTGCCACAAGCCTCTGAGTTTTCCCTCAGTTCAAACCAAGTGTGTTTGGCACAGTGAGAAAGGAGAGGTGCTTGCATACTTTGTGCGTGCATCTGGTTCCAAACATAAGGCAGTAATTACAGTTTGGTTAATGGGCTCCAGCGCATTTTTGACAACAGGAATTATGCTTTGGCGTATCAGTGTAGGAAGTCAAAGAAACTCCTCACACCCCTAATTTGAACCACACGGTTCTCCAAGCCTGATTTTTTGCTTTTGGTTGAAGCATTTTTGTGATAAAACTAGGATTAGCCTCCCAGTGAAAATATTTCGTTTCTGTAACAACAACAAACTATATTCCGCCCCAGGAATGATTGGGAGCCTCCGGACAAGAAGGTGGACACAAGAAAATACCGCGCTGAACCTAAAAGCATTTATGAATATCAGCCAGGAAGGTCCTCTGTTCTGAACAATGAAAAATTGGTAATGTTAATTTTATCTTACTAATACGCTTTCCCCTCTTCCTGCACCGCTGGCATGCTTCCATGTGGCTAGGTTTTACAGTCTTGTTTTTTTAAGTTTCCGTCTAAACTTATATTTAACATCTTTAAAATCCTCCGTCCTGTTCGAAACCAGCTGGTGAATAGGCCAAGGCCCCTTCACTGTTGCAAAGTTCTTTGGAGTGTGTTGAATGTGGTTGGTTCGCTTGCCAAATACTTAATAATCCGTGTTGGACACCACAATCTGTTGGGTGGTGGGCCTGATTTTTAACGCCTTGTGTTATTGGTGCATTCAGTGTGGAATCTAAGCAACAATGAGTTTTAAATAGGAGAGCTTCCACAAGGTTTTTAAGTTAAGAGAAAGCAGGCTTTGTTTCTTCTCTTTTGCTTTTGGGTTCTTCCTGTGGCCAAGGTTTGGAACATAAGGACCCTCCAGAGTTTCAGATGGAGATGTTAGGAATCGAACCTACGACCTTCCGCATGCAGCTCCAAACCAATGAGTTTTGGTTTCATAAATTCATCTGTGCTCCTTCCCCATGCAGCAAGTATCCTGGGCAAAAGCTCCGCTTGTGGGCGAAAGCTCAGCTGACGGAAGGTCTGACGGAAGGTGTGTTTCAAAACATCTGGAGAGCATCATTATATCTGTAGGCTGCTGTAGAGTCTGTGCCATCTTGCAGAGATAATAATGGGCTAAATGGACCATAGAGTATCTGCAAAAGATCCCAGATTCAGTCCCCAGGACCTCCAAGCAGGTCTTGAGACATCCTCAGCAGTGGCCGACCTTTGGGTCTCAGATTTCTCCAGCACCCTGTGTGAGGCCAAAAATCAGCAACCCACCCACCGCCTTCCATTCTACATCATAGGTTTTTAAACTAAAGATTCAATTCATAGAGCAGGCATCCCCAACCTGCAGCCCTCCAGATGTTTTGGCCTACAACTCCCATGAGCCTTAGCTAACAGAACCAGTGGTCTGGGATGATGGGAATTGTAGTCCAAAACATCTGGAGGGCCGAAGTTTGGGGATGCCTGTCATAGCGTCTTTTTCACAGTTCGTTTACAGTGGTGTCCAAACTTTTTTCAAAGAGGGCCATATTTGATGAAGTAAAGGGCCGGGAGTTGTTAACCTTTTTTTAGGATTGAAGTCGTTGAGGTTTTTACCCCAGGAAATAAACTGCTATGGGGGCCGGATTAAACCAACCGATGGGCCAGATTAGGCCCCCGAAACGGACTTTGGGCATGCCTGAATGTAGTGAGAGACACTTTTGTCATAGACATCCTTCAGTTTGAGGGGAAAGAGAGGGAAGGGGTGTTGTTTTTTCATTCTGTTGCACAGTGTTAGTGTAGCGGGTTGTGTCAGCATAACGCAGGCCTTTTGCACCTCACAGACATTGCAAGAGGTTAGGGGGTCCAGAGTTGGGTTGGTTGTGTTCAGTTGATGGCAGCATGACTTGTTTGTATGTGGGTTGTGGTGCCGCCAAAGTTCCACTCCCCTAAACCCACCACTGTCCTCTGTCTGAAGCACTGGAGAGAAACTCCCGGTCAGTGTAGACAATTCTGAGCTGGATGGCCCAAGGGTCTGAGTCCGTAAAAGGCGGCTTCCTATTTCCCTGTGATCTGCAGAAGGCAGCATTTTATGTTTGTACAGAGCTTTGCGAAGTTTCGAAGCTGTTTCTCATTAGGCAGAAGGAAGTCTGTGTTTAAAAATACCATAATTGGCTCAGTTCAAATGATCGTGGTCTAGGAGGATTGTGAACAAGCGACAGACTTTCCTCTCTCGTGTGTAGCCGCCCTTTTGATTTTTTTCGTTCTTTGCTGTGATGTCCAAGCTGACAAATTAGCTCTGGGCAAGAACACACATGGAACATAATAGTGCCACTGTATTCTGCTCTGGTCAGACCTCACCTGGAGTACTGTGTCCAGTTCTGGGCACCACAGTTCAAGAAGGACACTGACAAACTGGAACGTGTCCAGATGAGGGCAACCAAAATGGTCAAAGGCCTGGAAACGATGCCTTATGAGGAACGGCTAAGGGAGCTGGGCATGTTTAGCTTGGAGAAGAGGAGGTTAAGGGGTGATATGATAGCCATGTTCAAATATATAAAAGGATGTCATATAGAGGAGGGAGAAAGGTTGTTTTCTGCTGCTCCAGAGAAGCGGACACGGAGCAATGGATCCAAACTACAAGAAAGAAGATTCCACCTAAACATTAGGAAGAACTTCCTGACAGTAAGCTGTTTGACAGTGGAATTTGCTGCCAAGGAGTGTGGTGGAGTCTCCTCCTTTGGAGGTCTTTAAGCAGAGGCTTGACAATCATATGTCAGGAGTGCTCTGATGGTGTTTCCTGCTTGGCAGGGGGTTGGACTCGATGGCCCTTGTGGTCTATTCCAACTCTATGATTCTATGATTCTACAGTTTATTCACACATCTGAACCCCGTTTGCATCTAAGTGGGAGCCTTAAATTAGTATGAAAAGAGGTGTGTGGTTGAGGGAAGCTGAACCTTTCCCCCATCTTGCTTCCTTCAGCTCTGTATAGCTCAAGCACTTTCTCCCCAGGCTGTCTCCCTTCCAGTATCAGAAAAGCCCTCAGAGCCTGATATTTGCAAAGAAGACGACTAGAGATGCTTGAGGAATTAAGTCTTTGCAGATTTCTAAACAAAAGGACCTGAATCTCTTCCTGACATGCTGATTGGCACTTAGCTGTCTGTCAGATCCAACTGTCATGATCCAGAGTTATCTGTGCAGTTTGGACATACCAAAATGCACATTTAAATATATATTTTGAGAGAAAATGAACATTTAAATATGTGTTTGGTTGTGTGTGTGTGTTGGAAGGATTCTTCTGTACCCCAGAAATTCCAAATTTATCTAAGAATGGAATGGAATGATGGGACTAAATACACAAAAGTGTCATAGGCTAGCAGTCGACAGCTTACAGATATGGTTACAACATTGTCATAGCTTTGCTCGTCTCACAGGCAGAGAGATATAGAGCAGGTTAATTCTGAACTGCTCCTAGCTCAATTAAAGTTTGTCCAGGTTTCCAGCCTTACAAGGCAAAAATTTTCTTTAAGTTTTAGAAGGCTTTTAAGTGGTTTTGTCTAAAAACTCTCTTATAGAACCCTAGTGTGGGAAGGTCTCTCTGGGGCAAATTGCAGCTAGGGTGGTAAGGGTTAATTTCCTCCGCACCCTTGCCAAGTCCTTAACTGGTTCAGAGGTGGGGGAAAGGGACTAGGGACTCAGCTATACAGCTGCAGATAAAAAGTTTTAAATGTGTTTTAAGGTGCAGTATACAAATGTGACACTAGATGGCGAAAGGGAGCTTTGCAAAATTCAACATATTTCCCCAAACATTTTTTTAAAAAAGCATTTTCACAGCATTTTTTATATCTGTGTCGATTCCAACTCAGAGGAAAATTCTGAGCACAGGACTCAGGCATGCGTAATATCACAAGTAGTTTAAACATTTGAGATGTGTTGAAAGTGAAAACTAGAGTTATCTGGTATTTGGTTCCTGCTAGCTGGAATCCTTGTTGAACTAGCAGAAAGAGTTTTGTGGAATGCCAGAGCTTACTATTTTTCTTTGCTTTTGGCTGCTAAGGGGTACTTAGAAAAATACCAATCAGGCCTGCAAGGTGTCTAGCAGACTCTGCAAGAGCTTCTGGGACTTTGCTAGAAGAGGCCTGAGTCAACATGACTCATCTCAACCAAGGGCTAATATCTTTAGCGCCCTTGACAGTTAAGGTCTCATAGCATCTTTTTACAGTGGAAAGATTGGGGAAAGTGATTGACTTACGATGAGCCAGAAAGCAAATGTTAATATTCCTTCCCCCCTCCTAAACTATAATAAAACAAAACACATCTCTGTAATGTGTCAGACAATCTCACTGCTGCAGTCAAGTGACCCCAAAACACAGAAATAATGGGGGGTGGGGTATATTCCTGGCACCAACAAGAATGTTAGTCGCTTTGTATAGCTGGAATATCGCTTTCCCCAATCATTTTGAGTTTGGAGTCCATCTGCGCTTGCCAAGCAAAACATTATTCTGCTGTATTCAGTCCCTCGTGCTAACATCATCCAAGGAGAATGGAACCAAAACACTGTGCAGTAGCTATCGTTTGGGAAGATTAAATCACCTTTTAACCCAAGTGGAGTCAGCACATTTCCCAGATTTCAAAATTATGGTATCAGGTACACCTCAACTTGTTTTATATTTGATGCAAAGCAGTTTGCTCCACTAAGAGCCAATGTTTAAATGTGCTCAGGTATTCAGTGTACTGTGGTTCTAATTAACTACATCATTAAGAGCTCCAGCTTGTTGTTTTAAAACAGAATTTAAGAACAAAAAGGGAGAGCCTTTCTTGGTAGTCATTCTGTTCCTGTCCTGTCCTGTCCTGTCCCTACTCTGTTGGTTTTGTCTGAACTCTTAACTTTTACCCTTGTATTAAATGTTGGTGGTCTAACAGAACAGAGTCTTGTGTGTCCATTCCCCTTAGAGACTTCTCAGTAACATGCTTTCTCTAACTGCGTCCTCTTTAGTTTAGAATTTCACCCTTCATCCTGTTTGCCATTTATGAAAAAGGGTTTCTCACATATCCATGTGCTGTTAAAGATGCCGTGTTCTGCACCGACACATAAATGGGGGGAGGGTAGCTGAGGCGGGAGGGGTCGCAAACGAAATTGCAACCCAAAGTCTTAATTTTGCAGAAGGGTGTTTTTCAGCAATTGAATGTTCCGAGTGGATTGCTCTGGAAATTTAAGCAGGACTTAACAGGCTTTATTCACATGTTATATTTAGTGAAAAGGAAAGTCACGTGTCTCCATATGTCGCCCCGCTGTTGCTGACTACGTCGTCTGCATTTCAGCTGAGGGGAAATTTGATTTCACCAGCTCTCCTCCTTCATTTGCTTGTCAATACAGTGGTACCTCGGGTTAAGTACTTAATTCGTTCCGGAGGTCCGTACTTAACCTGAAACTGTTCTTAACCTGAAGCACCACTTTAGCTAATGGGGCCTCCCGCTGCTGCCACGCCTCCGGAGCACGATTTCTGTCTGAAGCAAAGATCTTAACCTGAGGTAATGTTTCTGGGTTAGCGGAGTCTGTAACCTGAAGCGTATGTAACCTGAAGCGTATGTAACCCGAGGTACCACTGTAATGGCATTATCTGTTCTGGTTCAGAAATGACCCATCTTCCTTCCCGGAAACCTTTCACACTCTGTATTGAAACAGAGTTTCGCCAGTGACATTATTTCAATTCTATGCCTGTCTACTGAGATGCAAGCGCCATTGAATTCAATGGTACTTACTCCCAAGGAGCTGTGCATGACCGCAGCTTACATTGCCAAGCAATGGGGTGTAGGCTGCCAATTGAATGCCTCATAGGCCACGGTGGGGGGGACGCAGAACGCTGCATCTTTAACGGCCCTTTCCTATTCTCTACATAATGTTGTCGTTCTCTTTCTTCCATTCCCGTATCGCCAACTCCTTTAGACTCGGGATATAAGCCCAGAAGAGATAGATTTAAAGAATGAGCCTTGGTATAAATTCTTTTCGGAATTGGAGTTTGGGAAACCGGTAAGTTTTGATGGTCACAGCCATTAAAAAAGCAAAACAAAAACCCACCCTGCCTTACAAAACGCACATGCAACACTCCCGCCTCCATTCTGATTATAGATATGACCGTAAGACACACACAAAAATGCAACCTTGGGGGTTTTTTTAACAACAAAAAAAGCAGAAAGAATTTCTGTTTGCGCATCAAGCCACAGATGTACAGCCTCTTGATGATATCTGGAATTCACTAAACTTGTGTCAGCAGTACTGGTGGCCATTCGTATGCCGAAGTTTAGTATGCCGCTGCAATTCATGAGAAATGGTATTTCCTTTATTTTCCAGTGGGTGCTTCCCATTCCCCTAGCAACAGCAAAGGCGGCCATTTTCTTTCTTGCTAAATAACTTCAAACCATGGTGCCCTCATCAACTCTTGCCAACTCTTTCCTGAAATCTTTGGCCAGCAGGATGAATCCTGTACAATACACATAGCTTGTCCCTCCCTCCTTATGCGCCGCTGCTTTTCTCCCAGCCACGGTGCTCCGAGGAAGCTGCAGTTGCAGCCAAAATCCCAGAAATGTCCTGATGGACAGGCCCATTGTGTTAATCTTTCCCACATTATTCAAAGTGGGTTTCAGATGCAGGAGTGTCATATCAGAATGCTGTAACACATGGCGCCTTCCACAAACAACTGAATTGAGAATTTGATTCCATTGTCGTGTTGCATTTATGCACACTGGCTAGCATATTGTAGCTGCTTTACCAGTATTAAATTATTGTGGTGGTTTCATGTTTGTGTTCATATTTTTGAGAGGCAACCAGGTGGAAGAATTCTGCTGGGACGGATTATTCACCCAATTCACACAGATAGTCCTGCATGCAGAATCCAACAGAAATTGAAAGTTTTTGATGGTTAATCCGTTCTTACGTAACTTTAGAACATTTCTGGTTGGGCACAGTTTTTCATGGGATGACTTCCGAAACCAATCGCAATCCACCCAAGTTTTGCTCTTGAAATAATTTCATTAAGATTTCCACACCTTACAAATGGTCATGAAATGCAGAATTAATTTTTTAAAAAACCTACCATAACAACTAAATTTGGGGCACATGTTTTGCATATTAACATGATAAATTAGGAAGGCGGCTCCCTCCCATTAGTGTCAGTTAAGCCCTAAACACAGACCAGAAGCTTAGGACTGAGGGTTCTTTGGCATCAAGTCTGCCCAGAAAATCCTCCTGAGTTTTTCCTCTTGCACGTTGAATAAATGGGTCCCATTGATCAGAAAAATTGTCCCTGGGTTAACGTCTCTGCCAGAGCAAGAGCCCACACCTTTGACCATGGAGGGTGTTAAGCATTGCAAACTATTCCCATCTGAGCCTATTCCTCCAGTTTCGTAAGAAGTGGAACAGGTCTAGGTTTCCTTTTGCACGTTATGGGGATTCAAGAAAGCCAGGTGATCAAAACCACCACCCCCCTCCAGCAAATCACTGTATTTTTCGCTCTACGGGACGCACCCGACCATAGGACGCACCTTGTTTTAGAGGGGGAGAACAAGAGAAAAAAAATTCTCCCCCTCTCTGCTCAGCGCCCCTTCAGCGAAGCAGCAGGAGAAACGGAGCCTCTTCCATTTCTCCTGCCGCTTCGCTGAAGGGGCACTGCACAGAGAGAGGGGGAATTTTTTTTTCTTGTTCTCCCCCTCTAAAACAAGGTGCATTCTGTGTGTTCAAGGTGTGTTCACCCGAAGCCTCCGGAGTCGCTGCGCACTGACCCCTCTCACTCTCCAGGCTTCCTTTTGCTGAACGCGAAGCCTGCGGAGCGCAGCGGGAAACTTGCGGCTGCTCTCCGAAGGCTTCAGGGATGGGACACTCTGAAGCTCCGGAACGCAGTGGGAACTCGCGCCTGCGCTCTGGAGGTGCTTCAGGCGACTACCTGTGGAAGCCTGGAGAGTAGAGAGGGGTCGGTGCAGAAGCCAAGGATCCTGCTTCGCTCCATAGGAGCCACAAACATCCTTATTTTTGGAGGGAAAAGTGCATAGAGCGAAAATACGGTATATGGGTCAGGAGAGAATTGCCGAGCTTCTCTTATAAATTCCATGTATTCATTCCTCAGCGCCTAGGGGCTTGCCGATCGAGGGAAGTGGTTCAAATCCCGCTGCGCTCCTTGTCTACAGCCCAGCCTGCCAACCGTTCTGCCCCCATGCGGATAAATAGGGACCGCTTCTACGGGAAGGTAAACGGCGTTTCCGTGTGCGGCTCTGGCTCGCCAGAGCAGCGATGTCACGCTGGCCACGTGACCCGGAAGTGTCTCCGGACAGCGCTGGCCCACGGCCTCTTGAGTGAGATGGGCGCACAACCCTAGAGTCTGTCAAGACTGGCCCGTACGGGCAGGGGTACCTTTACCTTTACCTTTTTATGGAATGGAAAACAACCCACACAATACAATTGGTATACATTGTTGTTGTTTCTGTCAATTTACAAATGATAGAGAATTGATTCTGTTTCCCCCTCAATTGCATTGTTTCCTCTGTATTTAAATTGAATAGAGTGGAACAATGCGATGACAACATAATTTATGTAATCAATTAAGCTGCGTAATTTCGCCACAGCGGACAGCGATTACAAATAGCATTGTTTTTGGCGGTTGATGAACTGGAGTAAAGAGAAGCAGCAATGAATACAGGGTGGAATGGAAATCTGGGCTCCTTACATCCCTGGTTGTAAGAGCCATGAAATTTGTGGCCTTTAGGACTGTGAAAATGCACTCTGCAGCGTTCCAAGTGCATTCCCAGCTAGCGATCAGATTCCATCGAAACATTCATTTGGTTTTCTTCTTTTTTCACTTTTACAAAAGTGCAAAATGCTATCAGCAAAGTGAAGTTCTGCCAATTCCCCTTTGCTTACCCCCACAGTGCTAAGGAAAGCTCCGCTGTTGAAATTCTCACTTTAAGATCCCTATTAAAGGCATGGGAATCCTCTTAAGTAGGAAATCTGGATACCCAGCTAGGGATTAGAAGGGCAGATTATTCCATTAGAGACAGCCATTTTAATAGGCCTACATTGAATTTATAACAGGGTCCTTTTTTTCATCGTAAAATCTGCCAATATGGGCAGGAAGGAGGTGAAGTTTTAGCTGAAAGAGCAGAGAAAGAAGTGTCTTGCTGTGAAATTGTAAGAAACACAACAAAACCCCAACCCTTTGTCTGTGAAACATTTGCCAAGATGAGTTTGAAGTTGTTTCCTTGTTCCTCACTCAGCACAGACAGGCATGAACAGCGTAGATATATATATAAACTGTGCTTCTTCACATTTCCCCAGCAATAACTCCAGCCATAGTGATGGCTTGTTTTTTTAATGTGTGATGCCCTCAGGTTAAATACTTCAGTACTCTCCAGTACTGAATACTATGCTCCCCCAAATAAGCTGGAATTGAAAGCCATTAGGAAACGTGATTTCTGACTGAAAGCTTTATTTTGGCACGTGTTTCATTTGAGCATATTGAAGAACCAGTTTGGATAGGGCGGGCATGGCCAGACATGGCCCTCCAAATGTTTTGAGACTACAGTTCCCATCATCCCTGACCACTGGTCCTGTTAGCTAGGGATGATGGGAGTTGCAGTCCCAAAACATATGGAGGGCCAAGTTTGGCCATGCCTGGGACAGGGAGAGAAACCTCTATCGGAACACCCTGAGGACCCCTTTTAAAGGTGACTCACGCCATTTTTCATTGGTCTCCAACTGTGAGCTTGGGGACAACATAGCTTTTTTCAAGCCCACAGTCAAATCTGGACAACCGTGGCCTTTGGTACATTGGTGTGTGTTTTAGTCCCCTATTGGACTGAAGCCAGGACTGAAGCTAAGTCCAATGGGACAATGGCCCCTGGTGGGACAGCCAATCTCATCTCTCCTCTCCTTACACCGCTATATCTCAAGACCATAGGCCTTCCAAGAGGACCTGAGGACTCTTACTGGGAAGGTTTATGGCAGGCTTCCTCAACCTCAGCCCTCCAGATGTTTTGAGACTACAATTCCCATCATCCCTGACCTCTGGTCCTGCTAGCTAGGGATCATGGGAGTTGTAGGCCAAAAACATCTGGAGGGCCGAGGTTGAGGAAGCCTGGTTTATGGCCTTCTTGTGTCTATGAACATAGGCCATCACATTAGGACCATTATTCTCTTCATCGTTTGAGGGACTGCCCTGTTCTGATTTGATCTCCCTTTCTGCACCACACATTTCCTTCAACTACAATCTCTACAGATATACTCTGTGTTCTCAACATTAGTGCCTGAACCACTGGTGGTTCAAATAGCCTATGAAGTGCTAATAATGGTGTCCAGGATGGGCTCTTACTGCCCATGTTTTATCAATTGCCTCAATTTCCGCTTTCACTAACTCCAACTGGAATGGCTTTGGTGCAGACAACTCTGGCCTTGTCACCTGGGCCTATGATGGATTCCCATGACCCTTCTTTTATCCCTGCCCTCCCAGGTGTGCTGGTCCCAGTGGTACCTACTTCCCCCAATGTTTTGACTCATGGGCTTCAACTGGCCTGTTGACCAACATTTCTGTGGTTATCTCCACAACTCTGGTCTTGGTTTTGCTGGAAGCTTCTATTTCCTCTATGAAAGGTTAGCACATGGGCTCAAGGCAGAACAGCTCAAACTTGTTGCTGTGAATCCTGGTTTTTACTTGATATAGATGGATACTGCTGTTCTGGTCACGCCACCCATGCTTCTGGTATATTAGAAACCACCAAGTTGGAAATCTCCTTGGGAGGGATGGAATGGCATGGCATGGTGTATCATTCCTCACCAGCATTTAATACAGAAAAAGCACCGTATTTTTCGCTCCATAAGACGCACCCGACCATAAGACGCACCTAGTTTTAGAGGAGGAGAACAAGGGGGGGGGGGAAATGTTCTCTCCCTCTCTGCGCAGCGCCTCTCCAGCAAAGTGGGAGGAGAAATGGAAGGGGCTCCATTTCTCCTGCCGCTTCGCTGAAGGGGCGCTGCGCAGCTTTCCCTCTCTGTGCAGCGTCCCTTCAGCAAAGTGGCAGGATAAGCGGAGCCCCTTCCATTTCTCCTCCCGCTTCGCTGAAGGGGCGCTGCGCAGAGAGGGAAAGCTGTGCAGCGGCTCTCCAGCGAAGCGAAGCCAGGAGAGCAAGAGGGATTGATCCTTCTTGCTCTCCTGGTTTCAGCAAAAGCAACGCAAAGCCTCCAGAGCACAGCGAGAGCGCTCCCGTTGCACTCAGGAGGCTTCGGGCTGCTATCCCTGAAGCCAGGAGAGCAAGAGGGATCGGTGCGCACCGATCCCTCTTGCTCTCCTGGCTTCAGTGAAAGCTGCGCAGCCTGCATTCGCTCCATAAGACGCACACACATTTCCCCTTACTTTTTAGGAGGGGGGAAATGTGTCTTATAGAGTGAAAAATACGGTATATGCCTGCCATCATGTAGCAATAGAGCAACCATTTTTTAATTTCAAAAATGGCTGCCCCATTGCTGTATGGGAGCAGCCATATTGTTTTGGGGTTTTTTCTGTACTAAGTGCCAGGGAGAAACAGCACATCATGGCGTACACCTGCGAGATTTCCACCTGAGTGGCAGAGCTGCCGGTTTTCACAGCTTCGAGCTGCGGGTGGGTGCAGGGAGTTTTTAAAGTAAAATGAAAAATGGTAAAAGGCAGACATCAGATCATCCTTTCAGATTCATTGTCGGGGTTCAGATTCTGGAGTGGGCCACATTCTGAAATGCAGAAACAAGTGGGTGGCTTCAGAAAAAGGCAATTGACTCTATAGTGTAGACCTCCTAAATTTCTCCCCCAAGCCTAGTTTCTTCAGTGTATGTTGGGTTTGTTTTTCCTTTGTCTGCCACTTGGCGAACTCTTGTTGCTGGATGGCTGATAAACTGAACGAAAGGTTATAGAAGTGAATCTCCATTCCTAGTTTCATAAGACAAGGCACCCTTGCTTCTCACCGGCATATTTTTCATTCTGCTACACCAGCAGCAGAAGCTACTGGTTTTGATTCCCATCCGTACAAGTTTCTGTTCCTTGGGCTCTGTGTAGCACCTCCCAAACCCAGATCTGTTGGGACCCGGGACCCGGTTTCCAAACCTGGGTCCTTAATTCACTCCTTTGACTAAATTCTTAATTCCACCTTCTGTTCCTTGCGAAAGATCAACAAGTAGCTCAAACGGTGACATGAATAACTCTGCATTTTCATTGCCCCACACTGCCACCTCTGGGATTTCAGCCATTTGTTAACATGGTATGTATTTGAAGTCTGGGAAAGGGGCTGGGGATCGATATTTAAAAGAAAAAAGTAAAGGCAACCCCACAATTTGCTCTGTTTTGAAAATCTTGGTTATACCCCTTCTTTTTTCAGGGGGGAAAGAATGTGCAATTATTATTTTTTATTATTCTGGTTTGGTTTCTTTAGCAAACTGTATTGGAAGTGCTTTCAAGCAAATTTCTAAAGCGAGCCCTGCAACACAATGCATGCTTCCTCTGTCCCCCTCCCATAATCTCCTGTGTTTGTGGTTTAACAGATTGAGCCCCTGTTTCTTTCCTTCCCCTCTTCAATTTTATTTCCAGTGTTGATGCAATTTCCCCCCCCCCCAATGTACTCCCTCTGTTCTAATCCAGTTTCCATGTTCTTTGTGAAGTCTTTCCTTACCTTCATTTCCTCATTTCCTCCTCTGCTTTCCATCAGCCTCCAAAAAAGATTTGGGATTATACTCCGGGAGATTGCTCTATCCTTACTAGAGAGGATAGAAAGGTAATTCAAACATACGTTGTACTATAGTATGGTTTCTGTGTGTTTGTGTGGCTTCAAGCTTTCAGTCTCTAGCAATGTTTGGATTTTACGTGAGTGCAAGTGGTGGTTTGGATTTAATTGATTTTGGATTCCTTATGCCTTGTTGCGGGCTGAAAAGAAGCCTTAAAGCGTTCCTTTTAACCCTCGTTGGATCACAGCAGCCTCTCTGCTCTTGTGATCTGTAGCGATAATTGTACTAACAAGTGTTTTGTGCGGTACGAGTGAATTTTTTACAGTGGTTTAAAAAGAAATATTTACAAGAAGCACTACTAGATCGTGGCAAATTCAGAAGGGAATCTAAGCCAGCTGTGCTTTTGAGTACGGAAAAATATTCAACTTTCGTCTTGTCTATCTTTGTCACTTTAAAACAAAAGGCTCTGTTTTTTTCAGAATTGGCTTTTGTTTTGCCTCCCCTTATGTGTTGTTTCTTCCTTCTTCTTCCTTCTTTAACCAGACTGACCCAGAAAAAGACATCTACCTCTATCAGACTGAGTTAGAGGCAGATATAGAAAAAATGGAGAAAATGTATAAAGATAAGAAGCAGATGAAGGTATTTCTTCTTCATTCCACGCAGCTTGCTAATCCCTGTTCCTAAACCCTCTGCTCTAATCGGGTTGTGGCTGGATAATTAGCAAACAATGTTGCTGCAAATGGTATTACACAGAGGCTGCATTCAGATGTAACACTAAACCATGGTTTACAGTTACAGGAAGGAGTTTGGGCAATGTTTGAGCTTGTGTACGCTCCCCTCCTCTTCTGGTGCAGCCGTGAGGTGATCGAAATCTTTCTGTTTCCATTTCCAGTCAGCCACACACAGTTTAGCATTATGTCCAAACCTTAAACCGTGATCAATAAAATATGGTGTACAGTAAACCCGCAACTTACGTTCCAGGGATCGTGCCAAAAGCCAAAAATGCGTACAGTCAAAACCCACTTGGTTCAACGATGTGTGGGCCTGCCAATGTTATTTTTACCCCTTTTAATTTTTGTGTGTGTAATTTTTGTGTGTCGAGGTCCCCAAGAGGTCCCCAAAGAAAAACACAATTGACACTTAATTTTTGTTTAAGGTTTTTGGCATAATTTTGGCCACAACTTTATTCAAATTACAGCAATGTGAGTGGTTGCTTAGGCATTGGTAGCACTAACTGACCCCGCACGGGGACAGCTCTGACATTCACACACCCCGCGAAGTCAGCAAGGGTAAGTCACCCGGGGAGAGAGACGGGACTGGGAACCATGCCTCACCTCTCCCCAGAATTCTCCCAGGGGCTTGCGTGGCCCTAGCCCCTTGCCAGGGGGTTTCGGACAAAAGCATGGGGAGCCCCTGGGTTCCTTTAACGGAAAACCCTTGCAGCAGCAGCATTTTGGAGGGGCAGGCACAGCCAATCCATACCCCTCCACCAACCAATTCCCAGACCAATGCCTAACCGCAACCTTACAAGTTGTGACGATTTGCTACACAGTAGGCAAAAAACCAGGTGGCACACACTAATCAGCCAAATGGACAAAATTCCTACCGGGCCCCTGCCCCAAAGCAGACGACCCCGTGACAGGCATAGCAAGGTCAAGCAAACAGCCTAACATTGAGGGAGGGCGGGTGACCCGAAGCACGCAGCCAAAAGAGGAAGTTCGTTGCTGCGTGCATTGTATTTAACAAATAGGGCTGTCAATCAACAAATGGCAACATCTAGATTTCCCCAGTAAGATTTCCCCTGCTTAAAGGATGGCCAAACCATTTGCCTAGCAACAGTGAGGTGTCTCGTCAGCCCCAACCGCAACACATGCTCTCCACGAGGGAGAACACGCTTTGTGGGCTTACTGTGTTGGGGGGGGGGAAAGGTATCTCAAAAGCGGTCAGAGCACTTTACAGACCCTATTTTCCTGGGACATTTCTGAATTTACCTAAGCCGTCTGGTTTTGATTTGATCCCGGAATGTCCCGCTTTGCCTTAGGACATCCCTGTTTCTCATCGGAGAAATGTTAGGGAGGGTATGGAGTTATGTGACCCCCTGAGCCAAGGAGATAAGTAACTATACAACCTTTAGAAGACATCTGAAGTCAGCCCTGTCTAGGGAAGGTTTAAAAAGGAGGGGGGGCTTAATGTTTTATTATGTTTTTATATCTGTTGGAAGCTACCAGAGTGTCTGGGGCGGGGTAATGACGACAACAACAGCAACAACAGCAAACAACAACAGGCAGCCCTGTTTAGGGAAGCTTTTAATGTCTGATAGATTACTGTATTTTAATATTTTGTTGGAAGCCGCCCAGGGTGGCTGGGGAGGCCCAGCCAGATGGGTGGGATATAAATAAAATTATTATTATTATTATTATTGAATAGTACATCCTTATTTCCATCAGAGGAATATGGGGGGGTATGGCTTTATCTCCCATGTAACTTAATTTTCAAATGCATTTGATTATCCTTCTTATCCTTAATTAAAACAACACCCTGAAGCAATCTCATTGCAGTATACAGAAACCGAAGTTTCAGTGGCCCATTTTCTTTGTGTATGCTTCCACCTCTTTTTGTACAAGACGGGTCGGAGGGAGGTATAATAATTCTAAATACAGCCTGTCTGCCTTAAAGCCAAGCCAGTTGTTGTTGTTGTTTAGTTGTTTAGTCGTGTCCGACTCTTCGTGACCCCATGGACCAGAGCATGCCAGACACCCCTGTCTTCCACTGCCTCCCGCAGTTTGGTCAAACTCATGCTGGTAGCTTCGAAAACACTGTCCAGCCATGTCGTCCTCTGTCGTCCCGTTCTCCTTGTGCCCTCCATCTTTCCCAGCATCAGGGTCTTTTCCAGGGAGTCTTCTCTTCTCATGAGGTGGCCAAAGTATTGGAGCCTCAGCTTCAAGATCTGTCCTTCTAGTGAGCACTCAGGGCTGGTTTCCTTAAGAATGGATAGGTTTGATCTTCTTGCAGTCCATGAGACTCTCAAGAGTCTCCTCCAGCACCATAATTCAAAAGCATCAATTCTTCGGCGAATTGCATTTAAAGTGCATATATATAGCTTTGTTTCTAAGAAAAGCAAATAATTTCGGGGGGGGTGTCCCAAGCAGGATCAGGGCTAGGGTGGTTAAGGAAGGGGGAAATTGCCCCCTTTCTTCACAATAATCCTGGGGGAAATCCCATCCAGTGTTGCAGTGGGAAGAAAGCATTGAACATCATGTCTGGTTTGGCACTTAGCGGTTGCAAAGTGTGATATCCACTATCCACTCCCAACCTTTTTATTGTTCGCTCTGTTGAAAAGAAAACCGGCTTCAAGCTGTTTCTTTAAACAAACAAACAAAAAATAAAGAAGCTTTTTATGATCTGATGCATATGCATTTTACCTTCTACGCTAGAGAAATATAATCTTCCTTTGGAAAGTGATTGGCTTGGGCAGAAGAAAGTCCCGTAGGCCGTAATTATAAATATGTGCCTCCCACTCAGCAGTTTATTTCCCTTAATTTGCTTAAGGCTTTCTTTAAAATAAGGCATTGACAGCCAAATAATCACAGTGCAAAGGCGTGGCCCGAGTTAAAATCTTTTACTTCCGTGAAGGAACCTCCAATCAAATGCACGCCAATCGGAATCAGTGTATAAAGTCCAGGATTTGAATTTAGGGTGGAAAATTGTTCGCTGGAGTCCCTCCCCCACTCTCTGTCTCTCCTTTTGCTTTGCACGAAAGCTTGTGCATATCACTGACTTATTCGTCTGGATTCTTGCAGAGTACGACAGGCTCCTCTCCTCCGGAAACTTCCTCGGATCATTTGCCTCAGTAAGTTTTGAATGCTGCGCTCTGATGTTGATGTTTTGAAGCATTGATCGCGTTGGGAGCTGTAGCTGCAGGTCCTTTGAGAGCTGTGCCCATGTACAACATTGCAGGAATCATTTTATGTGTGTCTAAGCGTAGGTGGGGCTGTGGGATAAACCACAGAGCCTAGGACTTGCCGATCAGAAGGTCGGCGGTTCGAATCCCCGCGACGGGGTGAGCTCCCGTTGCTCAGTCCCTGCTCCTGCCAACCTAGCAGTTTGAAAGCACAAAGTGCAAGTAGATAAATAGGTACCACTCCGGCGAGAAGGTAAACGGTGTTTCCGTGCGCTGCTCTGCTTCACCAGAAGCGGCTTCGTCATGCTGGCCACATGACCCGGAAGCTGTACACTGGCTCCCTCGGCCAGTAAAGGGAGACGAGCACCGCAACACCAGAGTCCGTCCACAATTGGACCTAATGGTCAGGGGTCCCTTTACCTTTACCTTTAAGCTGGATTCAAAGGGTATATGGGTGACATTTCTAATTCTAAGTGTGCCCTGAAATTAGCACAGGCAAAAGGTTATTGGAGGGACCTAAGAAGGTTCCTCTTAAGATCTTCCTCCGGAGAAATTCAGTCAGAATGTGCTTAGCTCCTTCAGGCTTTCTTTCTACCATTCTGAATAAAACTAATCGGAGTTGAAATGAATACGTCGTATGCGGTGCTGTCACAGGTTAACGTAGCGCAAGGGTTGATACTATTTTTGACCTACTGCGACAGATCTTTTATATTTCCTCACCCTGTGCACAAACTTGAGCAGGTGGGCGGGGCAACCCACCCGTCAGTCATCAGAAGATGTCAGGTGACGGACGGGTGCATAGCCCCGCCCACCTGGCAAAGATAACCCACAGGGTGTGTGAGGAGTATGCTTTGCCAGCACGTGCTTCTCTAGGAATACACTGGCAAAACAGTACTTGTAGAATCATAGAACCCTGAGGATCATCTAGTCCAGCAGCGGTGAAATTCACCGCATGTTACACCTTGAAATAAAATTTTATGAAGATGCAGTTCTGCTGGTACTTGACGCCACTAAAACTATCTAAAATGTATAAGAACACATGAAGTAAATGTTGAAGAAGTGGAGAGGCGGAAGGCTCAATGTTACATATGTGGTGGACCTGTAAGAAAATTAAGGAATTTTGGGATGTAATTTATAACGAGTTCAAAAGAATGATTAAGGTATCTCTCATACACACACACACACACACACGTGTGTGTGTGTGTGTGTGTGTGTGTGTGTGTGTGTATATATATATGGGCTGTACTCCTGGGGATACCAGACCCAGACATACCTTAAAAAGCAAGAGAAATATTATTGTATGCCAAAGTAGCCGCAAAAATATTAATCGCTATGAATTGGATAGTAGAGGAAACCCCAGCAAAGCTGGAGTGGCAAAGTAAAATGCTGGAATAGGCCAAGTTGGCAAAAATGACAGAAAAACTGAGAGGTCATACTGATCAAACATTTATTAGGAAATGGGACATGTACAAAAAGGATTATTGTAATAGCATGATGTCAGTGGCAGGAGTGGAATGACGCCTGTGGTATGATAGATAACTATAAGGGAATATAATACTGATGGAAATTAAAAAAAGAAAATGATAAATATTGTTCTAGATAGACTAAATGGTAGAGGCACGATGGGATGGCGGGAAGTCTTTAGAAATCCAAGAAGAACGCAATGTGATGTGACGTAACAAATATTATCATTCTTTCTTCTGGTTAACCTCTTTGTTGGTTATTTCATTTTAATCTCAATAAAGCATAAAAAATGGAGGGTTGGGTGGGAAACAAAACATCTAGTCTGGCAGCTATCCCATGTGGGAATCGAACCTGCAACACCACACTCTAACGAACTGAGCAGGGTTGAACTGTTCGCTCCCCAGCTGATGAGCAGAGGGTTCTGCCCTCTTTGACCAGCTCATTGCCCACAGGGAAGGTTCTGGTGAGATGTACCAAACAGGATGGAGCCCTGCCCACCAGCTGACCTCACTTGTGGACAGCTGGGTGTGGTTGGGGGGGTAGAATTATTATTATTATTATTATTAGTAGTAGTAGTAGTAGTATTAGTATGTACCCCGCCCATCTGGCTGGGTTTCCCCAGCCACTCTGGGCTGCTTCCAACAAATAATAAAAATACTTTAAAATGTCACACATTAAAAGCTTCCCTGAACAGGGCTGCCTTAAGATGTCTTCTGAATGTCAGGTAGTTGTTTATCTATTTGACATCTGGTGGGAAGGCATTCCACAGGGCAGGCGCCACTACCGAGAAGGCCCTCTGCCTGGTTCCCTGTAGCTTTGCTTCTTGCAATGAGGGAACCGCCAGAAGGCCCTCCGCGCTGGACCTCAGCGTCTGGGCAGAACGATGGGGGTGGAGACGCTCCTTCAGGTATACTGGGCCGAGGCCGTTTAGGGCTTTAAAGGTCAGCACCAACACTTTGAATTGTGCTCGGAAACGTCCTGGGAGCCAATGTAGGTCTTTTAAGACCGGTGTTATATGGTCTCGGCGGCCGCTCCCAGTCACCAGTCTAGCTGCCGCGTTCTGGATTAGTTGTAGTTTCCGGGTCACCTTCAAAGGTAGCCCCACGTAGAGCTCATTGCAGTAGTCCAAGCGGGAGATAACTAGAATGGCCTCATAGGCCAGTTTGCACTGCTGGCAGTCTTCCCCACCCCCATGGGAGTGAAATGCCCTGGGCCTTGATGGCTTTCCAGCCAGAGGGTGCCTTTGGTTTTCTTCATGATAAGCTCGGGTCATTTCTTTGATGGAAGCTAGTGAAGCACTCCTGGCTATGCATTTCAGCACCGCATAGAGAAGGAACAGCTACTCTGCCTCTCCATTTCTCTTCCCATCCTACCAGAGCCGTCTTTCCCATAGGGCTTAGTGGTGCGTTGCGCCAGGGCGCCGGCCTCTCAGGGACGCCCAGCGAGTGGGGGAGCTGAGCAGCTTTGCTGGCGGCCTCCCCTTTCCCTGCATGCCTGCCAGCTGTGCCCCATCAAGCATACAGCAGGCGGGTGTGGAGCTTGCCTCCCAAGCCTCCGCGGGAGGAGAGCGATCCCCACAGAGGATTGGGAAAAGGTCAACACCTTTGGGAAATGTGGGGGGGGGGCGGAGGGATCTTTGCACCACGGAGCCAGATAATAATAATAATAATAATAAAAATTATTTATATCCCGCCCTCTCCAGCCGAAGCCGGGCTCAGAGCGGCTAACAACAATAAAATAATACAACATTCTAAAATCATTTCATTAAAATTAATTCAACTCAAATTGATGGCAACCATTAGGCTAAAGTTCTGTGAAGATTGCCAGAGGAGGGGGTCAGGCTGCGCCCTGACCAAAGGCCTGGTGGAACAGCTCTGTCTTGCAGGCCCTGCGGAAAGATGTCAAGTCCCGCAGGGCCCTGGTCTCTTGTGACAGAGCGTTCCACCAGATTGGAGCCACAGCCGAAAAAGCCCTGGCTCTAGTTGAGGCCAGCCTAATCTCTCTGTGGCCTGGGACCTTCAGGATGTTTTTGTTTGAAGACCGTAAGTTCCTCTGTGGGACATACCAGGAGAGGCGGTCCCATAGGTACGAGGGTCATAGGCCATATAGGGCTTTAAAGGTTAAAACCAGCACCTTAAACCTGATCCTGTACTCCACCGGGAGCCAGTGCAGCTGGTATAGCACCGGGTGAATGTGATCTCGCAGTGAGGACCCCGTAAGAAGTCTCGCCATGGCATTCTGCACCCGCTGGAGTTTCTGGGTCAGTCTCAAGGGCAGCCCCACGTAGAGCGAGTTACAATAATCCAGTCTGGAGGTGACCGTCACATGGATCACAGTGGCTAGGTCAGATATGCTTAAGATGGCCCTGCATCTTACCTTCCTTTTGATGCTTACATTGCCGTCACGTAAAGTACAGGGAGCCGATGTGTGTTTTGCATACAAAAATCTCTGCAACCCCGAGAAGGCATGTGATCCAAAAATGCAAGGTGTTTTCGCTCTTAGCAATTTCGCAGCGGTGTGTTGAGCTGCCAGCATGGCCCGTCTACAATTTTGCAACTTCTTTTTTTTTTTTAATTGCTAAGGAAATTAAGTCTCCCTCCTCCTGCATACTTTTAGCTCGCCGTATTCCCCCAGCTACCATTCTGCAAAGAGAGAGTTTGAAACAGCTCTGGGAGATGCCACCGGGCCGGAAAACGAAAGGCAAATATACAAAAGTGTTTTAGAAGGTGGCGATATCCCGCTGCAAGGGCTAAGCGGTCTCAAACGTCCCTCCAGCTCGGCTTCCACTAAAGGTATGTCGCTAGAGCAACAATTTCCATGCATCTTCATGGACTGGCTGTTGTCGGTAGAACTTTAAAAACAGGTTGTGTCAATATATCTGTGCCAGGAAATGCTGTGCTTGTGTCAGGGTTTGAGATGTGAGGAATAGTTTCTGGGGTGGTAATATCTGACTGCACAATTTCATACTTCTGTCGGGGTGTTGTGCCCTTTTTAATGCTTCCCCACTTAAAAAAAAACCTTTAAAAATTTAGCCTGTTCCCTGCATGTTAGATTTCTACTTGCAGGGAGTTTTATAAAAAGGAGCATGCAAATCAGCCACATGCCATTTAGGTTGGTAAAACCCATTTTGCCATCACACAATTCTCTTACTCTGCCGCACATGTAGACCAGGCCACAGTCAACCAACATTGGGATCAGATTGGCTTCAGATCTAGGAGTTTTAATAAACCCAAGTATCCAAGAAAAGATTTGTAAATCTGCTGGTATCTGCTCTTCTTTCCGGGGTTTAGAACCATATTTTGACCCCAGGTTTCATGGGAGCAAATTTTCCTGCATCCAATTGGGTGGAGGATTAAAGGGGGTGGGTTACTGATTCATCTCTAGAAAGAGTTTGCTTATCACTCATCTATCCTTTTTAAGTTGCCATGTCCGGCCCTGCTCACTTCCAAGCACAGTCCGGTTACGCTCCCTCTGAATCTTGCTCATGGTTTGACCTTCCCTGGCCACGGTATTCTCTTCCCCTCACTCCCTTTTGTCTTCAGAGCATCCTCACAGACCCACATCACTCAAACCAGTTTCCCCCACCCATGTAGAGCATTCTCTTCTGCCCATCCTCTTGCCGGTTTAGCTTCCTAAACTGGACATTTATCTGGGATTGCCTTGCCTGTCGACCTTACTTATTCTTCCACTGTGGTGCCCTGTGTGGCTTTTCTATGCCTGACTTAATAGAGAGCTAACAACACTAGCAGTTGCGAAAGAGCATAATAAAAGAACGAAATGCATTATGAGCTGCAAAGACTGTGGCTAATGCAATAGTTGTGGTGAATTAATGCAAGTCAAAGTTGTGCATTAAGCCCTGCTGATTTCAAAGAACTTGAATCATCCCTTGACAATCTGTGAAATGCAAACTTAGGAATCACTGGAGTTGAAAGTAATTAATTCTATGTTGACAGCTTGCTTCTGGGTTGTTTTTCTTTTACATTTTTGCAGTTACTTTTCCAAATGTTATCTCTGCAACCTCGCCACACATTTGTTGTAAACAACACACAAAAAACCCTGAAATTCCCAGGAACTCACAAGTTACTCAGTGAAGTCACAGACTTTGGCCTATAGAGGTACAGAGAACGCTCACATTGGCCCCACATCTATAAGAAATACAAAATAATTAATGAGATGTCTTTTGTGGAACCAAGCTTTCTTACTGTAATAGTCTGAAGCTTTTCAGTTATATTTCCCTCAGGCAGAAAAGGGGCAAATTCTCAGAGGTTCAGAGGGCAACATTTCAGCCACTTTTAGGAATTTCATCTTGTCACGTATAATAGTGTCTTTACTAGGAGTTCCTGGCTTTTATAATGTGCAAAGACACCATTTGAAGCACAGGATATAAATCTTCGAATAAATATAGCCTTTTATATTTGACAAGCTTGTGGCTATTAAATCTTCCAATTGTATATAATGCAGTACAAAATAGTACAGCACTCTCTTGAAGACTCTCAAATCTCATTTCTGCCGTCAAAGGGCTCGCCCACAAATGACAATCTGTTCTTTTCCATTCTCACTTCCAAGTGTGATGCGTGGGATTTTCAGAGCTGTTAATTTTTAGCCTTTAAAATCTCAAAAGAATCTACCTTGTGTCTCTGTAGATTTACAGGGGTGTTAAATAGCGTCACATTGTATTGACTGAAATTATTAGCAGTGTTGCTGCCTGCGGGTGCTGAGTATTTATTTTTTTTCCTTCAAAGAAGATTTTGCTCTTAAGCAGAAAGCTTGCATGCTGTTTCATCTAACAGCAGTTTAAACCAACAACTTGATTTATGCACAGGCGTTTTGCATGCCAGGCACAGCCAGTTAGATTGCAAGCTTTTGCTGATTTTCATATGAGCACTTACCGTATTTTTCGCTCCATAGGGCGCACCGGACCATAGGGCGCACCTAGTTTTGGGAGGAGGAAAACAAGAAAAAAATATTCTGAATCCCAGAAGCGAGAACAGCAAGAGGGATCTGGCTTCTGGGATACCGTGTGGCTGTTCTGGCTTCTGGGATAACCGCGCCAAGCCTCTTCAGGGCAGCGGGATGAAGGCTCCCCATGCCCAAAGAGCATGGGCTAAGGCAGAAGCCAGGACAGGCACATCGCTGAAGGGGCGCTGCGCAGTTCTCCCTCTCTGCGCAGTGCCCTTCAGCTTCGCATGAGAGGCGCGTCGCTCAAGGGGCGCTGCGCCTTCTCTCTCTCTGCGCAGCGCCTCTCCTTCACAGGAGCCTGCATTCGCTCCATAGGACGCACACACATTTCCTCTTCATTTTTGGAGGGGGGAAGTGCGTCCTATAGAGCGGAAAATACGGTAATATACCCTGTTGCTCCAGATTCCTAAAGCAGCGGCACTGACTTGTAGAGAACTTGTTTGATCTCCGCTGTCCCTAGTTTAGAAGCTCCTCTGATGTCGCAGGATTTACCTCCCTGAACACAAACAGTCCTGTGTTACCTCGGCAGCACAGCTTGGCTTTTCCATCGCTCTCCTGCATTCCTTTTTAACATTGCCTGTCTCAAGATTGCATTGATTGAAGCCACAAAAAGCATGTCATTTCCCTCCCCTTCCCCTCCCCTCTTTATCCACAGCTTTGCCACACTTAAGCTAACAGGTTGTATTTATTTTATTCTGCATGCTTTCCAGTGGATCGTAAAGGTGGGAATGTTCATACGATTGCACCCTCTTCAGTTAATAGCCGAACCCTTAACTCTAATAATGGTGGCCCAGTAGGTCGCCTATGTAAACATAAGAAACCCTTATCTGCTGCAAAGGTCTGCATTGCTGAAATTCTTCCGTCCAAATTCAAACCCAGGCTGGCTGCTCCACCTATTTCTGGGCAGGACAGAAAGGATCTCTTGCCTCACGAGAAAACGCAGAGCTGCGAAAACCTCCGCAGCTCTTTTGCCTCCTTTGATAGCAGGAAGGATTTTGAGAACTTGCTGATGAAGTCCAAGCAAGAGTTTGCTGTCAAATCCATCAGTACGCAGAGCTTGCAAGAATATGGCTCTTCCAGCTCCAGGAAAGGCTCTCGGAAGAACGAGAAGGAGTTCACCATGTTGTATAAAGACATGCACCATATCAACCGCTCCGGGATCCAGCTGAGTAGCATTTCGTCCTGCAGCGTGAAGGAAATTGCATCCCTGTTTGAGAATGAGCCGAAGGACAAGAGGGAGCCCAACCCCAGTCGGGAGAACCTGGAGCAGATCCCCAAGCACACGGTCTCCTCTCGCATCACTGCCTTTGAGTTGCTGATCCAGAGATCCCTCTCCATGCCTGCTCTCAACTTCTCCAGCTTCCAGGTCAAATCTCCCGCTCCGAGCCTCTCTAACAGCTGCCTAGCTTCAGCTCGTTCGGCCGAATACCTGTTGGATTATGCCAAGCCGGACCTGGGACCTGCCAACCTCGCCGATACGTCCTCCTATTCGTGCAGCAATACGGAGGACGTGACCTCGGAAGTCAGTGACCTGGCGCCTGTGGAAACGCTCTCGGCTTGCACCGACGAGATAGATCTGTTCTCCAACGTATCCAACGATAGCGGCGGCGACAGCATCACCAGTGGGCCCTCGAGATACAAAGCTAACCAGTGCAAAGGATCCTGCGCTGCTTCTTACACCAGGTTTACCACCATTCGGAGGCACGAACAGCAACAGTCCGGCAGAGGGGAACCCCAAGAAGATAAGCAGCTGCTTCCCAGAAACGTCTATCTCATGAGCCCTCTTCCCTTCAGACTGAGAAAACCCGTGCAGCACAGCTCCCGAAAGACTCCGCCTCTGCAGATCCCGGGAGACCTGTTGGCGTCCAGTTGTGAGATCCAGAATAATCTGGCTCGGTCGAGGGGGAGCCTGGTGGACAGGGTGGACAGCTCCCTCTTCCACGAGCTGTATATCCGACAGAAACCTCCGGCCCCCAAACGCCTCTCTTCCTATGACGTCCTCAAAAGGTTTAGCCACTTCCTGGATATGGAAACATGCCAAAATAGCTCCCTAATGGACATCCCAGGTGCCTTTAATAATGGGGATGTACCATATGCATTATACCACAACCTGGACACAAACAACAACCCTCACAGGACGTACTTTGGAGGTGGCGTTTTTGAGTATTTTACTGGTGTTACTTCATCTGTACCCCACTTTGCTTCTCCTCTCTGTTTTGTTTTTTTATATATATAAAAAAACCCCTTCCCCTGCATTTCATCTTTTCCTGTGCGTCCCTTGTGCCGTCCTCCTCGCATTTCAGGACTTGACTGAACTGAGAAATTAATTCCTACTGCCTTTCTAATCACCAATCAGAGCAGGTTGTCTCAAAAGTCAAAATTTAGGATGTGAATTATTTAGGGGAGACAGCTTAAATCCCACATAATTTGCATCCTCGGAGAATTAAATAACAAAACCTAATTTATTTTTAGGGGCAGTTTTTCAGGTTCTTGGTGTGGTGTGTGTGTGTGTCTTTGCGTGTGCGAGGTGTGTGTGCGTGCATCTGTATCTCTGCATGCTGTGACACAACTTTCCTCAACGGAACTACATTCAATCATATTTTGTGAACAGCAAATATGTTGTTTAAGCCCTCTTGTGGGCCTGGGTTTGATTTTGTCGTTTCTTATTTCTGCGTTATTATTTTACTCCCAACTTTCGGAGCACCAAAAGGGAAAAAAATAATAATCCAAAATGTTAACCAGCACTTGATTGCAAATTGATCAGCAGATTTGAAGCCTTTTCTTTCTTTATTTTTATTCTCCTTCCCCCTTTTTCTAGATTTGAATCAGTTGGTTTTTTTAATTGCCTTTTGTTGTCTTAAAGTAGATTCAGAATCACCAAGGCATTTTGCACCACTTGATTACATGGAGAGTCCTGAAGAATTTTCCCGCAGGCGCCACAGTGATAAAGAGGTAATTTTTCCTAAACGATCTAGTAATACTTCTCTTCCCCTCCCCCCCCCCCAAAACGAATAGACCTTAAGCAAGATGCTCTTAAGAGGGGTCTACTGGGTAGAATTGTTATTCGCTGCCCTGGAATTTTATTTTTGATGGTTGCAGGGTTATAAATATCTAAAGAATAAAATTAATTAGAGCGGAGACTATCAATTTGAAGTTAAATGACAACGTTGGTGAAAGTGGACAGGAATGTATAAGGACAGAGTACCGGATGAAAAGGGGGTCACTACAGATTTTGCTTTGCCCCTTCCCATCCCTGCAACCCTGTGCATGTCTACTTGGGTGTAAGTTCCATTATGTTCAATGGGACTTGTTTCCAGGTAAAAGCACCTGCTTAGGAGTAGGGATGGACGGATCTGCGAATTTCTGTTCTCTCAAGTTTCTCATTCCCCCCCCAAACTCATATTCAGTCATCCAGATTTGTGAGGCAATTTGCAATTAAAAGAGAAAAAAATATTATCATGAAAATTCTTCAGCGTTTTAGTGTGATTTTCTCCAACTAATACATTCTTGAATACAGTTTTGAAAGGGCTATCTCAAGGTAAAAACAGTATCCTACCCCACCCACCCAGTTTCCAGAAGTTCCTTTTAACTCTGCCTCACAGGCTTGTTAAAAAGACGACAAACGGATAGTTTTGCCATTACGTGCCTCGCTTTAATGGTTCTGCAAAAGTGGGCACACGCAGCAAATGTGAAAAGCCTCTTCAATTTTTGCTGCACATTTTGGAACCCTTAGAGGAAACGGTGAATCAATTTCTGTTTGCACTTTTCAAGCTGGCGAATGCAACTGCATTTAGACCCGCAATGTGTTTTCCAAGCACTGACTTGGTCATTCTGCCAAGCTCAACCAGAGTTGAATCACATTATTCATCTGCTGGGCACACCTGTTGCTTTTGGGAGTGGCTGGATAACAGCCTAAGAATGTAAGAGTTACCTTGCAAGATCAGACCAAAGGTCGATTGGGCTGTTTTCTCAAACCACCTGTTTTTAACAGCAGACAGCCAGGTGCCTTTGGGAAGCAAGGCTTGGAGACAACAGTTCTTCTCTTACCAGTCCCCAGCATCTGGTCTGCAGAGATATATTCTCTCTGAACACTGAGATTTAACTTAGCTATCTCTGCTAAAACCGGTTGATAAATTGCTTTCTAAATAAATGAATGGGGCCCTGCAATAAAATGTTGCAGCGTGAAGTGCTCCTGTATAGAGCACAAGCCAATTAGACATGCTTTTTTCCAGGGACCTTGGCCTACTGGAGGTTTTTGTTTTGCCAATTTGGCCCTCTGTAGCCAAGCTGCTTTGGAGGTGGTGGGGATTACCACTCAACTGCAGCGATGGAGTCCGCGCGCTTTTGCGCCTTCGTCTACTGCTACCTTAAATGCTTTTTCTTCCCCGAATCTGAGGATTCCCTGTGCTTTGAAACTCCAAAAAGGAGAAAGAGGGAATTAAAGGAGTCACAATGGGCTCACAATCCACCTTGAGGCCCATAAATTTTGGGATCGCTTTCCTCAAAGAAAATCTGGATAGCATTTGTAAGCAAAGTACCGTATTTTTTGCTCTATAAGACTCATTTTCCCCCTCCTAAAAAGTAAGGGGAAATGTGTGTACGTCTTATGGAGCGAATGCAGGCTGTGCAGCTATCCCAGAAGCCAGAACAGCAAGAGGGATTGCTGCTTTCACTGTGTAGTGATCCCTCTTGCTGTTCTGGCTTCTGGGATTCAGAATATTTTTTTTCTTGTTTTCCTCCTCCAAAAACTAGTTGAGTCTTATGGTCTGGTGCGTCTTATAGAGTGAAAAGTACAGTACATTTCTGAAGAACATGCAATCTTATTGAATATAAAGGTAAAGGACCCCTGGATGGTTATGTCTAGTCAAAGATGATGCGGGTGGCGCTGTGGTCTAAACCACTGAGCCTCTTGGGCTTGCCAATCAGAAGGTCAGCAGTTCGAATCCCCGCAATGGAGTGAGCTCCTGTTGCTCTGTTCCAGCTCCTGCCAACCTAGCAGTTCAAAAGCATGCCAGTGCAAGTAGATAAATAGGTACCACTGCGGCGGGAAGGTAAACGGCATTTCTGTGCGCTCTGGCTTCCGTCACGGTGTCCCGTTGCGCCGGAAGCGGTTCAGTCATGCTGGCCACATGACCCAGAAAGCTGTCTGTGGACAAACGCCGGCTCCCTCGGCCTGAAAGCGAGATGAGCACCACAACCCCATAGTCGCCTTTGACCGGACTTAACCATCCAGGGGTCTTTTATCTTTACCTTATTGAATATATACCATTAAATATATATATATTGTACTTGTGCAAGCCTTGTGGTTCCCTCAGTCCTTCTGACACCTCCCTCTTTTGTGCGCATGTGGCTATTTTGGCTACAGGAGGGTCCACACTTGGGGAATGAGTTTGCTTTTTAGTACAGTTATATATATGCAGGTTGTTACTGTGTGGAATGCTGACATTCTCAGTTCCAGCAGCTTTGTCCCACCCCCACCCCTGATTTCCCCTTCCTTCCTAACAACCCACCCAACCCAAACAGTCACCTGTTTGTGGCCACCAAGCACATTCAGTCCTCACTGGGCTTTTCATACGTTTGTGTGGATGGGGATTCTGAATTACCGTATTTTTCGCTCTATAGGACGCACCGGACCATAGGAGGGGGAGAACGGGGGGGAAATTATCCCCCTCTCTGCTCAGCGCCCCTTCAGCGAAGCAGCCGGAGAAACGGAGCCACTTCCATTTCTCCTCCCGCTTCGCTGAAGGGGCGCTGCACAGCTCTCCCTCTCTGCTGAAGCCGGGAGAGTCTTGCTCTCTCGGCTTCAGCAAAAGGAACCCGAAGCCTTCGGAGCGCAGCGCAAGTTCCCGCTGCGCTCCAAAGGCTTCAGGCGGCTATCCCTGAAGCCTGGAGAGCGAGAGGGGTTGGTGCGCACCGACCCCTCTCGCTCTCCAGGCTTCGCGTTGCTATCGCTGAAGCCAAGGAGCCTGCATTCGCTCCATAGGATGCACACACATTTCCCCTTAATTTTTGGAGGGGGAAAAGTGCGTCCTATAGAGCGAAAAATACAGGTTGTTTGTTTTTTTTTTGCAAACCTTGAGGCTCCCCCAGATCTGTCGATACTTCCATCTCGTGCATTGGTGGCGCCATTTTGGCTGCACAATCAATGGCTGTCTTGGCCTCGGCCTCAAAAACAGAAGGGAAGGTATTCCTGGTGATCACAGAATTATCTCCTCCATGACTTCTCCATCCTTTCTAAGCTTGTGGCCATTGCCACAAGGATTCAGTTGTCTTGTGATCCTGCTCTCCAGACCAGTGTTCTTAGGATAATATCCAGTGTGCAGCATTTAATGATGTACTGTTATTGGGGTTGGGGCGGGGGGACAACTTTCCATTATGTTTGTTAGTCTGCATTGGAGAGAGGTGTGTTTTTTTAAAAAAATAAAAGAACAAACGAACAATAATAATAATTTGCTGGCAGTTTTGAAATGCCATAAACTAGATGATTTACTGCCCATTTTATGCAATTTCATGGCAGAAACTTTTAGAGGACCAGAGACGGCTTAGACGTGAGCAAGAAGAGGCTGACATTGCAGCTAGAAGGCACACAGGGGTCATTCCTACGCACCATCAATTTATCACTAATGAGCGGTTTGGGGACCTCCTAATTGTAGACGATACCGCAAAAAGGAGATCTGGGTCAGAGGTCTGTTGTGGTTGCCTCAGTCTGCTGCTTGACCCGATTCATATTTGCCTCTCATAGCGTTGTGCTTTTAGGCCAACATTAGCTATCCAAGAAGTGTGTTACTTTTTATTTTCCCCATTCGCGCTTGACTTAGAAACTGCTTTTTTTCGACTTTGTTAAAACGAATTAATAGCTCTGTACCAAAAGCTGTATGTACGTGTTAAAAAAGCATGCCTGCTGAGGATTGCTAGTGCACAACTTGTGATGCATGCCTTTGAAATATCCGTTAGTTTTATGGCAAAAATCAGGGGGCATTTGCTTCATCTTTTGCATCACGTAATGCTACATTTTCTCCTTGTCTCTGCCTTATGCTTAGAACTTCCATTGTCTTGTTGATCCTGACCATGTGATTGTCTTGTAGTGGATTAAACACTAGATGGCGATGTTCTTTCTCTCCTCTCCTTTTGTTAATATTCTTCCGGTCAGGAAAACCAAAAAACGACAACCCCAGAATATCTCGGCACATTTCATTTACAAACAGCAAAAAGAGACAAAAGGGGGAAATGGTTTTTCAAGGAGTCATATTGGACAGGAGCTACACAACCTGCACGTAGCCTTTCCGCCAGAGCAATGTTGTATTGCATTCAGTGGTCGTTTACCCCTTAGCTTATATGTGACGAATGCTGGGAATTGGCTTTTTAAAAAAAATTAAAAATAATGATCTTTCAAGACAAAAAGCATTGCCTTTGCTTAAGATGCCGACCTTGTAATATTTATTGCTAGCAGAATTTCACAAGGAGTGTAAAAAGCAGTTCTGAAACGTTTCAATTAGCCGGTAAAAGAACCCTGAAACATTGTTCTACTGCGCTCATCTTACGCTTTGATTTAGAATTGGTATGAGGAATGGGAGTGCTGGTATAAATCTGGAGGAATGTGTGTATTCAGCCCATAGGCAGTTTAAAATTGCCAACTCCCCTCCTCTCTTCTCTGGATTAAAATATTATATATTATTATAGGGACGCAGGTGGTACTGTGGTCTAAACCACTGAGCCTCTTGGGCTTGCTGATCGGAAAGTCGGCAGTTGCTCAGTCCCAGCCTCTGGTAACCTAGCAGTTCAAAAGCACACCAGTGCAAGTAGATAAGTAGGTACCACTAAGGCAGAAAGGTAAACGGCGTTTCCGTGCGTTCTGGTTTCTGTCAGGGTGTCCTGTTGCGCCAGAAGCAGTTTAGTCCTGCTGGCCACATGACCCGGAAAGCTGGCTCCCTTGGCCTGAAAGCGAGATGAGCGCCGCAACCCCATAGTCGCCTTTGACTAGACTTAGCCGTCCAGGGGTCCTTTACCTTTACTGTTATATATATTGTTCCCTCAGAACTATAGAAGTTATTTCAATTAAAACCTCAGTTTTTTCTCCATTGGCTTCTCCCTTTTGTCTCTTTCCTGCCGATCAAACTGACAATTCATGAGTGCAGTTCAGGTGAACAGGTAGCTGCCAGGAGATGCTTCCTTGGTAAATATCCAGAGTGCCGTGTCAAGAGGGGCTCCTTCTCATCTAGCTCCGCCAAGCTTGCTGATACACATATCAGAAGGGGATGTCACCCTAAATTCTGTGGGTCCCTGGAGCCATGTTTTTTCAGATGCAACGTTCTGCTATGCAGAGTGGATCGCAGCCTGTTTAGCAAACCTTTATCACTGGCCTACGCAAATCTGCTTTGCGTTTCCTTCCGAAACTGGCTGGAAATGGTTTTTTGCCCATGGTACCGACGTTCATTTTTTTGCATGGTCTCCAATCAGACTAGTTTTGCAGAAAAGCTGAAAAGCAAGCCCCCTCCCATTATTCACACCTTTTGCTTTTCATTTAGAGTAGAAACTGAGATTTTGCCACTGGCTATTGAGACATTGGGATTTCCTCCTCCCCAGCTAGACCCTTAACATCTGATTAGGACTCCCCAGTCATTTAAGATAGCAAAAAAAGATAGAATGAACCCTTCATAGTATTTTTGCCCCCATCCCACACCTGACCTTAGCATTTCTGTGGCTGGGATTTCCATACTATTTAAGGCCCTGTCCCAAGGAGTTGGCAATTGCTTTAAATGTGTTGTTTTTAACCCTTAGATGAGAGCTGCCAGAGCGAAGTTTGACTTTAAAGCCCAGACACTCAAGTGAGTATACGTGTACGGCTGCTTGCTTCCCTCCCCAACGATAGACTCTGGTTGTTAAACCAACAAAATGCTTCTCTGTGCTCCAGCCAATTTCTGTGCTCACTTCCAGTGATTGTTAACAAGCAGAAGAGTATTGCTCTTTACCTTCCTTGTGAAATTTAGGGCTGTGTCTAGGTTTATAATGGCATAACATATGGAGGAGTTCAGGTTGGGAAAAGTTAGTACAGGGTAACAGTCTTCTTGTTTAACATTAAATTGGAGAGTTTCTCTTCCTCTAGTGCTTAGAATCTGCCCTCCATGTACAACTCAAAGGTAGTTTCATCTGTAAACCCTCCAACATTTCTGCTATGAAAATAGGGAGGTCCTATTCAGTAACAGGGGATGCGGGTGGCGCTGTGGGTTAAACCACAGAGCCTAGGACTTGCCGATCAGAAGGTCGGCGGTTCGAATCCCCATGACGGGGTGAGCTCCTATTGTTTGGTCCCTGCTCCTGCCAACCTAGCAGTTCGAAAGCACGTCAAAGTGCAAGCAGATAAATAGGTACCACTCTGGCGGGAAGGTAAACGGTGTTTCCGTGCGCTGCTCTGGTTCGCCAGAAGCGGCTTAGTCATGCTGGCCACATGACCCAGAAGCTGTACGCCGGCTCCCTCGGCCGATAAAGCGAGATGAGCGCCGCAACCCCAGAGTCGGCCACGACTGGACCTAATGGTCAGGGGTCCCTTTACCTTTATTCAGTAAACAGCGACAACAACAACTTTATAATTGATAATACTTTCATCATTTCTAACCTGCCCATCTGACTTGGGTTGCCCCAGCCACTCTGGGCAGCTTTCAACATATATAAAAGCAAAACATTAAACATTAAAAAAACTTCCCCAGACAGGGCTGCCTTCAGATGTCTTTTAAGAGTGGTATAGTCACTTATCTCCTCGGCTCGGAGTTGCGTAACTCCATACCCTCCAGCATTTCTCTGATGAAAACAAGGGACGTCCTAAGGAAAAGCGGGACATTCCGGGATCAAATCAGAAACAGGGACGGCTTCTGTAAATCTGGGACCATCCCTGGAAAATAGGGACACTTGGAGGCTCTGTAATGCTCTACCTTAAAAGCTATGTGACTGCGGTTGCTTCCAAGCTAGTTCTTCCCTCTGGAATTTTAATCTTTTCTCCACTGCTTTTTAACCAAGTAGCCAGAAAACTTGCTTGCCAGCCCATTGCATTCCACGGTTTCACACATTATCTTCCTGCAGGTTTTTCTAGACCCAATTTATGGTGATTTTTTTTTGGTTACAAAATGCAATTGTAGCACCAGCCATCCTAGATTAGCTAGTCCAAGAGGCTCTTATGGGCTCCTTTGCCCTCAAGCATTTTCTGTTTGCAGATTCAGTCCAATTTATTGCTTCTTAAAAATAGCAGGCGGGGCTTAGTGATGGAAAACCTTCATGCCAGTTTCTGATTCGGCTAGCTTCATCTAATTATTTTCATTTTTTAATGGTGAAAAAACTGGAAAATGGAAGGGTCTTGAATATCAGGGAAAGTGATGCTGAATAATAATAAAGCGTTTTGTTAAATGCTTATGCACAATCTCCATGTTAATTCCATCTAATTGTGGAAAAACAATGTTTCCGTGGCACCAAAGGTCTGTACTGTGGAATTGACCAGAGGGAGGAATTATTGAGGGAGATTCACTAGGTCCAGATTTGCCTCTTTTTGGAGCTCTGCAAGAATTTGGATATAGGGAATCTCCAATAGTGCTTTCAGATAAGGGCATGCATATGCTACTTGAATTAATATTTACAAGAGATGTTAACTGCGCATTAACACATAACCTGTATGTTTTTAACAGGGAGCTCCCACTGAAGAAAGGGGATGTCGTTTACATTTATAAGCAAATTGATCAGAATTGGTTTGAAGGCGAACACCATGGCAGAGTTGGAATTTTCCCACAATCATACATAGAGGTACTTCTTTTTGTTGTGCAGATACAATGAGTCAAAGTGGTGAGACTTGGTTTGTTTCATTCAATTTATATCTCGCCCATCTTCCCAAAGGAGCAATTTCAAATAAGCCACAAGGTGAGAAATATTTTGCGGCCACATTCATTGTTTAAAACTTACCCGAGACGCTTGAACCATTAAAACTGCTTTACAGTCACCCCTTACTAGAATTATGCTTCAGATTTGTTCCAGTGTGTAACACAGAAGTTTTGATTCAGATGCAATGATAAACCACCATTGGTGTTTCTTGGGACTTACATAATTCATCCTTTCCTCATTTTTTTCACAACGTTCCAAAGGGATGGTTTCCAATTGCCAAACCATGGTTTAGACATTGCATCTCAACCGAGTCAGTCAGAAATAGGGTCAAGCTATCTTGCACATCCATGGGATGTGGGTGGCGCTGTGGGTTAAACCACAGAGCCTAGGGCTTGCCAGTCACAAGGTCGGCGGTTCGAATCCCCGTGACAGGGTGAGCTCCCGTCGCTCGGTCCCTGCTCCTGCCAACCTAGCAGTCCGAAAGCACGTGGTTTGCCAGCCACATGACCCTGTACGCCAGCTCCCTCAGCCAATAAAGCGAGATGAGCGTCGCAACCCCAGAGTCGGTCACGACTGGACCTAAGTCAGGGGTCCCTTTACCTTTACCTGTCTTGCACATCCACATCTAACCTGGTACTGGAATCCAATGACTGGGGTCCTCATATCTGCCTTTTGGTGTGTGTGTTTTTTTATAGCTACTCCCTCCCACAGAAAAAGCTCAGCCTAAGAAAACATCACCGATACAAGTCCTGGAATACGGTGACGCTATTGCCAAGTTCAATTTCAATGGTGACACTCAAGTGGAAATGTCTTTCAGAAAGGTACCCGTGTCTTTGGATCATGAAAATCAGCGAGAAAGGTTTTCCCCCTGTTTCTTTCAAAGGAGGCTTTCTATTTTGTTTCCCAGCTGCCCTTGTCTCGCTCCTTTGTAGCTTGGTGAGTGTCCACGGTGACACTTAACCAAGGCTGTTGGATTCACATGTAGTGCCAAGCCATAACTGAAAGAAACCAGGCTTTCGAGTTTGGTTTGTTGGCGTTTGTTGGGTTAACACATGCTGGAAAGCTATGTGTTTTCTCCAAGGCTGGGACACCACATTGAGTGGCAGGAGGAGACCCGGCTCCCAAGAAGGAGCACCAGGCCTGAAGCCAGGAGCTCTTGATGGGATAAGCATTCTTGTGAGCAGGTGGACTTTGCTGCCTCTGTTCAGAAGTGTGGCAGGTAGGTAGGATTATTTGCACAACTTCATGTTATAATAATAATTTATTATTTGTACCCTGCCCATCTGGCTGGGTTTCCCCAGCCACTCTGGCCGGCTTCCACAAAGACCAAAAATACACCAAAATGTCACACATTAAAAACCTCCCTGAACACGGCTGCCTTCAGATGTCTTCTGAATGTCAGGTAGTTGTTTATCTCTTTGACATCTGATGGGAGGGTGTCTCCACTACCGAGAAGGCCCTCTGCCTGGTTCCCTGTAGCTTTGCTTCTCGCAATGAGGTAACTGCCAGAAGGCCCTCAGCGCTGGACCTCAGCGTCCGGGCAGAACGATGGGGGTGGAGACGCTCCTTCAGGTATACTGGGCTGAGGCCATTTAAGGCTTTAAAGGCCAACACCAACACTTGTAATTGTGCTCAGAAACATACTGGGAGCCAGTGTAGGTCTTTCAAGACCGGTGTTATGTGGTCTCGGCGGCCGCCCCCAGTCACCAGTCTAGCTGCCGCATTCTGGATTAGTTGTAGTTTCCGGGTCACCTTCAAAGGTAGCCCCACGTAGAGCGCATTGCAGTAGTCCAAGCGGGAGATAACTAGAGCATGCACCACATGTTCCTGTGCAGTCTCAGATCCTGGTTCCCTGATCCTGAAAGCCTTGTCCCTGAGCTGTGTTTAGGGAACCTTGAAGCTCCTAAGTTGGCTTGATCCTTGCTGCATTGCTGACTCCCATGGGCACCTGGATTAATTCCTGCTCTTCTCCTGTTGCAGAGCTTGCACAATCAGTCTGCTGAAGAAAAGCTTGGCTACTTCATTTAGAAGAAAGCGCACCTTGTCATTGTTCTTGGGCGAGAGCCAGGGCAGTGATCTTGCGCATACAATGGTTGCCTTTTTCACCTTGTGTTCTGCTTCATTGTTGGGTCTCGGACTGGAATTCAGCAAATACCAACGTCCGACAATAGTTTTGTGGCCATTGCTGGAATCCTTCCCTCTTGTTCCCCTCCCCAGTATGTTCCATCGCAGTTTGGCCACTGGTCCAGGAGTTGGGTAGCCGCAGTCATGCTCTCTGTTGCCCCCTGAAAGCAAACTAGAGGGTCTGCAAATCTGATTTCAAATTGGGATTGTGTGTCGAATCCCTTTTAGCCATAGCTGTCAACTTACAGATTTGAAAATAAGGGGCCAGCAGCCTCGAAAGTAAGGGATCAGCAACCAAAATAAGGGATTTTCCAGGCACAGGTATGTTCAACTTCTGAGCCCCTCCGAGCCAAAGGCAGAAAGCCCAGCCAGCAGCCAAACGAAGCCTCAAGCGGTGGTTCCCACAGTGCAGCAACCCAGCAAAGGGGATGCAGCAAGGAAAACCACCGTCACCTCTCTCCTGGGAAGCGCTGAGCAAAAGCGAGTCCCCAGGCAACGCGGCCGATTTGATCGGCACAAGGCATGCAAGCTCCACCCCCCAGTCGTTCTTAGACTCCTTATTGGGTGAGCAACACAGCCAAGCAACACAGTTGGAGCTCCCTCCTCCCTGGCCGGCAGGGAGGGAGGGAGAGGAGCTGCTTCCTTTGAAACCCAGGAAATTTAAGGGACATCATCAATAAGGGACAGCAGCAGGACACAGCGCCTGGGATAAGGGACTTTCCTGCCAAATAAGGGACGGTTGACAGCTATGCTTTTAGCAGTTCCGTGCAAACCGAAAGCATAGGCGTATGTGCGGATTCAACCTTCCTACCTGAGCAGCAGGGTTGAAAGTCTTGCTGCAGATCAGGAGCTTGATCTGCCCATTCATACTTTCTCCGCAGGGCGAGAGGATCACACTGATTCGGCAAGTGGACGAAAACTGGTATGAAGGAAAAATCCCCAGCACTCACCGCCAAGGCATCTTCCCGGTCACATACGTGGACATTTTCAAGCAGCCGGTGCTGAAGAACACACTAGACTATGGCAGCTTGTCGTTCTGCCACTCCCCAAACCGGAGTCTGACAACATCCCCGCAGGTACCTGCTCTGAATCCAGCCTTGCGAAACCGTAAGGCGTTGCTGTTTTTTGCTAGAGAGTCCCTTCTCCTGCTAATAACTCTTAGATAGTGAGGAGAACACATTTACCAGTGGTATATTCAAAAGATACATCTTTTGCCTCGCCCCGTATGGAGTGGCAGTTGTGGAAAATGTTGACAATAAACTCACCGTTTAGGAAAGTTCAAATGACCTGTTTCACACACGACACTAAATCAGGCCTTGCTCTGAGAGAGGAGATTGTGGTGGCCTTTCTTGGTTCTGCTGCTGCAAGCTAAGCATCTTGGCATAGCCCAGGTTTGTGTGTTTGCATTGCTCCAGACAAATCATGACCCATAACCCAAGAATTGTTCTTGGTTTACTACTTGTCGTTTGGGGAAGGCAAACCACGAGCCCAGGTTCAGATGATACCCTGAGTTAAATCACGGCTGTTCTTACAGCAGCAAAACAGCAAAACAAGCTATTGAGGAGCCTGCACGCCCATTCGTTTGCATTAAGCCATGGTTTGGCTTAGAGTTACATGCAAACTGAGCCAAAGCGATTTCGGCGAGAGTGAAATAAACAGGGACATACAATTGTACCTTAAAGGACTTAGCCTATGCATTCCTCCTTAACTCTGAGCAGGAATTGGAACTTTGCACCAATAATTCTAGTGCGGCAGAGTGTGTACATTGCTCAGAGGCAAGCACAGTTTTAGAAAATAGTTTTAGAAATGGCAAAGCCCAGAGGATAGCCTTATGCTTTTTTAAAAATTAAAAATAAATAGCCGTGTGGTAAAATTGGTAAGCACCCACTTCTTAATGAACCACACACACATATTTTCAAAATAGTTCCTAAACAGCATAAGCACGGGTAGAAAGTAGTTGTACATTTCCCCCTCCTGTTCCAGCTGCTCAGTATCTACCAGAGCAATGCTGACTTTGTTCCTAGAAGGGTGTTGTGTTATGTTTGGGATTTTAAGAGACGCTTCCCGAGCTGCTACAGAAAATCTCCTGGAAAGCAGTTTGGCACTGATTGAGGAACAAAAAAAGGAAACAAGCACATGCGTGATAAGAGGGAGGCTTTCGTTCCTATGAAAATATATTGCCTGCCAAGCCTTTAGATGACAATCATGAATGCATTTAGGCAGCTTTCGTCTTTTTGAAGGCCACAAGATGGATTCCGCCTAACCGGTAGGATTGCACCTTTAGTTGGGCAGGACTGACTGGGTCAAACTAGTCCTGAAATGAGCAACTGATTGTCACTGCAGTTCATTGTCCTGTACCACTGGCCCAAAGGAGGGCTCTTAGGACTTGGGTGCACAGGTGTCAACAATGCCAGAGTGATCAGTTCTGGTGCTTTGATTAAAGAAGGGTGTAGACGTACAGCAAAGCAGCCTGTTGGGTCTCCTAGCTTTGTTGGACAGACACTGCACCCAAACATACATTCTATATATACACAAAGCAGCATATATTATTTTATCTAGGACTCCCCATCACTTAAGGGACGCGGGTGGTGCTGTGGGTTAAACCACAGAGCCTAGGACTTGCTGATCAGAAGGTCGGCAGTTCGAATCCCCACGGCAGGGTGAGCTCCCGTTGCTCGGTCCCTGCTCCTGCCAACCTAGCAGTTCAAAAGCACATCAAAGCATAGATAAATAGGTACCGCTCTGGCAGGAAGGTAAACGGTGTTTCTGTGCGCTGCTCTGGTGCGCCAGAAGCGGCTTAGTCCAAAGCGGCTTAACCAGAGCAGCGCACAGAAACGCCGTTTACCTTCCCGCCGGAGCAGTACCTATTTATCTACTTGCACTTTGACGTGCTTTTGAACTGCTAGGTTGGCAGGATTTGAACCGCCGACCTTCTGATCGGCAAGTCCTAGGCTCTGTGTTTTAACCCACAGCGCCACCTGCATCCCTGTCCCTCCTTTTAGTCACCTGCATTCATAAGACCCCAAATGCTCTCAATTTTTTCTTGGGAAGGCTGACCCTGGTCATTTTGTCTGGCTTTTTGTGCTTTCAAGCTCTTACCATTTTTCTAGGTGGGGCGACCAGTACTGTTCCAAATGTCACTACACCAGGAAGGCATTGCAATCCTGGCAGTGTTCTATTCTGTGGCATTTGACATTCATTATTATATTAATTCCTCTCCCTTCTCCACAAGGTCCCAGGGGTGGGTTACAACAATGTAAAATACAACATAGAAAACAGTTGGAACCCCTTGCAATCGCAACCAGAGTGGGTCCTAGCTATCTGTTGCTGCAGTACACAGATGTAACATTTTTTGCCACCCCAACACTTGTTCCTAGTCATCATCGGTATAGATGTTAAGCTACAATATCCGTCCCAACATGTATCACTTTACACTTCCTCACATCAAAAAAGAAGAACAGGAAGACAGATGGAGGCACAGTAGGAGCGCAGATGGCTGTTTACTCTGCTGAAAGCATTCTGAATTTAAAATCCCTCTCCAAGGACACCATACCATATATATATATTTTAAAAAACACCAAAATGTAGTGAAAACTAAACTCAGGAATATAATTCATAAAAGGTACTAAAGGCAGCTATAAAGGGGAATGGCCAAATAAATTATTATTGTTAATAATAATAATAATAATAATAATAATAATAATAATAAATTATTTATACCCCGCCCATCTGGCTGGGCTTCCCCAGCCACTCTGGGCAGCTTCCAAAAAAATATTAAGATACTGTAATACATTAAACATTAAAAGCTTCCCTAAACAGGGCTGCCTTCAGATGTTTTCTAAAAGTCTGGTGGTTCTTGTTCTTTGACATCTGGTGGGAGGGCGTTCCACAGGGAGGGTGCCACCACCAAGAAGGCCCTCTGCCTGGTTCCCTGTAACTTGGCCTCTCACAGTGAAGAAACCGCCAGAAGGCCCTCAGTGCTGGACCTCAGTGTCCGGGCAGAATGATGGAGGTGGAGACGCTCCTTCAGATATACTGGACCAAGGAATTTTGATGGCCACCTTCCCATCTCATGAAATCTCCCATCAGACTATGTTGCTCAGGCCAGACCTCTAACCAGACTGCATTTCCTCCCCGCACCGCCCCCCATCTTTTGGCTTGTAAATATCCAAGAATTACCCCAAAGCTTTCCTCAGCCAATTCTGTAATGCAACAGCGTAAAAAGAACACGAGAAATCGAGAAAGGGGCACTAGCATTATAACCAGTAAAAAAATTATGCAATATAAACACAATGTCTGAATGCAGGCTGTGTAATTCTGTTAAACGAACAGAAACCGTTATAAACTTCATGTGAATGAAATGTTAAATTTTGATATAGGGCAAGACGTGCTGAATCTTACCATCACCGCCTGCGTGTCTTTCCTCCCCCGAAAATCAGTATCTTTAGCTATTTTTCTCATGGTGGCGCCCCAGTACCATAAGTAACATCTGGCACAGCTAAATTAACACAATTTCAGGGATCATGAGCAGCAAGAGGATTTCGCCTTCCTCCCACCCCACCCATACTGGATTTTTAAATCCCCCACTCCCAGCTTTTTAGGGAATTTGCTGCAGCCAGCTTGCGTCCCTCCTAGAATCATGTCTTCATGGCACCCTTATTGAACCATATACTGAAACCTGCATATATCTACCTTCCTGTATCTGCAGAACCTGCCCCCACCCGCTGTCAGTAGTGCCTGTATGCTCTTGCAAACGCTTGTTTCCATTCCTCTATTTCTGAACCTTTGAAACACCCTAAATTGTCAGTGCTCAGCCATGCACTGGATTTTCCACTTTTCTCCATTCTTTTGCTGTACACGTTTCATTTTATATTATTATTTTTAATAACCTTTTCTTTCTTTCTTTCTTTCTTTCTTTCTTTCTTTCTTTCTTTCTTTCTTTCTTTCTCTTTCTTCCTTTCTCGTTTTCTTATTTGTCAAGTCTCCCAGTTCTGAGCTGCTTTTCACACCAACTCCTCCACCTTTGGCCCCCATCCGCCCAGCCCTGTCTCCTGAGTTGCAGGCTGTCACCTCCGAGTGGATTTCCCTCACCTTCGGGGCGCCCCGTGGCCACGCTGCACCCGTCACCCCTCCATTACCACCTCTTCCTGACGCTTCTCTCTGCAACGTCGACTATCTCACCCCATCAGCAGTGGCCAGCCCCTCGCCTTCCATCAGCCTCCATCCCTCTAACATGTCCAGTTCCTCCACCCCGACCTCTTTCGTTTCCCCGCTGCCTCCCTCCCCTTACGAGCCTCAGTCGCCCGCCCAAAACGCCAGCCTGGCGGCTCGGCAGAGCGAAGAGAAGTTTGCTAGCTCCCCTTCCCCACAAATGAGCTACTGCAATTCGCCTTGCAGCCCCGACAGCTTCCTCTCAGAGCTCAGCGATGCCACTGAACGCCAAGGCAAGTTGCAGAAGAGCCGAGGGCCGAGCCGGAGAATGGAGAGGGAGGATTGCGTTACGGCCGAACAGAAGTTGCGGTGGCATCCCTGAGATCTGTAGGGCGAGGGGCCTGTCAGAGCCGGAGAAGGCCGTTAGCTCACAAAAGAAATCTCTTCACACTATTGAGGAGAGCACGCTGTATCAGGAGCAGGGAGGTAGCCCCACGTGCAGTTATAAGCAAGTTGAACAGAGGGAAAATCAAAGCAGGCCCTTCAAGGTATTTCTTCTGCATGAGTGTCCTGAGGTTAACATCGCTGTACGTTTTGAGTGTTGCCTGTGTGTGCTACTGACCCGGATTGCAGCTCTCACTAGGTCAGTGTTTCCCAGACTTGCATCTCCATCTGTTTTGTTTTTTTTTTGGAGGACTACAACTCCCATCATCCCTTGCTAGCAGGACCAGTGGTCAGGGATGATGGGAACTGTAGTCCAAACACAGTTGGAGACCTAAGTTTGGGAAACACTGTTCTAGCTGGTATATTCCTTCTAGCTTGATGGTAACTAACAGCAAAACTTTGTCCCCTGAGCCGGTCGCGTTGGAAAAGAGTCAACAGAGTGAAGGTCATTATGGGATGGGTTCCCAGGATGAGAAGTGGTTCTCATATATAGCCTAGTCCAGGGTGTTATGTACTGAAGTTCTCACCCTGGGCCAGCAGGGGGATACTGTAGATAGTTATGCAAATAAGGGATCGAAAGTGACGTTCAGTGATTGGATAGTTTTAGAAAGTTGTTACAGTAACGTTGTACTGGAGCTCTATATAAGCAGGCTGACTGAACCCTTCAGTTCAGTTCTGTCCTGGCCTGTGAATAAATGAGAGCTGTTTGGAGAATCGCTGTGTCGTCTGATATGTTCACCCACAACTTAACACTGGCGACGAAGGTGGGATGGATGGGGAGCAGAGCACAGCCGGATGCAGCCACCCTCTGAGCAGAGCTGAATCACTGAGCTGAAACACCGAGCGAAATCACTGAACGTCACTTTCGGTCCCTTATTTGCATGACTATCTACAGTATCCCCCTGCTGGCCAGGGTGAGAACTTCAGTACATAACACCGAGCTTTCCAAACTTTGTGTCGTGACACGTTAGTGCGTCGGGTGCAGCTGTGTCGTGCGAACGCTCCTGGAAAGGGGTTAGTTTGACCTTCGGTTTGCTAGTAAAACTGAATTACTGTGTCCTGAAAGGATGCACGTCTAAAAAGGGCGTCGTCGACATGAACAGTTTGGAAAGCTCTGGCCTAGTCTGTTGGGCGGTGGCTCTCAAAGGATGTGTCTTGAGAGCAGCTTTGCTTTCGTGATCCGAGGAATGCTGTAGACAAAGTAGCTGTAGTCCATGTTCCCGTAAGATGTTAGGACCCTGCTCAGGTATCCCAAATGGAAAACACTCTTTAAGCTACGGTGTCATTTAGCAAAACTGATGCACTCACCCAGACAACGGCTAATGGTAATCTTGAGGGGTGGGGGTGGAGGAGTGCAGTGAAAAAGCTTCTTCTCTGGTCCTCCAGGGAAAGGGCTTCTCATTGCCTTCCTCTGCCTCCAGCATATACCGGTTTTTTTTTGCTCTATAAGACTCACTTTTTCCCTCCTAAAAAGTAAGGGGGAATGTGTGCACGTCTTATGGAGCGAATGCAGGCTGCGCAGCTATCCCAGAAGCCAGAACAGCAAGAGGGATTGCTGCTTTCGCTGCGCAGCGATCCCTCTTGCTGTTCTGGCTTCTGAGATTCAGAATATTTTTTCCCCTTGTTTTCCTCCTCCAAAAACTAGGTGCGTCTTGTGGTCTGGTGCGTCTTATAGAGCAAAAAATACGGTATCTGTTGCTTTTCCAGCCACCCAATTTAATTGAGGGTTTGAACCTCAGCAGAACTGGCAAACCTATGGTACTATCAGCCAGACAGTGAAAGTACCGTATTTACTCGAGTCGAATGCGCCGTCAAATCTAACCTCAGTTTTCAGAACCTTGAAACGAAAAGAGAGAGCATTTGCCGGCGAATGTAAACGTGCTGTTGAATCCAATGCGCACCTTAATTTTCACAACGTAATTTGGCCCCAAAATGGTGAGCATTAGCTTCGAGTAAATATGGTAGGGTAGTTGGCTGCAGGGCTGGGTCTTTTGCATAGGAGGACAAAAAATATGCTTGCTGTGGGGCTGGTTTAGTAGGGATGGGGTGTGCAAAACTGGAGAGGAATTCATTAGTCTATGTCCATCTCAGGAGGGGAGATGATAGTACTTGCCAATGAGTTGTAGACCTGGACTAGTAACATGCAGGCTGGGAAAACTCTTAGAAGCACCAAAGGTGTTTATTTCAGCTGGATGAAATATATTCGGAGTCGAGAGTGGACTTCATGCTCTTTATTCAGCTCATAGTGTTGAGGAGGAATGAATGTTTCCCCAAAGTATCTGCTTTATATACATTATTTACACAATGAGCTGCACGTGATTGGCTAATTCCGGAATTCTCCTGTAGGCCAATCAGGTTGTGGATTCACTTCCATTTGGAGCTGGATTGGGTGGCTGCTGCAGACCAATCATACTGCTGCATTGTTCTAGGACCAATCAGACTGCTGCATTCTGAATCCTATTGTTCTAGGACCAATCAGACTGCTGCATTCTGAATCCTATTGTTCTAGGACCAGTCAGACTGCTGCATTTTGGATCCTATTCAACTCAGTACATAACACCGGATCTCATACATTGTTTTTGGCATAAGGCTGCGTACACACAATACATGAAATTTGCCTCTCTCCTGCCCCAGAGAATCCCTGAAAGTGTAGTTTGCCCCTCGCACGGCTACAGTTCCCAGACCCCTTACAAACTACAGCTCTCAGGGTGCTTTAAAATGTACTTTTAAAATGCATGGTGTGTGCCTAACCCCTTGAGACCTGTGGAAGAACAACCAGAGAGGGATAGAATTTGTAAGTAAATATATTTCCAGGTGCACACTAATTCTTGTCTCAGTGTTTTCAGGGGAGTCATGTCATTGACCTAACAACATTCATTCAAAGCGCATTAAGCTTGCGATACTAATATGGGTCCCCGCAACTTTGAAAAGGCATGCCTGTTTTTTGCATGGACTTGTTGACGATCTTTGCACCGAGTTCAAAAGACGTTTTCTTGTTTGTAAGAGCATCATTGCTGCAGTGATGTGTCGACGGGTCATTTCCCTTCTTTGCTGACCAACTTTTCCTTCCTTTTAAAAGTCTGTCAACGCAAAACCATTCTCTCCATCTACTCTTCTGTCTCCCTCTGCAATTTCTTCCTTTGCGGTTAGAACACAAGTACCTCCCAGACTCTCACGCACGGTCAACGTCCCACAGGTAATCACGGGAGTTTGGGAGCTGGGGGAATGTCATCGATTGATATTTCATGCTCACTGCTGTTGCTTATCAGCATGTGAATTTCAGAGGTCAAGTACATCTTTTATATTGAGTAAATTGCTATGTGTATTAGATTAGGTTGGACTGATAAATACCGTATTTTTTGCTCTATAAGACTCACGCAAGGGGAAATGTGTGTGCGTCTTATGGAGCGAATGCAGGCTGCGCTATCCCAGAAGCCAGAACAGCAAGAGGGATTGCTGCTTTCACTGCGCAGCGATCCCTCTTGCTGTTCTGGCTTCTGAGATTCAGAATATTTTTTTTCTTGTTTTCCTCCTCCAAAAACTAGGTGCGTCTTGTGGTCTGGTGCATCTTATAGAGCGAAAAATACGGTACATTGTTGCTGCCTTAATCTGAGCCAGAGACCATCTAAGACAGGCATAGGCAAACTCCAGCCCTCCATCATCCCTGACCACTGGTCCTGTTAGCTAGGGATGATGGGAATTGTAGTCCCAAACATCTGGAGGGCCGGAGTTTGCCTATGCCTGATCTAAGAGCCAATTGTCTGCTCTGACTAGCAAAAGTAAAAGAAATGTACAGCACCAAGCAAAAAAGGCGTGAGGGAGGAAACTTTAAAACAGTACTTGAATTTTATAAAATAACAGAAAGGCCTTCGGAAACGCTCAACCCATTTCAGTTCAAAACCTTCTTCAGGGTCACAATACAGTTCCTATTAAGGCACTAGCATGTCTTAATTAAGGTATTGCCTTAACAGGAAAACGGTATTCCTTGTTCCCCGCAAGGAGACCTTAAGTAAAACACATCGGCCATTTTATAGGTCCTTCCTACTATTTTATACCATGATGCTTTTTTTAGTACTGTTTTGATATTTTTGCCTGTGTTTTATTTTTCTGGCTGTTATTCTGACTGCTAGCAGCCTCTCAAGATCTTCCTTTTTCAGCCGTATAATTTGGATCCTGTCTTCATTGAGAATATTAATTGGTCAGGTTTAAGGTCGTTAGCTTCACAAGTGGTTACTTCAAATGGTTGAACTAACCCTGTGGGGTGGGAAACATTTTCATTACGAGTGACGTGGAAAAAGCTGCATCTGGTGTTAATTAATAGGTAATAGTGGCCTAGATGCGCCAAGATCTGACTCAATGTAAATCATTTTTCTATGTTCACAGGGATGAATAAGGTGTATTTAGCTAATGTGCTAAATTAGCATAGGCCCTATTAATCTCAGCCAGGATTCCATGTTACTATCCTTATATAAACTGTGCATAACTTTTTGGCAAGGCAAGGTTTTTGTGTCGGAATCACGCGGGTAGGTTCTCTTGCTATATGTTAAGCTTTCATTGGCAGTGAGAGAGGTTGGGGGTCCCAGGGCATGGATGGTGGTCTGCAATGAGTTATGTTTGCTTGTGTTAGGGAGGGGTTGTTAGGTCAACTTACCTATGCTATCAGTGGGTTCTTGCTGTTGTCTTGTTGGGCTGTGTGTGTAATAAAGGGGGGGAGCTACACCGGGGTGAATAGCATAATCTTGATTAATCTAGGTGACATAATTGCATTTCCTGGTCAGTTATATTTCAGCCATTTCGCACAGTTGTTTCCTTTGTGGGCCCATTTGCTTTCAAACTTGGGTGCATCCCAGTTTCATAAAACAGTGGTACCTTGGAAGTCGAATGGAATCCGTTCCGCAAGTGCGTTCGACTTCCGAAAATGTTCAAAAACCAAGGCTTGGCTTCCGATTGGCTGCAGGAGGCTGTGTGTGTAATAAAGGGGGGGAGCTACACCGGGGTGAATAGCATAATCTTGATTAATCTAGGTGACATAATTGCATTTCTGGTCAGTTATATTTCAGCCATTTCGCACAGTTGTTTCCTTTGTGGGCCATTTGCTTTCAAACTTGGGTGCATCCCAGTTTCATAAAACAGTGGTACCTTGGAAGTCGAATGGAATCCGTTCCGCAAGTGCGTTCGACTTCCGAAATGTTCAAAACCAAGGCTTGGCTTCCGATTGGCTGCAGGAGGCTGTGTGTGTAATAAAGGGGGGGAGCTACACCGGGGTGAATAGCATAATCTTGATTAATCTAGGTGACATAATTGCATTTCCTGGTCAGTTATATTTCAGCCATTTCGCACAGTTGTTTCCTTTGTGGGCCCATTTGCTTTCAAACTTGGGTGCATCCCAGTTTCATAAAACAGTGGTACCTTGGAAGTCGAATGGAATCCGTTCCGCAAGTGCGTTCGACTTCCGAAAATGTTCAAAAACCAAGGCTTGGCTTCCGATTGGCTGCAGGAGGCTCCTGCAGCCAATTGGAAGCGACGGAAGTCGCGACGGATGTTCAGTTTCCAAAGAACTTTTGCAAACCAGAACACTCACTTCCAGGTTTGTGGCGTTCAGGACCCAAACCGTTCGTCTTCCAAGTCGTTCGAGATCCAAGGTACGGCTGTAGTTTATTCATGTACTAAAAATCCCCTTAAATAGGAAACATGGGTGATCAAATGCCTACCTATTTGGAAGCAAAATGGTCCCACATGAAAAGTAAAGAACATACCTAAGGACCTCCATAGGTGTGTAAATATAAATGAGTAAATTAAAAGAAAAAGTTCACGTGCTTGATGCTTGCATGTGCTTCTATATAAAAAAAGCCCCCCCCCCCCCCCCGGTGACTGTCAGGAGTTACAGAATGTTGAGGGCAAAACTATAAGAAAATTCTAGGTTAATTCATCTCATTGTCTGGCAAATCCTATCATCAGGGGCTCCAAAGTGCATCTTCTTACTCCAAGCAGTTCTCATAGGTATTCTGCACATTTCCGTTTCCTCCCCCTGGTAATTCCCCTTTAAATCACGGAGTCTAGAGTTTGTGCTCTTTTGTGTCCTTCCAGAGGAACTGTGCCATAATATTCTTTTGAACATCGGTCTTTGTTTTGCTAACCCATCATTTCATCTTCTAGCTCTTCTTCTTCTAATCCTTCTTGCCAGAGTCACAGTGTGTGCTCCACGGCACAGCTGTTTAATAATATCCAGTGGCGAATGTCATTTATGTCAAATTTCCCTTGTTTATTTTTGTTTTGCTTTCTTCCTATGATTTGAATTTGACTTGCTAGTGCATTTGCTAAAATGTCTCCCTTACCATGTGCTTTGGTGATCACACAGCTTTCTCATCATTCATTGAGGCCAGGACCAGATCTCACAGAATCTGAAAAGAGCTATGTGGTAAGATCGCCTGAGATTCATATCTGCAGCCCCATTTTAGCATTGTTCATACAAGCGCCATTCTCTCTTACTTCCATTTCATACTTTTGGAGGTATAAGCAAAACAATACCGTACACAAGAGGTACCAGCAGACTCGGAGTAATCCTGAGGTTTGCAGGTGCTTTTTTAAAAAAAATCTTTAGAAAGTAACCCTAAAGGGAGCAAACACCCCCTAACCATTTTCACAGGAACTCAGTGGCATGAAATGTTGTCTGACTGAGGTTGGGTGGGGTTGCGAGAACCAATTGGGAGAGGGAATGGAATGGCTGAAAAGTGAAAAAGTGAGGAGGAAGAGATACACAGGTGTTGATATGAGGTTGAATAATCCATCTCATTTTCTGGACAGGTCATTTCCTAATTCACCCTGAGAAGCTATTTTAAATGTTTCTGGAGGTAGACGTCCAAAGATTGTTATATAGTAGGGATTGAGAAGAATTGTGTCCTCATTCAAAACAAACACAAAAATGGAAGGAGGAAATCAGGGGACCCTCCAAGTGTCCCTATTTTCCAGGGACAGTTCCGGATTTTCAGAAGCTGTCCCGGTTTCTGATTTCATCCTTAGGACGTCCCTAGTTTCATTGGAGAAATGTTGGAGGGTATGGAATAGGTTGTCCCTATTTTCATCAGAGAAACGTCGGAGGGGACGTACTCTTATTTATATTGGAGAAATGTTGGAGGGCATGGAACAAGCCCCAGGCCAGTGACGACCGAGCATAGTCACTTGACCCAAAATGAGGCCTGACTTGTGGAAGGAGAGAGCAAAAACCTGAGGGAGAGGAAATTTAGCAAAGTGACCGTATCCCTGAACCAGATGTATCTCAGCCTGCAACATTTTGGTGCAGTGCTGCACTCATAAAGCATCTGTTACCTGCTTCTTGGCATCGTAGTCTAGACGTGCCAGTATTTGGGGGGAAAGGAGCCCCAAATGCCAGAGCTGGGCAGAGTGGGTTTGGTTATGTGAACAATGATAATTTTTTTGACTCTCAACCCTAATTCTTTTGCCACCGCTGTCCAATTACATGAGATGGAGGCTCTGATTTAGGGCGAGCTGAACCAGGTGCCATTGCAAACACCTGGCATCTATGTGGAGTTTTGGTGCGCAGTTAGGCCATTGCAACAGGAGCTGAAATTTTCTGAAACAAAGGCTACTGTAGACAAAGCAAACACAGGCATTAAATATCTGTAGCACTGGGGGGAGAACTTCGGTTGCATGCATGTGATGTGATTTGAAATGACGCACTCAGAGCTGGAAGATGTGAAGGTCCTTGCTAATTCCAGCATCTTTTGCTGCTACTGCTTTGTTACAAATACGTCAATCTATATGTCTAAAACTAAATAGCCAACTCTTCTGTATCTTGCCTCTGTTTTTCCATGCTTTCCACCTGGATTCCTCTACACTTCACTGGCTGGATCTACCACTGTCTTGTCTTACTGGATTGCTACAACTGGATTTCCCCGTCTCTTACTGACTATCCCCCCCTCCTCCCCACTTCCCCCTGTTCACTGTCCTCTGACGTGTTTCCCCCCCCTCCGTGGATGTCAACCCTGCACTGTCTCTACCGCCCAGGAAACCGTTTGCAATGAGATCTTAAACATTGCGGAAAAGTCCGTTCATTACTGCAGCACAATTTCTCAGCCTCTTGTCTCTTGCCACAAGGGGCCCCATAGTGACAATAAATCATCTTTCATCATTTCTCAGCAACCGCAAGTCCTGCCGCTGGGAACAAGTCTCGACAGGAACCACGCGCCACAAGATATGTAAGTTGGTCCGAAAGGGGAGACGCATTCGCCCCCTCATTTCAGCAGCTGTCGTACATTTGATGGATGGAATGCAGGAGACACAGCACAATTTTTAGTTTGATGGCTTTTCTTATTTAACACAAGGGACTCACCAGTATTTTGGTCTTGTGGTCTTGGCGGAGATCACCAGAGGAAATTGTGCCCTATTGATCCTACCAGACTTGTCTTCATTTTTTAAAATATCGTGGATCAGAGGTCTGGAGATGGATGCGTGGAACATTGGTGTGGACTTTTGGAACTTCCTGCTAGTTGGAAGACTTCAGAAGGGCATTGGCAGCTCATAATCTCCCCGGTGAGGTCCTGTAGACACTTTTGCCGTCAAGAGTGCCACAGGGCCACTGGATGAAGTTCTGCGTGCCACTCCTTGCCACCTGATCTGGTCCCGTGGTTTGAAGATTTACCGTATTTTTTGCTCTATAAGACTCACTTTTTCCCTCCTAAAAAGGGGAAATGTGTGTGTGTTTTATGGAGCGAATGCAAGCTGCGCAGCTATCACAGAAGCCAGAACAGCAAAAGTGATTGCTGCTTTCACTGCACAGCGATCCCTCTTGTTGTTCTGGCTTTTGAGATTCAGAATTTTTTTTTTATTGTTTTCCTCTTCCAAAAACTAGGTGCGTCTTGTGGTCTGGTGCGTCTTATATAGCGAAAAATACGGTATTTAGGGGCTGGCTGTGGTGCAGAATAAGGTACAAGGGAGCCGATGGGAACTGAATATGGTCAGAATATTGTTGGATAAAGTTGAGAGGGCAGAGGAAATTTAGACACCTATCCCAGCAGATCTCCTGTTTGTGGAATGCTCTCCCCAGGGAGCTTCACCTGGTACCTTCATTATACACCTTTAGGCGCCAGGCAAAAATGTTCCTCTTTAACCAGGCCTTAAAGACATGCAATGCTCTTTTAAATGTGTTGGGGAGCGGGGATTATTGGGTTGGTTTTTGGTTTTATTATGCACTTTGTCTTTTTATATTGTGATTTTTATCTTGTAACTGCCCTGAGACCTGTGGGTATAGGGTGGTATACAAATCTGAATCATTGTCATTGGATCTGTATTTGAAGAAAGTTAGTTACAAGAGGGATGTTGTTAGTAGTGGCTGACAATCTCTTCTCTTAATTCTACCCCCCCCTCCACTGTTTCTGGGTGTTTCCAGGCTTAGCTACCAAGCATTGTACAGCTATGTCCCGCAGAATGAAGATGAGCTGGAGTTAAGAGATGGAGATATCATAGATGTCATGGAGAAGTGTGATGACGGCTGGTTTGTTGGTGAGCATGACATCTGTCATTTCAACTCGTTTTTAAAACGTTAACGGGAACATTAATTAATATCATCCATTTGATTCACAGACCTACTTACACAAAATCTGCAGTTAGCCAGAGCAGCGTACATGCTATAATTCTGATAATTTGCTTGACTAGGAGTGATTGTGTATATTCTGCTGTGAGTTTGCTATGCATTTTAGCAGTAACAGCCGCGGCAATGCTTTTCCCTGTGACCCCCCCCCCCCCACCAATAGAAAATTGTCTTGGGCAAGATTCAAGCAGCAGGTCTATATATGTTTCACACAAACTACTGTAGAAACAGCACTGGGATGGGGAAGATCCATGAATCAGTTTCTACTTCCTCAGACCCCCCCGCACACTGATGTTCTGCAGCAAGAAATTCTGCCATATGACCCACCAGTTAAACAACTGTATAGCATTAAATCTCATTAAGCGGAAAGGCTTATCTGAGCCATTTAGTAAATATGACCCTTTCCCTTCCTTCCCAGCAGGTATAGAGGGAGAACAACATTTCCTGGTTATGTTTAGATATAAACCTATTTTCCTCAAGCATGTTTTAACTGTAGAATGCCTCAAAATAGCCATTAATTCCTTAGAAAGGCTCAGCGGTAACCAATTTTGATTGCTAGGTGTTCAAGAAAGAACACACATGCTGTTAGCGCATTCTGATTTTTAACAGGCTTTGTGGATGTAGACAAAGTAAATATAGCCATTAGTTTAGAGAGGTATTCACTCTGAGTTTTCAGCCATTGGGAAACCGACCTCCAAACATAGAACACCATTGGCCATGCATTTTGGTACCCCAAATACAGTGGTGCCTCGCAAGACGAAATTAATTCGTTCCGCGAGTTTTTTCGTCTTGTGATTTTTTTGTCTTGCAAGGCACGGTTTCGGAAAAGTTTTGGAAAAGCTTCAAAAATCACCAAAGTCTTCAAAAACCTCAAAAAAGGCTACCACACCGCGTTCTATGAGTTGCTCCTCGAAGTCAAGTCGCAACTGTATTAATGGTTTTAAGAAAAAGGAAACAAACTTGCAAGACGTTTCCATCTTGCGAAGCAAGCCCATAGGGAAAATCGTCTTGCGAAGCAACTAAAAAAACCAAAAACCCTTTCGTCTTGCGAGTTTTCCGTCTTGCGAGGCATTCGTCTTGCGAGGTACCACTGTAGAATTCTCAACACCTTACCTTAGACTCTTTCCAAAACACTGAATTGTTGACCCCCATTGGAATTCTGGATAATTACTGCATACATAGACTGCTCTAAAACCTTCAACTGTTGCAAGAGGCTGTTTAATTGAGCCAACTATTGTCTAATAAAGGCAATTATTATTCACATGCTCATCCAAAAACAATGAATAAACTGAAATCCTTTGGGAGAAGACCGTTATTTTACTTTTATTGTAGTTATGGATAAGCCAATCACTCATGCAATAGGTTGTAAAGACCTGTTTCATACCAATAGATAAAAAAACCAAAACCTGTTTCAGACTATTTTAGTCTTTTCAGCTCAAGCCAAGCCCTTGAATCTGATGCTGTGCATTCACAAGCCAAATGCCCTCCGCTTGGCTCCAGTTTCCAGCTCTTCCTTCCCTGCTCTTCCGCCCTGTTCTTCAAACATTGCCAAACTGACACCCACTCACTGACACTGTGGCTTGAGACCAATACTTTTATTTCGAAACGCAGCCTCCCTCCAGCTAATCATTTCAAATTGGAGCGATCAGCATGCACGACGCTTTCGAGCGATATTAAAAAGCGTATCTTGCCCAAGGAATCTTACAAACTGAATTTTGATGCGGCAGAAGGGCGGGGAAGCAAAGGGACAAAAGATGTAGAGTTATCGGTACATGATCTTTTATTTCAGCTAGGATTAAGTCAGGCTCCACTGAAAAGATTTATTTTGAGGTGAAACTTGAAGAAAAAGAGGGAGCTCTTTTGGTATGGACTTCCAAGATCTGAAGGGGCATCACATCAGATCTCTGTCCCATTGGGCAGCATGTGTTTCAGCATTCTTGGAAGACACAGGAACAGGCCATTGGTCCACGTAGCTCAGTGTTGTCTACAGACTGGCAGCAGCTCTCCATGATTTTAGGCAGGGTTTCAGCCTTACCTGGAGATAGGTAAAGGTAAAGGGACCCCTGACCATTAGGTCCAGTCGCGGACGACTCTGGGGTTGCGGCGCTCATCTCGCTTTACTGGCCGAGGGAGCTGGCATACAGCTTCCAGGTCATGTGGCCAGCATGACTAAGCCGCTTCTGGCGAACCAGAGCAGCGCATGGAAACGCCGTTTACCTTCCCGCCGGAGTGGTACCTATTTATCTACTTGCACTTTGACGTGCTTTCAAACTGCTAGGTGGGCAGGAGCAGGGACCGAGCAACGGGAGCTCACCCCGTCGCAGGGATTCGAACCGCCAACCTTCTGATCGGCAAGTCCTAGGCTCTGTGGTTTAACCCCATGCACTAACCAAATAAGTGGAGGTTCCTTTCACGGGATCAAGTTGCGTGTTATCCTGCTACACAGAGATAGCAAAGCAAAGATGGAAAAGCCATCATCACCAGCCTGCTTTTTGGTCCGCCACGCCCACATTTATTCTTGTTTTCTTTCTCAACAGGCACATCCCGGAGAACACAACAGTTTGGTACTTTCCCAGGCAACTACGTGAAACTTGTATCTTCATAAAAGCCATTGCTAGCCCGTTGGTGATTTCACCAGGAGAGAGAGACAGACAGACAGACAAAGAGAAGGACCTGGGTTTGAAACTGTAAGGAAAAAATGTTCAGAAAAGACTTATTTCATGAATGTAGCTGACAAGCGAGGAGACGCGGATGTGAATGTGGTAAAAGTGTTGGACTTACTCGAAGCCCTTGCCTCCTTTAAAGGTTGACCAGAGCAAAGTACCGAGCCGCTTACAACGCTGCCTTTGTGTCTGCTTTTATCCTTCAGGGGTGGCAAGATAAGACTTCGCTTTCGTTCAGTATTGAATATTGTTCTCCGCAGTGTGAAACTGGGGGAAAGCAATGAGATGGGAGTGTGAAATAATGTGAGCAGGGTGGGGAGGGGAAGAGGAACATGAGAACAGTGAATGCATTTTGGTTGCAGAATCTGTGACTGCAGTCCGGCTGGCAGGGGGTGAAGTTGATGTCTCATCCTGCTAAAAACCTCATGCAGCTCTTGTTCCCTTCCTTTGGAATGTGCACCTTAACACATATGAAGGGGAAAGGAATTTACGGAGACCCATTTTATATAGAAGGGCACATTGCCAAGATCGTCCTCCCATTATCTTTTAATTCACTACACCAGATTTAAGCAGGCTTTTCTGTGTTTCCTATTCCCCCGTTTTATTGAGGTTGCAATCTTCTATTTTGTTTTACTGGTCAGGCTGTCAGAAACCCACTTTTACTGCACTTAACTAAAACAGCAAGTAAGGCAGCGGTCTTGGCACTGTGCCTTGAGGCAGACGAAAAGAATTGAGCCTGGATCTTTGATCGGTCATTAAGATTTGGCGTTACCGGCAGATAAAATGTTGCATTCTATTCTGCTTGACATTATCCAGCCACGTTCTAGGCATTTTGACCCAGCTTTTCCACACATATCCTGAAAGTTCTGCCCACTGCATGTTCTGGGCCAGATCTACTCAGAATGTCATCTGCACAAGCTTCCTAAAGCTACATTTCTGCCAGAGGCGCTTGTGCTGAAGCCATTTCCAGTGGTTTGTGCCTTTGTGAGAATTTAGTGCATTCTTTTTGAGTGTGCTTTGGAGGAACACTGCGTTAACCCCCCCACACACACACACACCAATAGTGCGCATTTTAAAGCATAACTGTTGCCACTAATGCTTCCTCGTTCTCTTAACTGGAATAGCTCCTGCCGGAGGACTTATTTGGAAGTCAGATGCAGTGATTTCAGGTCACCTAATTTCCTAAGTGGACTCCTACCAGCCCAAATGGCAGACCAGACGATTGGTAGGGTAAGAAAAAGTGATCCATTCATTCACAACTCTCTACCTTAGAGAGCAGGGGTGCGGGTGGCGCTGTGGGTTAAACCACAGAGCCTAGGACTTGCCAATCAGATCGGCGGTTCGAATCCCCGCAACGGGGTGAGCTCCCGTTGCTCGGTCCCTGCTCCTGCCAACCTAGCAGTTCAAAAGCACGTCAAAGTGCAAGTAGATAAATAGGTACCGCTCCGGCGGGAAGGTAAACGGCATTTCCGTGCGCTGCTCTGGTTCGCCAGATGCGGCTTAGTCATGCTGGCCACATGACCCGGAAGCTGTACGCTGGCTCCCTCGGCCAATAAAGCGAGATGAGCGTCGCAACCCCAGAGTCGTTCGCGACTGGACCTAACGGTCAGGGGTCCCTTTACCTTCACCTTACCTTAGAGAGCAAGCAGCCAGACTCTATCAAGGCATCCTTCTCAGTTGTGGATATATTCTGGCAAAATATTCCTGAATGTGCCTTTTTAGAATTGGTGGCAAATGTGATTTTCTCTGCCTGTCTTTTCGAAAAGAAACACAGAAAAGTACAAGCAACCTGCACGTCTGGATTTCCAAAGCCACTTTGTTTTGGATCTCCTTGAATTATACACTTCTCTGACTGCAATCCTTTGCACACTTACCAGGGAGTAAGCCCCATTGTGTTCAATGGAATTTAATTCTGAGTAAGCATGCATAGAATTCCAGTGCCAATTTCCCAAATTTTGCACTTCCGTGCAAAACGAACCTGTTATTTTTTTCATAGTCATTTTGTTTAAAAGGAGAAAAGGGGTCATGGACAAGTACAACTAGCAAAGATTTAGATTGCGATTTTGTCATAAGCTGTATTTATTAAATATAAAAATCCTATTTTTCTGCTGATGCTTTTATACCGTTTATTCATAGTAACAGCAACTAACTCACGGTCAGCATGTTTGCAGTTCGTTGTATTAATAGCCATGCTCCAAAATAGCAGGATTTTTCTTTTGCTGACTCTTCCCCACCCCCCCCACAAGATCAGCCAAAAAAAAGTCAATTGAAGTGCTTTAATATTATGACTGTATATATGTATATTTGCCTTTGTATAGACTTACAAATAACTTATATTGAAGAAAATTAAATTCATTGAAAGCTTTTTAAAAAGGGCAGTAAAGAAGAAGACTTTTCCATTTTTATTTATATTAAGTAATTATTCCATGTACGATCACATTAAATACGAGGGGTTAGCAAAATTATAGCTCCGTTACAACTAAGCCACAAAATGCTGCTTCCATCCATTTGGAGAGCTAACATTTTCATAATGAAGGATTGTTACCGCCTGAGTCCCGTTGAAATTATTTACAGTCTCCTGCAGCTCTTGCACAGGAGAAGAGCCCAGAGAACAGCTTCCCTAACGTATTTTAATGGGTTTCTAATGCTTTTTTTATTTGCATTTTTATCTGAAGCAGCGTTTAGACGTGGCATTAAAATTGAAAAAGGATTGGATAGGTGCAAATCATGAGCTTAACCATATTGGCCGTATGTAACCATCTCGATGCCATTTTTAGTTTTAATAATGCACATGCGTGTTCCGTGCTCACCCATTACCCGTCAAGAAGTCACGTTTTGTGTTTTGTTTCCTCATTGCAGTGGATTATTATTTGACAATAAATGGAAAGATTGAATTCAAAGTGTGTTCTTTTACAGAAGTGATTTAGTAAACAGCAGCCTCCGGTTGGTGGTGCCTGTATTCGCAAGAATGTAAGAAAATCCCTTGCTGATTCAGGATCCTGGGGCTCTCCAAGGCCGGAGGGATGCCTGGGCAAAGCTCGCACCCAGGACCTGAGCACACCAGCGCTCTCCTCAACTGTGATTCTTTGCAACTAGTAGCCACTGATCACCTTATTTTCCAAGAAGTGGTCTCATCCTCTTTTAAAGCTGTCTCTGTAAACCCCTGGATACTATTTATGGGCACATTTGGAATGTGAAATTGCCAAGGCAGTACGAATGAAGAATATGCAAAGGTGGACAAGCTCCCTCCGCGCTCAGGAGGCTTCACGTTGCTTTCACTGAAGCCTGGAGAGCGAGAGGGATCGGTGCATACCGACCCCTCTCGCTCTCCAGGCTTCAGGGATAGCCGCCTGAAGCCTGTGGAGCGCAGTGCGAGTTCCCGCTGTGCTCTGCAGGCTTCGGGTTCCTTTCGCTGAAGCCAGGACAACAAAACTCTCCCGGCTTCAGCCAAGTGGGAGGAGAAATGGAAGGGGCTCCGTTTCTCCTGCCGCTTCGCTGAAGGGGCGCTGAGCAGAGAGGGGGAGATTTTTTTTTCCTGTTCTCCCCCTCCTATGGTCCGGTGCGTCCTATAGAGCGAAAACTACGGTACCCTTCAGGAGCGGCTGGCAAACTTTGTTCCACGAGGCTTGCAAAAAGATACTTTCGGATGGAAAAGTAACAGGAACAGAGTGCATACCTTCCATTCCACAAAGGAACAACCAAATTAGCATGACGATAATTATCCGCAACACAGGATACAAAAACCTACAGTTAGTCCAACTAAACTACAGATGAAGCCCCACTTCAATCCCTGGCAGGGATGCTTAAGAGAAAGGGGCTAAAAGGAAGCACAGCTAAAGCAATCTGTGTGTTGTATGTCTCAAGAGTTGGCAACAGCTCAAATAAGTTTTTAAATAAATAAATATAAAAGGAACTTGCCTTCAGAAAATACCGGGGAGGACTTTTCCTGAAGCGGCCATTCCTTTTTCGAAATCACATGCAACTAGCCCAGCATAGACAAAACGAAACTATCTCGAAGTAAGAAAAGCAGAACTTTTATTTAAAAGGGGGGGGAAACAAAGAGGAACATTAGTCAAATAATATAAAGAATCTTTGAGAACGTTTTAAATTATGTACACTATTTTTATACGTAAATATCTGAAGCTGTAGCTTTATACAAGTTTGCTAGAACAGGGTGACACAGAGTGGGTGGGATGAAAGCATTCTGCTTTAGAAACAAACGGATTTGGTCAACCGATTTGAACGCTTGGGAAATTTGATTAAAATACATTATAACTTCGTATAAAGCAATCATGCCATAATTTACTTGAAAAGCATGATACGAAGCCCACAGGACGTCATTTTACAAAAAATCTGCTTTGCAGTAACAGCTTTCAACGGGTGCCAATTGCCTTGTCAAATGGGGGGGGGCAGGCAAACAGCTTGAAGCTACTTTAAAAACACACCACTAATATGCAGACCCGCCCCCCCAACCACCAATTTATGAATAAAAGCAAAGCGGTAATGGGAGTTTTATTTCTTTCTACAAATTTGAACTCGTGACTATAAAAGCTTTCTTATTAATTCCACCCCAACCACGAAGATGGCTTTCCCCTCAAAGTATTTTTTGGGAATTACCTTAATGTCATATATGTTTGTTGGAACTTAAGTTTTAGTTCCTTCTCTCCATAACTAGTGCTGCCTCCTTTTGTTCCTTGTTCATGCTAGCCTCCTGAATTTACAGTCATTTTGGCATCCAGGGCATCTTGAAAAGAGAAATGTTTAAAGCAGGGGAAAAGGGACTCTGTGACCCTCCAGCTGGCTAGAGACAGGGAGGGTGGCAGGTCAGGAAACTCTGGTTTAATGTAAACTAAAAAGCATGAGATAAAGTTGCCACAAGCAAGGCGGCACAGGCAAGCTAGAACTCCTCTCCATCTCCACTCCAATTAAGGTTTTTAGTTGCTGCTTTTTTTAAAAAAAAACCAGAAGTTCTAATGGAGCTTCATTTTTATAAAATGGATTATTTCACGTATCAGTAATTCAAACTTAGAAGGCAATTCTCTATGGAAATTCCTCAATTGCATAGCTTTCTCTGCAAATCCTATGCACACAATTTTACTGCAGCAAATTGGGTTTCTTTTTAGAGTTATTAAGAATTGGTGAGTGTCAGTACACCGGTCAAATACTGGAGAAATTTTCACAATGTGCTTCATTTGCACGTGCAGCTAAACCATTTGATATACAGCTGAACAGCTTCAAATGAGACTTATTGCCGGAGGGCAAATGAAAACTATTCCACAAATACTCTCTTCACCACTCACTGACTGCGGTGCCGTGATGACTTGTGAATGTGCAATTTGGAGGGTATTATTGAGATAGTGTGGGAAGGTTTGTACATACACTTATGCCTTCTATTAAAGAGATTCGTGGGTCCCTGCCTTCTCCAATTTATTTTCAGCACATCCCTTGGAAAGAAACAAACACACGTTAACAAAATTGGGTAAGGGAGCAAATAGAATTTAACCCCAACATGTTTTTGGTCAAGGTAGGTAGATACTAACAAACAAAAAAAGCTGACCATTGTTCTGAATAAAGCAGTATTTCTGCTTTATTTTTTTAAAAAAGTTATAACATACTGGTGTTCATCCTCTTGTTCACCTGACCTTTGGATGGATGATGCTAAAAGCAGGTAGGATGGCACACCCCGAGTCCACTTCAGATAAATGTCCATTTCACTGCCTGAGACAATTTGAAGAGGCTTCTCAAAGAGGGACTACTTTGCTGTTGACAATAGGAGATTTACCTGGAAGGCAAATAGCAAAGGAGTTTTACTACTGTGCAACTCGTAACACCTGTTTTACAGAAGCAGTAAAATTTGGGGGTGGGGTTTGCACAGGGAAGGTCCTGGATATGGAGATCTGAAACTATTTGAGGGCAATACACAGGGCTGCTGCCCAGAGTAGCGCTTCCGTTGCCGCAAGGAATCAGAGGAGGAAAAGATGCTTGTTAAATGGGAGCACAATCTCGTTCCTGTGCGTTGAGCAGGGGTGGGGGCTTCCCTCTCGTACAGACACACACAGAGGAAGAGTTTGTGGCTTCCTAATCCCTTCTGCACACCATACCACAAACATCCCAGACTGCATGGCCCAGGGGTCAGAAAACTTTTTTAGCAGGGGGCCGGTTCACCGTCCCTCAGACCTTGTGGCGGGCCGGATTACACACACATACAGTGGTACCTCGGGTTACGTACCGTATTTTTCGCCCTATAGGGCGCACCGGCCCATAGGGCGTACCTAGTTTTTTTTTGGGGGGGTGGATAAAGTTTTTTTATTTTTATTTCCTCCCCAGGCTGCTATCCGCAAGCCTGGGGAGCCCGGCGGGAACTCCCGCGGGCTCCCAAGGCTTGCGGATAGCTTCCTGAAGCCTGGAGAGCGAGAGGGGTTGGTGCGCACCGACCCCTCTCGCTCTCCAGGCTTCAGCGAAAGCCTGCATTTGCCCCATAGGACGCACACACATTTTCCCTTCATTTTTGGAGGGGAAAAAGTGCGTCCTATAGGGCGAAAAATACGGTACTTAATTCGTTCCGGAGGTCCGTTCTTAACCTGAAACTGTTCTTAACCTGAAGCACCACTTTAGCAAATGGGGCCTCCTGCTGCCGCCAGAGCACGATTTCTGTTCTCATCCTGAAGCAAAGTTCTTAACCCGTGGTACTATTTCTAGGTTAGCGGAGTCTGTAACCTGAAGCGTATGTAACCTGAAGTGTCTGTAACCCGAGGTACCACTGTATATACATATCTGGAGACTGAAAGGAGATGCAATCGGGGGTTGACCCCAGCTCTGGGCAGCGGGGATCCTGGTAAGAGGGGGGCTTCTGTCTCCCCCCCCCAGCCCCTCCCCTCCCTCTGCTTTCCTACTTCCTCCACTGCTCTGCCTGTGATTGGGAGCCGGCGGCAGCACCGCCGCCTCTCCTTTCTGGGCCAGCTTTCCTGGGTGCCAGGCACGCCCATGGACCGACAGGGTGGGTGGCGGGTCTGGGCATGCAGGCGGCGAGGCTTCGAACTGGCTGGCACCAATCAAAGCCCAGCCCCCTACCTCCGCAGGGCAGGGAGAAGCCAGGAGGAGGGGCCACCGTGGTGGGAGGGGAAATGGCGCAGCCCAAACAGATCCACGTGGCGATTCCCAGACCGTCCACAGGCTGGGTCCAGAAGGCAATTGGGCCTGATCCGGCCCGCGGTCCTTAGTTTGGCATAGCCTATAAGCAAAGTTTTGAGCAGGGCCCTTGTACCAGTTACAATGGCTGGCTCTTGCCTAGATCTGAGACATCCTGTAGCTCTGTTTCTGGATGCACTGCTAGCCTGTCAACGTAACCCAAAAGCAAGCATTTGTGCTGCTTTTGTCTTAAAGTCAACTGCAAAATATATTCAGGGGCCAAACTTCCCTTGCTCAGAACATTTAGTTAAAAGAATATATTGATCTGACCGAATTTCACCCAAAATGTACCGTATTTTTCGCTCTATAGGACGCACCAGCCCATAGGACGCACCGGACCATAGGAGGGAGAAAAGAGGGGGAATTTTTTTTTCTTGTTCTCCCCCTCTAAAGCAAGGTTTGTTCAAGGTGCATTCACCCAAAGCCTCTGGAGGCTTCAGCCGGCTACCATCCCCAAGCTAGAACAGTGAGACTGTCTCGATGTTCTGGCTTGGGAACAGCCTTTCTAGCCTCTGCAGAGGCTTTGCGCGCAGCCATCCCCAAGCTAGAACAGCGAGATGGAGCGCTCTGCAATGCTCCGTCTCCCTGTTCTGGCTTTGGGCTTAGCCGCGCAGCCTGCATTTGCTCTATAGGACGCACACACATTTCCCCTTAATTTTTGGAGGGGAAAAAGTGAGTCCTATAGAGCGAAAAATACGGTAGTTCACACAGAATGGTCTTTTAAAATAAGAGTTTCCTTACATACCTGTTCCATTGAAGGGCAGGCTACAATCTGGAGATCTTCTTTGCTAAATTCTTCTTTTAGTAGAGCATGCAGCTTCTGGAACACTTGCTGAATATTGTTCTGAGGAAAGGAAGAAAATATTTAAAACTTCCCTTTTTAAAAAAAATAATAATGCTTTTTATTACATTTTCCATTTTTGGTAATCACAATATCCATACATAAACCAAATATTTTTAAATAAAATATTTAAAACTTCCCTCACCCTAAGACCAGCCTTCAAAAATGGACGCATACAGAGAACGGATATCCAGTCTGGGGAAGAACTAATGAGTTAAGGTGACTTAGAAGCTTCATTTTTTTGTTACTTCTACATTCTCCCATTAGGCAGTTAAAACTCAAGGAGTCAGAGGTGTCACTGTATAAGAAAACCTACAATAGCAGCTGACAGTCTACATAAGCTCCTAAGACGAATAAAGCCCCTTATGCAGCGTTTATCTGTAAAGCCACTGCCTACGAGAAGGATGCAGGAGTGACAGAACATAATAGCAGCCTTGCTGGATGTGCCTGGCCTAATCCAGCATCTTGTTAACTAGATGCCAACAGGAAACCCACAACCAGGCCTTGAGCGATACTGTTGTTTTCCAGCAACTGGTATTCAGAGGCATGGAGTCTCTGACCCCAAAGGTAGCGTATACCCATCATGAATATCAGTCGCCGATAGGCTAATTCCCCTTGTTGGAGGCCATCATTACATTCTGGAAAGCCAAATTTCACAGTCCTGCTATGTGCTGCGTGAAGAATCAGCTTCGCTAGGTGACCCCACAGTGATACCAATTAATCTGTTCCTAAAGTCAGTTCTTAAACCAAATCCGTTCTCAAACTGAGGCGTGCTTTCCCTAACAAAGCCTCCCACTGCCGGTGCCCTTCCATCATTCAGCTTCCGTTCGTAGACCAAGGTAAAGTTCGCAAACTACTTCCGTTTTTGCAGAGTTCGTAAACCTAATAGTTCATAAACAGGACTGTTCGTAAACCGAGGTACCACTGTACTATGAAAGAGAAAGGGTGGGGGACTGCTTTCCACACCGTGAATAATTTTACACACCTTTATCATGTTCCATCCTTAACTTTCCCGTCCCTAAACCAAAAAGCCCCAAACACTGCAATTCTTCATCATACAGGAGTCGCCACAGCTCTCTGATCATTTTGATTTCCCTTTTCTGCGCCAAAACTGGCTCTACAAGCCACATATGGCTTATAGGCAGCTTCAGGAAGTAAACAAAAAGAAGATTAAGAGGACAAATTCTGTCATGAACTCAGCTGCAGGCGTTTACTCCTCACCCACAAAATCACCTTTCCTGGTCACTTGCAGACATCCCTGGCACTACAAGGGCAGCAGAGCAGAGAACTACAGGTAGACTAGAGAAGAGGAGCCAGGATGCAGCAGGAACTGTGGTGTAAGAAGTGAGGACAACCAAAGACCTGGCATTAGCTACAGGACGATCTTGCAGGCCACTCCAGAATATAGGGGACGCGGGTGGCGCTGTGGGTTAAACCACAGAACCTAGGACTTGCCGATCAGAAGGTCAGCAGTTCTAATCCCCGCAACGGGGTGAGCTCCCGTTGCTCGGTCCCTGCTCCTGCCAACCTAGCAGTTCGAAAGCACGTCAAAGTGCAAATAGATAAATAAGTATCGCTCTGGCGGGAAGGTAAACGGAGTTTCTGTGCACTGCTCTCGTTCGCCAGAAGCAGCTTAGTCATGCTGGCCACATGACCCGGAATCTGTACCCGGCTCCCTCGGCCAATAAAGCGAGATGAGCGCCACAACCTCAGAGTCGGCCACGACTGGACCTAATGGTCAGGGGTCCCTTTACCTTTACCAGAATATAGTACCATACGTTTGTCCAAGAAAAAGGTACAAACTTCCACAGAATCACCAAAGGGATGAGCTACAGAGGTTGCTTAGAGGTAAAGGTAAAGGTACCCCTGCCCATACGGGCCAGTCTTGACAGACTCTAGGGTTGTGCGCCCATCTCACTCAAGAGGCCGAGGGCCAGCGCTGTCCAGAGACACTTCCGGGTCACGTGGCCAGCGTGACATCGCTGCTCTGGCGAGCCAGAGCCGCACACGGAAACGCCGTTTACCTTCCCGCTAGTAAGCGGTCCCTATTTATCTACTTGCATCCGAAGGTGCTTTCGAACTGCTAGGTTGGCAGGCGCTGGGACCGAACAACGGGAGCGCACCCCGCCGCGGGGATTCGAACCGCCGACCTTTTGATCAGCAAGCCCTAGGCGCTGAGGCTTTTACCCACAGCGCCACCCGCGTCCCCACAGAGGTTGCTTAGTTTGAGGCAAAACAGGATCTCTTGACTAAAAACACGTTGTAACAGTTTGCAAATATGAATAAGCGACTATTAAAGTATCCATACAAGTATGTAAAGCGAAAAACCTATAAAACTCTGGTTCTCATATTAATAAAAAAAAGGAAACACTACCGAAATACTTACCCTAACAGGCTTGAACAAGATGAACTCTGTGTCTTTGTTGGATAAATACAGCGACATGCTCTGCAATGTCGAGGGCAGTTTCGTTTTGATGGTCCTGTATGTCGAAGACACCAAGTCGGCAATCTTTGCTGCGAAGCAGAATTCAAAGACGTATTAGTGGCAGAGAACTTGTCCTTTTGAAATCCAGTCAAGGTTTATTGGCTGTCTCTTATACGAAGCAAGCACCTGTCCTGCTACATGCTTGTCACAGAAACACAGAACTGCAGAGCTGGAAAGGGACCCCCAAGCCCAGCTCCCTGCAATGCATACATTTCTTTCCATACATTGCAGATATCTAAAACTGCTGTGTTAGTTTCTGTAAAAATGTGTATTTGCAAGCAACCCTAATCCTTCTGGAAATGATGGGATGAACATCAAAGCAATACATATAAATTGCATTTATATCCTGCCTTTCCTTCCTTACTAAGGTGTAAATGAGATGGCCTTCCATCCAGTAACTGACCAGACCTTAACCTTAGTTTCACAAACTGACTACCTCAGGGGTCAGCAAACTTTTTCAGCAGGGGGCCGGTCCACTGTCCCTCAGACCTTGTGGGGGGCCAGACTATATTGTGAAAAAAATAATGAATAAATTCCTATGCCCTACAAATAGCCCAGAGATGCATCTTAAATAAAAACACACATTCTACTCATGTAAAAACACGCTGATTCCTGGACCGCCTGTGGGCCAGATTTAGAAGGCCATTGGGCTTTGTTTGCCTACCTATGGACTACATCATGCACCTTCGGTTAACCAAAAGTAATTTGTTGGTGGAAAGAGAATAATGGCAGTCACAATGCAACAAAACTTACTGAGAAAGGGCCTCCTGGATTTGTAACCTAAAAAGTCACGGAGTGGGACCCATGCAGCAACTCCAAGTATATTTTATTTCAGTAGTAGCGGAGTGCCCATAAGGAACTTGTGTGTGTGTGTGTGTCCAATGATACAACTGCCATGCACACAGTGGTGGAAAGGAGATGCCTGCTACTGCACTATATTGTCATCCTTCCCACTTACCATATTGGCCCTGAATATAAGCCTCACTTTCCCTCCAAATTCCAACCATGAAAAGTTACAAGTGAGGCTTGTATTCATGACCTTACGGTATGCAGCCAGGACACACAGCACCAGGAGTGCGGCAAAGCCCGCCCCGCCCCACGCATAGTCTCCCATCCTCTCCCCCAAGGCCGGGAAGGGAGAGTGAGGAAGGGGAAAGGCTGCCAGCAACACAGGTGCGGCTTATATTCGGGCCAATACAGTACAGTGGTACCTCGGGTTACATACGCTTCAGGTTACAGACGCTTCAGGTTGCAGACTCCGCTAACCCAGAAATAGTACCTCGGGTTAAGAACTTTGCTTCAGGATGAGAACAGAAATCGTGCTCCGGCAGCACGGCAGCAGCAGGAGGCCCCATTAGCTAAAGTGGGGCTTCAGGTTAAGAACAGTTTCAGGTTAAGAACGGACCTCCGGAATGAATTACAGTGGTACCTCGCAAGATGAATGCCTCGCAAGACAAAAAAACCCGCTAGACGAAAGGGTTTTTTGTTTTTTGAGCTGCTTCGCAAGACGATTTTCCCTATGGGCTTGCTTCGCAAGACGGAAACGTCTTGCAAGTTTGTTTCCTTTTTCTTAACACCGTTAATACAGTTGCGACTTGACTTTGAGGAGCAACTCATAGCACGCGGCGTGGTAGCCTTTTTTGAGGTTTTTAAAGACTTTGGTGATTATTGAAGCTTTTCCAAAGCTTTCCCGACACCGTGCTTCGCAAGACGAAAAAAATCGCAAGACGACAAAACTCGCGGAACGAATTAATTTCGTCTTGCGAGGCACCACTGTAAGTACTTAACCCGAGGTACCACTGTATTGTGCTTTGAAGGTTAAAGGCTCTGCCTGTGGCTTCCCCAAGCACCATGTATCAGGAAACAGGGAAAGCAATATTTGCAAGTGCCCCAGAGGAAAGGTGGACAAGAGCAGCAAATGTTTGCAGAAGGATGCAAAGTTACACCGAGAGAGAGGACCCCTCCCTTGGCAAACACTCCTTTTGCCGGCAAGCTGTCTTCCTTCTGTATGCTGGGCATGGAGTGTATGGCAAAAAAAAAATATGGATTTTCTGTCCTCCATGGGACTTTTTGTTGCATGTATACGGGAGACACTTACTGTATTCTACTTATTTTCCATTCAGCTTGGATACAAGTGAAAGCGGTTAAGTGAGATTCTTAAAGATGGGTAATGGTCAACCCTTTGAATAGTTACCCCCCTGAATTAAACTTTTACAAATTAACATTTAAAGGTAAAGGTACCCCTGCCCGTACGGGCCAGTCTTGCCAGACTCTAGGGTTGTGCGCTCATCTCACTCTATAGGCCGGGAGCCAGCGCTGTCCGCAGACACTTCCGGGTCACGTGGCCAGCGTGACGAAGCTACTCTGGCGAGCCAGCGCAGCACACGGAACGCCGTTTACCTTCCCGCTGGTAAGCGGTCCCTATTTATCTACTTGCACCTGGGGTGCTTTCGAACTGCTAGGTTGGCAGGCGCTGGGACCGAGCAACGGGAGCGCACCCTGCCGCGGGATTCGAACCGCCGACCATGCGATCGGCAAGTCCTAGGCGCTGAGGTTTTTACCCACAGCACCACCCGCGTCCCTTCTAATTAACATTTAAAATATATTAAAAAGGTCCAGAATGGGGAAGTCTGCGAGCCAAATGAGCTTCATCTCGCAGAAGGCAGAAAAGTAAGGTAAGCATGTACAAAGGGCTGTGAGATTGCACCTAAAGAGATTACCTGGTTGAGCCCAAGGTTGCTGCAAAAGGCTGTATTTAGGACCGCCTTGCGTAGCCATTGCCTTCAGAGCAGAAACCTAAAGTAATGAGATGGGAAACGAACAATGCACCAAATGTCACGTCGTGCTTAGCAGTCATGTTGGTATTGTAAAGCATTTAAAGGTCTTCATATGCACCACCCCAGCAATACCTATAACAACCATATTAGATAGGCCAGAATTAGTATTCCCATATTGCATCTGGGCTGAGTTATGCAAAGGCCACCAAAGTAATTCTCAACGGAGGCTGAGATTCAAACTTAGAATCATAGAGTTGGAAGAGACCACAAGGGCCATCGAGTCCAACCCCCTGCCAAGCAGGAAACACCATCAGAGCACTCCTGACATATGGTTGTCAAGCCTCTGCTTAAAGACCTCCAAAGAAGGAGACTCCACCACACTCCTTGGCAGCAAATTCCACTGTCAAACAGCTTACTGTCAGGAAGTTCTTCCTAATGTTTAGGTGGAATCTTCTTTCTTGTAGTTTGGATCCATTGCTCCGTGTCCGCTTCTCTGGAGCAGCAGATGCTCTGGAGCAACTTGATGCTTCACAGAAAACTACTAGACTGAACCAGATCTCAGGAGCCACTTGCCAAGAAAATCTAGCTATTAGGGCTTGCAGCTATTAAAACTAAAAGAAGTGGCAATTTCACAATGCTTTTCGGTAGTTACAAAAGAGCGCCCAGGAACCCTTCCAAAGGAAGCAGGTTATAAAAGGCAACTGTTTGGGCTTTCTTTGAACGCCTCTCCCAAAGTCGTATCCAATCAGAAACTGGAAGAGAATGCAGTGAGGAAAACACAATTTTTCAAAGGCTAAATTGAGACTTGTTTCTTTATCCCCTCCTCCCCTTTAGGGCGCAAAATGAGAAAAGCTGCTGGGGTGAGATGAGCTAGCTGGCACTCTCATGAGGCTGGAGGAATTTCAATTAGGACTTTACATGTCCAGGTTATACAGGCATAGAAGTAGTAATTTAAAGGTAAAGGGAACCCTGACCATTAGGTCCAGTCGTGACCGACTCTGGGGTTGCGGCGCTCATCTCGCTTTATTGGCCGAGGGAGCAGGCGTACAGCTTCCAGGTCATGTGGCCAGCATGACTAAGCCGCTTCTGGCAAACCAGAGCAGCGCACGGGAAACGCCGTTTACCTTCCCACCAGAGCGGTACCTACTTATTTACTTGCACTTTGACGTGCTTTCGAACTGCTAGGTTGGCAGGAGCAGGGACTGAGCAACAGGAGCTCACCCCGTCGCGGGGATTTGAACCGCCAAACTTCTGATCGGCAAGTCCTAGGTTCTATGGTTTAACCCACAGCACCACCCGCGTCCCTGCCTATGGAAATAGTTAGTGTCACAGCAAAACAAGCCTTTGGTTTATCTTTATACCCCATTATCACTTACAGGGCTTTTTTTCAGCCAGAGCTCGCCAGGACTCAGTTCTGGCAGCTCTCAGGTGGGTGCCGTTGCCATTATAGTCATACCTTGGTTTTCAAACAGCTTAGTTCTTGAACGTTTTGGCTCCTGAACGGCGCAAACCGGGAAGTGAGTGTTCCATTTTGCGAACTGCTTTTGGAAGCCGAATGTCCGATGGGCTGCAGGAGCTTCCTGCAGCCAATCAGAAGCCACGCTTTTGGTTTCCAAGCATTTTGGAAGTCGAAGAGACTTCCAGGACAGATTCCATTCGACTTCTGAGGTACGACTGTATAAGAGAACAAGGGAGGTGTTTCTTGCGAGCTCTGGCACCTCTTTTTCTAGGCGTGAGCGTTGCCGAAAGGCATCTCAGTACAGATGACTCGGGACTGCTTGTGTTGATAACATATTGAATGGCATCGGGGTTGCTAAGCCCGTGGCCCTGCAGATGTTACTGAGCTATAGCTCTCATCATCCCTGAACATTGGGAGGGCCACAGGTTATTCTCCTTTCAGTCAGATATACCAATGTATTCATATAAGGCAACCTACACCCTCATGCAAATTAATTGAAACAAAGCATGTTTTCTATCTTCCTTGTAATCCTGTACTCAAAACAAACACGAAAAGTCAATTGATCATTATGGAGTCAGAAGCCTGCAGCCAACAGAAGGAATGATGCACTCGCCACAATATATTGAGGTTCTATGAAAGAGAGTTATTCCAGAGCTGGAAAAGAGGTATACTGGGATATTGCAGCAGGACCTAGCCCCCTGTCACACATCAAAAGTGGTGAAGAAATTCATGACAGAGCAGCAAAATACAGGTACTTGATTGGCCAGGGAATTCCCCAGACGTAAATCCCATTGAGAATTTGTGGGCTATATGCAAAAGTCGCCTCCATGCTGTAGGCTGAACGACTATGGAGAAGCTCATTCAGGCGCTGATTGAAGTGTTGTACAGGGATCTGAAAATCAACAGTGACTGTTCAAAACTAGTAGACTCCGTGCCAAACCGTGTTCAAATGCTGCTTAAAAATAGCGGAGGTCATATCCATTACGAATGTACGTATATGTGAGTTTTGTACAATAAACTACATTGTTTGTTTCAATTAATTTACACAAGGGTGTAGGTATGACATTACAATTCTCTAATGATTTTGGGATAGATGTTCCCTGTACAATGTCTATGTTCCTTTCTGTCAACAATCCAACCAACATAAATATACCAAACGCAGCCGTTTAAGATACCAATGGTGCTACCGTAGGATCTCGCACACCTTCGCCAGGAATTCCTCCAGAGGCTCCACAAACTGCTTGGTTTGCTGCTGAATAAACTGCTCACAGGCAAACTTCAAGTGCCGATCGACATCCTTCTTAGAGTCAATATAGTGCTCTCTGATTTCGGGAGTGCCCTGGAACACAGACACAGTAGTTTCTCCCTTTCTCAACTCTTCTGAAATGGCTACACTTCAAAAAATTAGACTTTTTTCAAATGCACCGTTAACAAATGCTCTTTACCTCCAGCAGGAACTGTATCAGCGCATTGTGGCTACTAAGCCTAAAGAAATGTGGAACGGTCATAGGGTTCAGGATTTTAAAGGCAGCATCTGTGGAAACAAAACCGCTTGCATAAAGTTCACATTATTTTAAGGAGTGTTCTGCTTCTGCCCTTATTCTCCTTGTTCTCCCTTGACCCAAGAATATGAAAACCATATAGAGTTTTCTATGAATTCTCAAAAATTATCCCATGGATCCTTCATGTGTCTAGAATGTGTACTTTAGGATAGGAAGTCTACAAATTGTAATTCCTGTGTGTTTAAAACACAAAGAGATTTATTTGAACCTGATGAATACAGATTTATGTATATTATAATTAGCAATATATTGTTGAGGACTACATTCTTAGCACATCAGCTCATCTATATATTGGTTTCACAAGAACAAAGTAGTTTGCCAATTTTGCATTATTACATAAAATCATACATTCATCTTTCGAGAAGTTTTAAACTGGCCAGTCTCTGCTTCCATTGATATTAAGGTAAGGCATTTTATATACTGTGATTTGCTACTGTTTATGTAGGAAAGCTGATTATTTTTAAAATCTTGTCAATATATTGACTCTGACACCATCTACACAGCTGAGAAGCCCCACTTGCTTTTTGGACACAGACTTACCATATTACCCAGGTCTGGTTTTTGGTGACACACTTCTGGGGGGAACGACGACTATTTACCTGTGCCCACTTTGACAAGATGGCAACAACAAGAAGGGAGTCTTTTCAGATCACAATTCCCCCAGAACCTCCATCAAGAGGTCTGAGAGCTAAAAGCAGTTGCAGAGGCTTCAAGGAAGGCAGTAGAAAAACTTTATAGAGTAAAAGTGCTCAAGGATGTTTTAAAGGTCTGATTTTGCTGTATAAACCTGCTTCAAATGTAATTTTATTTTAATTGATGAAAACTAATAAAAATTAATTGGCAAAAATAATAATTGAAACTTCCTTAAAAAATGAGACTAGCGCTTTCACTTATATTTTTACTGGAGCTAAATTTATTTGGATTTTGCTCAAAAAAAAACCCAACCCATATTATTTGTTGTCGGAATACTAGATCTTTTGCAGATCTCCTGAAGTACATTTCTGTTTCAAAATTTATCAGCTAATAAATACCCTATAATAATAATCCAGAACAAAACGGAATACAAATACGGTCTAATATAAATAGTTTGGTTATGCAAACGTCGTCTTATTTTTCTAAGCTGCGGATATATACAAAGCAAGTTTTTGTTAGCAAGTAACGAATTCTCTCAGGCTCTCTCTCTCTCTCTCTCTCTCTTAAGTGCAATTCTGTCCATGATAAACAAAAAAACCTTCCCATGGGAAATGGGTTTAATTCACGGTACAATATATGGCAGCTGGGGTCAAGTCCATGGTGTATGAGCATGTTGCCAGAATGCAACCATTTCTATCGCTTAATTCACATCTTGTCTGTCTACGGCTGCAGTGCTGTCAAAAGCTAGCAATCAAATACGAGGATGCTAGACTGTCAGCACTGGCCTCCATTCTCCACCGAAAGGGAGAAGAGAGCATCCTAACCCCCCAGACTCTGAAACTCTTATACCCACTAAAGCCAAGGCAGCACTCTGCAAATCAACTGACTGCACTAGCAGACTGGAACACTTTGGTAGCCTTCAGCCTAGCACCAAACACACCTGTTCAGCTTCCGGTGCCCTCTTTCTTAGAAGACCTCCACCCCCTTTTTCCCCACGGGGGGAAAACCTTTTCAACAGGTTCCCTCGGGTTCACTGCCCTTGACAACTCCAGCCTCCTTCCCCTAAGTCTGGGTGTAGCTGATGTCAGGAACTGGCTGGGCGAAGAGGAGTGGTGGGAGGCAATATCCAGGGAACCCCCCGCAAGGGAAACCCCAGAGGAGGAAGGCTCTGAGTCAGGGGGGTTGGTGGTGGGACGCTGAGAAGTCAGAGGGAGATCGGGAGGAAGGGCTGGACGCTGAAAGGGCAACAGGGTTTAGTGAGCAGGAAGAGCCTGTGGCAGAGAGCAGTTCAGACTAAGAGGCTGAAGCAGAGGACGGTGGTCAAGAGGCTACTGAAGAATCCAGGGAGTCTCCCTCTCCTGCTGCAACAAGCTCTTCTCCTCCCTGGTCTCCAAGAAGATGCAGAATAATGCTTTCTCATGACCAACAATACTTCACTATAACTGTATATTTGCCACTCTCATGCATTTTCAGCTTGGGGGAGGGAGAGACAGGTATACATTTCGGTTACTTACCACCTTCCATTATTATCTGGCTGGTATAAAATTTTTATTCATCTAATAAATGCTCAGAATAAAATTATATATCAGCCAGCATAGGACACCAGCAGGACATATTTACCCTTTTGCTTGTTAACTAGAAACTACTTAACACGACAGAGGTCTCATCCATGTTCAGCTGCAATAAGTAGAATTGTTAGTTATAAGAGCAAGTTTGTTCAAAGCAAGATAGTAGCATATTAGCAGACAAGCAACGTAACTGCTTCAAACTACAGAGACAGAACAGATAGAAGGTATTTCTAATCCCCATTCACTGACTCATAGGCAATAACATTTTGAGGCTTCAAGTATTCCTTCCTTTTCTTACCTCGCCTCCATTTTCCCACTTGCTTTAAAATGTATTTGCAAGAATAATACACACCTCGGCGTATTCTTTTCTTTGTATATTTTGTCCAAGTGACATTTGATAAGCACATTTGTTTTAATTATACAATGCAAATAGCTTTCGCAGCCAATTTTCTAAGTAAAAAAAAAAAGAGCTTCCTAATTTGTTCTAGGCAAGTGATTTTTGTGCATTTTAAGCTTCAATCATTAATAATAATAATAATAATAATAATTTATTATTTATACCCCGCCCATCTGGCTGGGTTTCCCCAGCCACTCTGGGCGGCTTCCAACTGAATATTAAAAACAGTACAGCATCAAACATTAAAAACTTCCCTAAAGAGGGCTGCCTTCAGATGACTTTTAAAAGTAAAATAGTTGTTTATTGCTTTGACATCTGCTGGGAGGGCGTTCCACAGGGCAGGAGCCACTACCGAGAAGGCCCTCTGCCTGGTTCCCTGTAGCTTTGCTTCTTGCAATGAGGGAACCGCCAGAAGGCCCTCGGCGCTGGATCTCAGTGTCCGGGCTGAACGATGGGGGTGGAGACGCTCCTTCAGGTATACTGGACCGAGGCCGTTTAGGGCTTTAAAGGTCAGCACCAACACTTTGAATTGTGCTCGGAAACGTACTGGGAGCCAATGCAGATCTCTCAGAACTGGTGTTATGTGGTCCCAGCGGCCACTCCCAGTCACCAGTCTAGCGGCCGCATTCTGGATTAATTGCAGTTTCCGGGTCACCTTCAAAGGTAGCCCCACGTAGAGCGCGTTGCAGTAGTCCAAGCGGGAGATAACTAGAGCATGCACCACTCTGGCAAGACAGTCTGCGGGCAGGTAGGGTCTTAGCCTGCGTACCAGGTGGAGCTGGTAAACAGCTGCCCTGGACACAGAATTAACCTGTGCCTCCATGGACAGCTGTGAGTCCAAAATGACTCCCAGGCTGCGCACCTGGTCCTTCAGGGGCACAGTTACCCCATTCAGGACCAGGGAATCCCCCACACCTGCCCGCCCCCTGTCCCCCAAAAACAGTACTTCTGTCTTGTCAGGATTCAGCCTCAATCTGTTAGCCGCCATCCATCCTCCAACAGCCTCCAGGCACTCACACAGGACCTTCACCGCCTTCACTGGTTCTGATTTAAAGGAGAGGTAGAGCTGGGTGTCATCTGCATACTGATGAACACCCAGCCCAAACCCCCTGATGATCTCTCCCAGCGGCTTCATATAGATATTAAAAAGCATGGGGGAGAGGACGGAACCCTGAGGCACCCCACAAGTGAGAGCCCAGGGGTCTGAACACTCATCCCCCACCACCACTTTCTGGACACGGCCCAGGAGAAAGGAGCGGAACCACCGTATAACAGTGCCCCCAGCTCCCAGCCCCTCTAGACGGTCCAGAAGGATGTTATGGTTGATGGTGTCAAAGGCCGCTGAGAGATCCAGCAGAACTAGGAAACAGCTCTCACCTTTGTCCCTAGCCCGCCGGAGATCATCAACCAGCGCGACCAAGGCAGTTTCAGTCCCATGGTGAGGCCTGAATCCCGATTGGAAGGGATCCAAATGGTCCGCATCCTCCAGGCGTGCTTGGAGTTGTCTGGCAACCACCCGCTCAATCACCTTGCCCAAGAATGGTAAATTTGAGACTGGGCGATAGTTGGCCAAATTGGCTAGGTCTAAAGATGTTTTTTTAAGAAGCGGTTTAATGACCGCCTCTTTCAGCGGGTCTGGGAAGGCTCCCTCATAGAGGGAAGCATTCACCACCCCGCAGAGCCCATCGCCCAGCCCTTCCCGGCTCGCTTTTATCAGCCAGGATGGGCAAGGATCCAGGAGACAGGTGGTTGGTTTCACTTGTCCAAGCAGCCTGTCCACATCCTCGGAGGTAACAGATTGGAATTGATCCCATGTAACAGGACCAGACAGAACTCTAGCACTCTCCCACCCTGGCCCTGCTCCCACGGTGGAGTCTACCTCCTTCTGAATCTGAGCGACTTTATCTGCAAAAAACTTTGCAAAAGCATTGCAGGAGATCTTGGGGTCCCTACCAGGCCCCGGTGGTGCAGGTGGTTCCGATAGATTGCGAACAAAGCAAAGCTCATCTGCAGAAGGAAATGGAATGGAAAACTCAAATTTACCAGAAATTTTATTTCTCATCAGTGGATAGAATCACAGAATTGTAGAGTTGGAAGGGACCCTGAGAGTCATCTAGTCCAACCCTCTGCAATGCAGGAATCACCCAAGGCAGATGGCAATCCATGCTCTGCTTAAAAACCTCCAAGCTAAGTTAAGAGGGTACCCAGAGTGCCACAGAATTGATGAACTGTAGATGCTGGCAGCAGAGTCCCCCTCACCTAGCTTGAGGAAAGTCCCCTTTCAACCAGCCTTTTTTAAAAAAAACAACACAGGAATGAAAGACTCTCTTTCCACCATCACTAAGTGCTGGGGAAATAAGGAAGAAGAAAAAGGTCCAAAATAGCCTGAAAGCTGAAGCTGGGAGAAACTCCACCATCTCAAGAGGTGGTTCCTCCACAAAAGAGGAGAATAGGATGCTTAATCTGCAGAAGCCCTGCCTCAAGAGAAAGGCAATGACTCACTCTGGGTACCCTCCTCCACCATCAGAGAAGAGACTGTACAGTACGAAGCTTACTAGATACTTAGCTTTTCTAAAAACCTATTTATTTCTAAAGCCTCTGGACATAGCAGGGACCACACCTGATAATCCTGCACCAAGTCTGCTGAAGCCAAAGACCCAGTTCCTCTGCTTTCAGAAGAGGTCAAGATGGCGCAGGATGCTACCAGCTCCAAAGAAGGGTTAGAACAGGAAGCTATAGCAACCAGCAGCCAGCAGCAACCCTCCCCTTATATTGGCACCTGCCTGCTGACTCTGTCCCTTGGTGGAGCACGCTAGCATAGAAAAAACATTGTGTGAATGGAAAGCAGGATATCCAGGTACCATTTTTAACAGATAAGAGGTAGGAGGATTTGAGTTTAGCTGTTTTTAAAAAGAAAACCACCAGAACTGATATGAAGGAATACTAAAGGCTTTTTGGGAACTTTCCCATCCAGCCCTCAAAAGAAAGGCTGAGCTCAAGTTAGTTCAATGCAAGAGAATGCACAGGAGCATGCAGGCGATTGCAGGTGAACATAAAACAGAGGGACAAACAACAGGCTGCATGGAAAAGCCGCTCTCGGACCTCCTGCACTTTTTCTTTTACATAAAATTAGCCATGTCTTTCTGCACCCTGAATTGCTTCAGGCCAGTAGCATTGGGAGGTTTCGAGTCTTTTCTTCCTGCACCACTTCCCTGATTGAAATCGCCACCAAAAAGATAAATTACAAACTATAAATTATAAACAGATTGAAACACTGGCAGGATTACTGTAACAACCTGCAGTTTTGTAACAGTATATATTGAAAGAAGATGAATAAATGAGCAAATTAAGTTAATTTGGATATGCAGAAGATATTAAAAACAAATTTGAAGAACAAATTTAAGAAGGGGATGGAAGTCAAGTTTCTGAAATGTCAAAATGATTGTAAAATCACTGAAATGTATAAACCTGAAAAGTATGAACGAATAAGAAAAGCAAAGAAATAGCCAACAAAAAGATAATAGCAACTAGGTAGATATAAGAAATTCGATTTATTAAGAATAAGTTTAATTATGATAAAAGTGTGCATTGGCAATAAGTAATATGAAATTGAAATATGGAATAGACGGGATGTTGGGTCTTTAGTGTTAAGACCAATATATGTTTTATTGTTTGCTAAGAAAATTATGTGTCTATGGTTATTCTTGTGTGTAATTTGGTACTTGTGTTTTTTTCCCCCTTTTTTCTTGTTGTATCAATAAAAATCTTAGATAGACAGACAGACAGACAGACAGACAGATAGATGATAGATAATAACAACTTTCGGAATGGGTTGATTTTGATCAGGGATACGGTGCAAGAGCTAAACCCCCTTCCTCCAAATGTCGCTGCCCTGATCCAATTTGAGGGGTGCCTGTGGTTGCTTTTAAAGAAAGAAAAAGATATTGGGAGACCTGGTAACGGCTCTCCGATGCAACACATAGCTTGGCCCTCAACCCCCATGGCTGGCACATCGGAGGAGGGGCAAACCCACTCGGACTGACCAGTCAGCACAATGCAGTACCTCTAGTTTTCTTAAGGTCCAGGGAAATTTCCTTAATGGTGAATTCAGTGTGGAAAGGAGCAATTTGTTCACGAAGAATCAAAAGATGTTTGATTAAGAAAAGCTGTCCGTCAACCTGGGTCTAAATTGTAACAAAAAATTAATGCAAAAAATAAAGAGAAAGGGGATAGACACTGGTCAACCGGTTGTCCACTTATTAAAAAGCAATTTCATCCCCTTTGTATCCTAGGATACCTACCTACTTCCCATTAAACCATATGCACATCTCTTACAAACACGCTCTAGAGAGGCAGCAATTCATATTTGTGCTATGCACCACTGCTTAAAAGAGGACTGAGATCGCTGCAAAAGTAGGTGGAGTCCCTAACAGCATTACGCATGTTTGGATTCTTTTGCCATTGAATTGTTCTATTTTTGAATCGACACATGCAAATTTGTAAGCACCTACATTTTAAGTCTGAAGGGACGTGGGTGGCGCCGTGGGTTAAACCACAGAGCCTAGGACTTGCCGATCAGAAGGTCGGTGGTTCGAATCCCCGTGACGGGGTGAGCTCCCATTGCTCGGTCCCTGCTCCTGCCCACCTAGCAGTTTGAAAGCACGCCAAAGTGCAAGTAGATAAATAGGTACCACTCCGGCGGGAAGGTAAACGGCGTTTCCGTGCGCTGCTCTGGTTTGCCAGAAGCGGCTTAGTCATGCTGGCCACATGACCCGGAGGCTGTACGCTGGCTCCCTCGGCCAATAAAGTGAGATGAGCGCCGCAACCCCAGAGTCGGCCACGACTGGACCTAATGGTCAGGGGTCCCTTTACCTTTACCTTTATATTTTAAGTCATTTCAGCTAATTTATACTGCTGAATGAAAAACATCACCATGCTATCAAATACGCTTTTTCATCAGCTTCCCCCCTCTTTCACAGTTACCCCGTACATATCCTTTCTTGCCAATCTCAATCACCACCAGAAACACCCCGTCTTTGTTTTTTAAAAAAGAAAAAAAATAGTCGCTGTTCTTTCCCCATTTGAATGAAATAGCGGCTAGGCTAGGCTTATGCACCGTCCCATTGGCATACAGAATTCAGATATCCTAAGGAAAAATGGAAGTACATGCACTTCAAATATTTTTTAAAATAGTCTCAAATTTGGTGCAGTGCACTCCTAGGAAAAGTTTATAGAGACCCTCTTTATATGAAAACATTGAACATTAGCAATATGAAAACCTGTATTATTACATCCCTCCAACACAAAAGAACATTACCCAACCTTGTTTTTAGAAATGGAATCTGCAGCTGTTAGCAAAGACTGTATGCAGGCAGATAAGGCCTCCTGCGATAATCCTTGGAAGACTGCCCTCTGGAGAGGAAAAAGAATGCAAATGTTCATAAAGGTCAGGCCTTTGAGTAAGGTCATCTAAAGCTGGCACCCTCAATTTGCAAATTTAAGCACTATCATCCCATGATACATTTGTATTTAACCTCAGTTCCTCAAGACACCAGATTTAGAAAAAACAATATGTACTATAGCCACAATTTATGCAATACGTGAAACATACAGTGACTCCAAGGAGGTATTGAGAACTTCAGAATTTATTACATGGGTGCATCCAGTGCTTCCCCCCCCCCCAAAAAAAAATGTTTAGGAGTACTCTCATTTTCCCACTCATATTGAAATACTGCCCCTCAATGAGGCCAAACTTTGATTCACAAAATGTTTAGGGGTGCGTGTACCCCTGCCTCCCCAAAAAGGACTGGATGCAGCCACAGAAAGAGGCATTTAACACAAATGGTGTTGTGCTCATCATTCATTCTCAAAGAATGTCACAGAATGTGTCTGATCTTGTTTGTAAACAGGGGTGTTGCAAATCTGGGTGATCTGGGAGAGCGAGCGATTTAATGCTATTTTGTCTATTCACTGCAGCCATTCTGAAAGACCTTCCAGCATTCCAAACAAGGCTGTTTTAATCGCAAGCTTCCACAACATTTCAGGTACAATGTTACTGGAAGAGTAAGCAGGTATATATTATGTCTTAAAGCAAAGCTGCATAGGCTAATTTAAAGATACTGGGCCAGGATTCAACTAACCAGGCAAGCTAGAAGAAACCAATGCAAGCGTTTTCAGTAGCGAAACAGGATTTCTGCACCTCTCCTCCCCCTGTGTGCCCACACACCTCCCACAATCTGTTCTGGAGGGCCAGGAGGATGCTCAGAACAGAGCACAGAGGAAGGATAAATGCTTGTACTGGTCAAATACTAAGAAAAGTGTGAATTCCTCCAACAGCGGCACATATGACCAAAGCCCACATATAATGACTACCGTATTTTTCGCTCTATAGGGCACACGGACCATAGGGCGCACCTAGATTTTAGGGGGGGGAATAAAGGGGGGGATTATCCCCCCCCCCAGCTCCAAAGAGCAAAGAAGCCAAGACAGCGAGCGGGATAGATCCCGCTCGCTGTCTTGGCTTTGTTTATAGCTGCAGGGCTAGGGCGGGGGAAGCCCAAGCTTCCCCCGACCCCAGAACAGTTGCCTGAAGCCCAGGGTGAGCAGTGGGAGTTGGCGCTGCGCTCCCCGGGCTTCAGGCAGCTATCCACAAGCCTTTGGAGCCCGGCGGGAGCTCCCGCCGGGCTCCGAAGGCTTGTGGATAGCTGCCTGAAGCCTGGAGAGCGAAAGGGCTCGGTGTGCACCGACCCTCTCGCTCTCCAGGCTTCAGCGAAAGCCTGCATTCGCCCCATAGGACGCACACACATTTCCCCTTCATTTTTGGAGGTGAAAAAGTGCGTCCTATAGAGCGAAAAATACGGTAGTTAACCATTGTTAAAACCAACAGGAATGAGATTGTGCATCGCCTCCACCCCAACCCCTCACTTCTGGAGCACAAATTTCAATTGTGCGTTATGATCTCTACTGGTATTGACTGCGAAGGTTATAGAGCTTCTTTTGTATAGAGTTTCTTTGGAGTTTTCTATGGGTCCTGCTTATGGGGGTGCGGGTGGCGCTGTGGGTAAAAGCCTCAGCGCCTAGGGCTTGCCGATCGAAAGGTCGGCGGTTCGAATCCCCGCGGCGGGGTGCGCTCCCGTTGTTCAGTCCCAGCGCCTGCCAACCTAGCAGTTCGAAAGCACCCCCGGGTGCAAGTAGATAAATAGGGACCGCTTACTAGCGGGAAGGTAAACGGCGTTCCGTGTGCGGCTCTGGCTCGCCAGATGCAGCTTTGTCACGCTGGCCACGTGACCCGGAAGTGTCTCCGGACAGCGCTGGCCCCCGGCCTCTTAAGTGAGATGGGCGCCCAACCCCAGAGTCTGTCAAGACTGGCCCGTACGGGCAGGGGTACCTTTACCTTTTATGGGTCCTGCTTAATCAGGATTTGAAACAAGGTCTCCAGCCGTGTAGGTAAAAGAAAGCCATCTTGGTTAGCAGCCACTGACGGCCTTATTTTCCAGGCTGGACCTAATTCTATACCTACATCAATGCATCTGTAAAGCTTGGAGAGGCACACAAGCGTCCTTCTCACAGTAGGGTACCACATCCCATGCAGATCTGCGGGTGAAATTGTAGCATGAAGTCTAGGATGGCAGGATTCCAATGGATCTGGAACACAAAGAGCACATTCAAGGCTTGCTACTACAGAACTTAATATGCAATGATAATCTTTATGGTAATCAATTACAAACATGCCCCCCCCCATTATCAAAAAGGGGTGTCTTTAGGTTGATGCATTTTTTTTTAAATATTTTTATTAAGTTTTCTTTCAAACAGTCAGAAATTTACAGAATAAAGAATAAAGAATGAAGATACAAGAAAAAAGAAATACATAAAAACCAACTTTCCAGAATATTTTTACCATTCCAACCAGACTTCCCCACATCTTCCGAACCCTGCGTTCTTTGCAATTAAAACATCAGCAATTTGTTACCTTATTTCATATCTTACTGTATCTTTCAAATACTATGTTTCTAAATTCAAAATACTGTATCCCCGTTATTTGTACCTTAAAAATAAACATAGTATAGTTATTTCATGTTGTCCACCTCGTCTTTCTTATAACTTAGTTTCCAATTCACCTATTCTAGTTGCTGAAGCAAAAGTTTCCTTTTTGCATTTGCACTTTGTATTGTAACAGTTTGCACCTGACAGCTGTGGTTGGCAGCCTTGATATCCAATACAGCATCAGAGAACATAATACAGTATCAGAAAGTATACTATCGGGAAGTGTCTCCCTTGGGTTGAGAAGAAAGGCTTCCAGTAAAACCACCAGGGGAAGAAATTTCCTCTAAGGTCCCAGACCGAGCCTGGAACATGGTAAGCCGTTTTAGGCAAGTGAAAAGCAAAATATGAAAACACAAGGGGGGGGGGAATTCAATAGTACAAAAGCACTAAAGAGAGAGAAAAGAACCATTAGAAGATTCCACCGGACTCAGAATGTCTAAATTGGATGCTGATAATTCAGACATCCAAGAATACTATTTGCCACTGACTCCTTCTTCCCTTAGGGACGCAGGTGGCGCTATGGGTTCAACCACAGAGCCTAGGACTTGCCGATCAGAAGGTTGGCGATTCGAATCCCCGCGACGAGGTGAGCTCCCGTTGCTTGGTCCTTGCTTCTGCCAACCTAGCAGTTCGAAAGCACATCAAAGTGCAAGTAGATAAATAGGTACCACTCCGGCGGGAAGGTAAACGGCGTTCCGTGCGCTGCTCTGGTTCACCAGAAGCGGCTTAGTCCTGCTGGCCACATGACCCGGAAGCTGCACGCCGGCTCCCTCGACCAATAAAGCGAGATGAGCGCCGCAACCCCAGAGTCGGTCACGACTGGACCTAATGTTCAGGGGTCCCTTTACCTTTACCTGCTTCCCTTGCTATCTTAACATGGATAGGGAGACTGTCCCAACACGAAAAGCAGGAAAGTCAGTCTCCTCAGACCTAATGCAGCAATTTTGGGCATGTGTGACAATAGATCTCCCCCTGCTTGGGTGCCAGCAATGTGAGGAGTGTTTCTGCCGAGATTTATTTATGTATTTATTTATTAACCCAGTACTGACTGAACCAGTTCAATTTTTTTTTATTCATACTTGATCCATCACACTTAAGTGAGTCAAGGGACTTAGCGTGCATGTTTTGTTGTGTTATGTAAAAAAAGGTATCCCCAGGAAGTAAAGACTGCCCCAGGACTACTGGATAATGTCTTCATGATTCCACAGCTAGGCAGAAACCAAGAAATCTATCTTGTCATGCCTCTTTGCAACCCCTTTGTAATAGGAATCATAACCAAAAAAACATTTCAGAATATAACAGCCACAAGTAATTACAACTACAGGTTCAAGAATGATATTTAAAATACCCAAAAGCTAGTCCTTGTTAAAATATAAAATACTTCATTTTATGTTTGCTTCTCTCTTGAGATCTCTCCAAATACTGAAAAGCCATAAGCAAATACAGTTGACATTATTAGCATGTTTTCACAAGTACAAATTACTTCAAATAACCACACACCATTTTTTACCACACTGTAGTTCTCTGAATCTTCCAGCTTCATATCTGAAAAAGAAGGATCTGCAGGCAACTTTCTCTCTTCATCTTTTAGACTTTGGGCAATTTGCTAGCAGGAAAAGCAAAACAAACAAAACAATTATATTATATTATATTATATTATATTATATTATATTATATTATATTATATTATATTATATTATTATTATTATTATTATTATTATTATTATTATTATTATTATATTTTTCCATCATAGAATTTCCCACTGATTTGAAAGAGAACAATGCTTAGTTCAACTCCTCAGGAGGAAAGGGGGGGGATGCTACAACTGGCACATCACGACAGTTATTGAGGTGGGGGGGACCTCTTGGAAAGTGGAGTCAGGTATCACATAGTTTCTGTTTCGACTGGAAAATCAGTCCTGCATTTCCTATAAGTTCCGCAAGGGTCTGAGTGTCTAAGAAGCCACATCATTACAGTTGGGTTTGCTTGCCAAATTAACAACCCTCCGGCAAATGAGAAAGTTCACCTTGAAATATTTTCTCCCACCTTTCATGTTTTTTATTTAGATGTGTGTCAGAAATAATAATAATAATCCACTCTGAGCCCGGCTTTGGCTGGGGAGGGCAGGATATAAATAAAATTTTATTTTATTACTATTATTATTAATCTGTTTACCAGTTAATTATTCCACCGGTGTGCCACATAGTGGTCCAGTCAATGGGTGCTCTCCATCCAATTTAGGCAGGCTATTTAGAAGAAATACCTGTTTGGGAGCTAGCCTCCCTCCCTTCCTCTCCAGAGCCAGTCACCAAGAGCAACGCCTGCCTAGCCCAAACTATCAATATTTATTTATTTCACTTATACGCCACCCTTCAACCTGATGACTCTCAAAAGTTGCTGAAACACAGTCCCAACTTTCTGTACCATTAGCAAAATTCAACAATCTCCAAAGTGCACCAGGTTTAGAAAGTCTGCCCCAAGTGAATCATAAGAGTTGGAAGGGACCCTGAGCATCTTCTAGTTTAACCCCCTGCAATGTAGGAATCTCAGCTAAAGCATCCATGACAGATGGCCATCCAACCTCTGCTTAAAAACCTCCAAAGGAGGAGAGCCCACAACCTCCCTAGAGAGACCGTTCCACTGTCAAACAGCTCTTACTGTCAGAAAGTTCTTCCTGATGCTGATGGAAAACAAGAATAATTCACCGAGCCTAAGCTGGTTGAATATTGGCAAATGAGTAAAAGGAGAGTTCCAGGGTCAGTTGTATTATCTGTCACGATCTAGTGGTCCAGACACTGGGACTTTACAGAGCACTCCTCCAATTGCACAGTGAGAGAACCTGCATTATCTGGTTTTAGGGTAACTATATGCTTTGAACCACTCTTCTGCTGAAGGCTGCTTCAATGGACACCTTTACATTTCATTCCTAATGCTTGAAGCTATTGAATAATAATAATTTATTATTTGTACCCCACCCATCTGGCTGGGTTTCCCCAGCCACTCTGGGTGGCTTCCACAAAGACCAAAAATACACTAATATGTCATTCATTAAAAACTTCCCTGAACAGGGCTGCCTTAAGATGTCTTCTGAATGTCAGGTAGTTGTTTATCTCTTTGACATCTGATGGGAGGGCGTTCCACAGGGCGGGCGCCACTACCGAGAAGGCCCTCTGCCTGGTTCCCTGTAACTTGGCTTCTCGCAATGAGGGAACTGCCAGAAAGCCCTTGGCGCTGGACCTCAGCGTCCGGGCAGAACGATGGGGGTGGAGACGCTCCTTCAGGTATACTGGGCCGAGGCCGTTTAGGGCTTTAAAGGTCAACACCAACACTTTGAATTGTGCTCGGAAACTGTAGGTCTTTCAAGACCGGTGTTATGTGGTGAAGAAAAACCAGGAAGGCCTTGTGGATCTCCTAGCCATGTTCTCTACATCTGGTTGTCCAGAACGTAGGAGCTCCCCTAATGGCATGTCTTTGGATTTCACCAGGTGGTATGAACATAAAGTCATCAAGGAGCTCTGCGGTATCAGAAAGGTCAAAGGCCCACCTAGTCCAGCATCCTATTCTTACAGTGGTCAACCAGATAGCTATGTGATGCCCCAAAGGCGGGCAAAAGCACTCTCTCCACTTGCAACTCCAGCAATGGGTCGGGAGAGCCATGAAGTAAAGGCAGTACATAGCAATTGTAGCTAGCAGCCATTGATGGATGAATTTGCCACAGCTGGGGCACAGTTTGGGAACTCCTAGCTTAGTTGAATGCAAGGGGTTTTGCCTGTTCAGAATCAGACAAACGCATGGACCCTTACCGCCATCATTTCCAACTTAGCAGGATAGGCAAGATCACCCGGGGCCGGTTTGTAGCCTATAATGTCAGTCTGAATGTAGATATGCGTTCTGTAGACCAGACGCTCTTGAACATCCTCCAACATCTGCCTAACTCCAGCAGCAAATGCAGCCAGCTGTTCCACTGTTAGAAAAAGGCACAAAATTAAAGGCATTAATTTCTCTTCATTGAACTTCACTGATTATGGCTAAAGCCTTAACAATTAGAGTTGGTCAAATCATCGCAAGAGGTGCTGAAATTTTGGGAGGTTGGATAGTTACAATGGAATGGTCTCGGTGGTATTTTTGCCCCCCAAAAATAGTATGAATGAATAAAAAATTACTGTAGTTGTTGTTAAAATTTCTATACCACTCTTCATCCGAGGATCACAGGGCAGTTTACAATATAAAAGTGCATAACATAGTAAAAGGGCAATTAACAATAACTCCCCCCACCGACACTGCATAATTATAGTTGTGAACGGGTGCACAGATGTTATAATACTGTAACACGTATTATAATAATTTCTATCCAGATTAAAATCATTGTGGATTTTCAGCTTTACAATTCACACTTTAATGTAAAGACAGTTTGATTTTGGCTGCTGCAAATCCAACCCCATCTACACAACTGCTGAAATACACTTTAAGCGAGAAACAAAAGACACAAAATAAAAACTGGTTGTCTTTCTTGGACACCAGTGATTAGGTTGTGGAATCCTGATTTCCAAAATCAGGATTCACTGGACAAAAATGTTTGGCAGCGGGAGACCCCATTAGCTAAAATGGTACCTCAGGTTAAGAACGGACCGCTGGAATGAATTAAGTTCGTAACCACTGTACCTAGTCATAAACAACATTATAATCAAATAGTTCTAGGAAAAGTGTCTGTGTGATAAAACGTGTTCACCTGAAATATAGGTACATTATCTACTTGACATCAGAAGGCAGTTTTGCTAGAAATACTGTGCACCTTGTAAACTTCAGCACATCTGAACACTTGCAGATGGTAAGCAAACAAACTTGAACTCAATGCACATAATTAACAAGGGAGAAATGAATCACATCAGCTTAGGCTACTGAAAGTCCTTGCCCATATTCGTTTTGCCATGTGGAAATTTCCTTTGCAGCAGATCCCCTGTACGCCTCCACCCATCCAAGCAAAAGTAGTTGCTTAACTTCTCCTTCTATTCCAATGCTAATATCAGCTCACATTTCAACTGTGCATGAGCGTGCTGGTTTCCAAGAGCTCACTTTACTTGATTTTGAGCACTGGACTGTTTACTTCCAACTGCATAATTTAATGGAACTTAAAGGTAAAGGTACCCCTGCCCATACGGGCCAGTCTTGCCAGACTCTAGGGTTGTGCGCCCATCTCACTCAAGAGGCCGGGGGCCAGCGCTGTCCGGAGACACTTCCGGGTCACGTGGCCAGTGTGACAAGCTGCATCTGGCGAGCCAGCGCAGCACACGGAACGCCGTTTACCTTCCCGCTGGTAAGCGATCCCTATTTATCTACTTGCACCCGGGGGTGCTTTCGAACTGCTAGGTTGGCAGGCGCTGGGACCGAATGACGGGAGCGCACCCCGCTGCGGGGATTCGAACCGCCGACCATGCGATTGGCAAGTCCTAGGCGCTGAGGTTTTACCCACAGCGCCACCCGCGTCCCTTAATGGAACTTGGCCACTGTAAAATCGGATTACAACGTTGGACGTTTCAATTTAAGAGATGAGTGTTAAGTTGAAAAGGCACTGGTGGTAAATCCTATATATTCTAAAACACATGCCATTCCAGTCTGTTAAAAAGATACATTCTAACTTTTGATCAAGCATTTGGTTTTAAAATCTTAATTTTACAGTTACCGTTGTTTTGCACGTGATCTTCAAGCATTTCATTTTTGAGAATCCCACAGAGCTCAGACAAAGTTTCTAGGTGAATTACATGGATGATCAGTGGCCGCAAGACATCATATAATGACAGGCATAACTTCTCCAAAAGTTCACTGTAAGACAGAAAAACAAATCCAGTATGGACTATAAAAGATTGTGTAAACTGACACATGCATCATGCATCTCATATGGCAGTAGAAAATGACACGCTAAACCAACATCACTTACAATCTGGGCCATGCCATGACTATCACTAATATCAGGAGAACTCGATCTTTTGCTTCACATCAAATGCTGTCAACCAGTACTACCAATTGATTAAAAAGCCATATAAGCAGCTAAAACATTTTCATTTATTGATTCATTACATTAGCTTAAGTATTGTTAAAAACTCTGGCATCAGCCTACTTGACTAATAGATTAAAATTTATATGACTGACTGATCAAGTCTGCAATTAATGTTTTGTTTTCAGATGATGTAAGCAACATCATACGAGGCAGAAAACTTGGAAAAGGCATTCCATGCTATGAGACTGAAGAGTTTTCGACACTGATCCCAATATTTCAAAAAGCAACAGAGCAGGAACACTCTTTTTTTTTAGAATAGAAGACACTCAGCCAGCTGAGCTATATTAGGAGCCAAAGAACAGAAACCCACACAAAAGTACATTCAGCAAAAACAATGCTGATGGCGAGTCAAATCCCCATACTTTGAACCAGATCCACACTTAGGCACAGAAATCAATAGGACTTGAATTGCGACTAAGTTAAGTCCCATTGATTTCTGTGGATTTCTGTGGATCTACTGACTACTGTAAGCACGACTAAGTTCAGATTCAACCCTTTATGACAGGAATAGGCAAGAGTTCGAGACATCCTTATGTGAACAGTGTCGTGCAACAAAAAGCGATGTCATGTGTGATACCCACTCCAGTTTGGGTGTTGGTTTTGTGAAGAACTCATCAAACAGCTGGTGTTCATCCTGGCACACGTGGACCATAAAAGCACAGCCACTTCGTACCTGAAATGAGAGTAAGCAAAAGGGCAGCCCGTGTGTATTTAGAAAGAAAGATGCAAATGCTATTTATATCTGTGATGGTCCAAAGCACACTTCAGGCAACGCCCCGTTTAGACTGTGCATCAGCGGGACATGTGTAAGCCCATCCTGCTTCCCGGCAGTACCATAAACGGCCTGTAATTTAAAAAGCAATCATACGGCTGTGAGAGTTTTAATAGCACAAGGATGGAAGACTGAAGAAACCCCAACTAAAGAATCATGGCAAGAAAAATTGATGGACTATGCAGAACTGGCAAAACTGACATACAAGCTACGGGACAAGGATAACTGTGACTTTAAAGATGAATGGGAACCCTTTACAAAGTATTTGAAGACGCAACAAAGCGAACTGGACTCCTTGGCCGGTTTTGCATAAACATTCACAAACTTTTTATTGATAATTATTACTTAAATAGCTTGAGGATCTATACAACTGTGTAACATGCAGAAAACAGCATTTTTAGAGAAATCAAAGACTGGAACTGAGGGAAGTCGGGGGGTGCGGGGGTTCTGTGGGGGGAGGGAGGGGAGGGAGGGAGGAAAAAAGGGGGAAAATAAGGATGATATGTTTCTAGATAATACGTTTTGTTTTAATTTGGGGGGGAAGTAATTTTTTTTTAAAGCAATCATACAATCTCTTGCAGCACCTTTGGGCAATTTTGATTTCATTAGCTTAGGAACGCTGGGAGACAGGGACAATTTTATTTTCTTTATATCAGGGTCTTCTGAAATGCAGAAATGGCTGCAAGACAGACTGATCTCCAGGAAGAAAGTGGGAAGCCCGTTGTTTGCACTGAAAGCTGGCTGGGGCGGAAATGCATTATTAAACATTTAGCAAACGCTGCTGATTTTCTAATGAATTCGAAAGGAATCCAAGGTTCAAGAAAATGCAAGTTCACACAAAGCCTCTTACCAGAGCACAATGATCTCTGCTGTTTCGGTTAGTTAATTCTGTCACAGTGCTAGTAATACTAGGCCCTAGTAAGAGCTCCCTCTGATCAAGGTAGCACTGATGGATTTCGTTTAGCAGTTGCCGGTACCTAGACAAAGAGCAGAGTTAGGAAGCATCCGCCTACACAGGAAGGTTTAATCTTAGAGCTAATTACCTATTGCTGCTTTAGGTAGTAAAAACTTATGCATTCTTATCACTGATATGACAAATTTGTGTCTGGGAGGTATCCCTTTAGACTGCGAGTGTGGTTTTCTTTAACACTATAAGACGAACTTCCCACATCTCTCTAGAGCAGGGTTTCCCAAACTTGGGTCTCCTGCTGTTTTTGGACTCCCACCATCCCTGACCACTGGGGATGATGGGAATTGTAGTCCAACAACAGCAGGAGACCCAAGTTTGGGAAACCCTGCTCTAGAGCAATGTGCCACAAGGGACAGCAGGGGTCTTATTCCTTTTATAAAAAGGTAAAGGGACCCCTGACCATTAGGTCCAGTCGTGACCGACTCTGGGGTTGCGGCGCTCATCTCGCTTTATTGGCAGAGGGAGCCGGCGTACAGCTTCATGTGGCCAGCATGACTAAGCTGCTTCTGGCGAACCAGAGCAGCTCACGGAAACACCGTTTACCTTCCCGCCGGAGCGGTACCTATTTATCTACTTGCACTTTGACATGCTTTCGAACTGCTAGGTTGGCAGGAGCAGGGACCAAGCAATGGGAGCTCACCCCGTCAGCGGGGATTCGAAACCGCTGACCTTCTAATTGGCAAGCCCTAGGCTCTGTGGTTTAACCCACAGCGCCACCCGCGTCCCTTATTCCTTTTATAGTTGCATTTTAAAAAAATACATTTCGGTAGATGAAGCTTTGTCATGTAGGTGTGAGGAAACTGACGCATACTGAAATTTCCTCTTCAATTATTAAATATACAGAAGATTGATCTACCTTTGTCCTTGGCCACCTTCTCTCTTTCTGTCCCCCAAAAGAAAAACCTACTCTAAGTAAAAAAGGAAATGGTGATTCTACTGTTACAACACATCTTATGCTGGCCCCCAACATATCAGAGGAAGACTTAATCAACTTAATATTTCAGCATCAAACTCAATATTTTCAAGCAAAAAAACACAATCCTTGCCATTGACTTAGTTTCTGCATACTTACTCTGGCATCTTCTCAGACCGCTGCTCTATCTGCTCAATAAGTGTCTAAGAAAACAAGGGGAAAAAACTGAGAGCATTCCTATGCTTCCCTACACAGCGATATTAGAAACATTCAAGTACAGTGGTACCTCTAGTTAGAAACTTAATTCGTTCCGCAGGTCCGTTCTTAACCTGAAACTGTTCTTAACTAGAGGCGTGCTTTCGCTAGCGAATGGGGCCTATTGCTGCCACTGCACCACCAGCACAGATTTCCATTCTCATCCTGGGGCAAAGTTCTCAACTCGAGGTAACTCTTCCAGGTTTGTGGAGTTTGTAACCTGAAGCGTTTGTAACCTGAGGTGTTTGTAACTCGAGGTACCACTGTAGTCAGTCTGTTGGCCGTTTTCCCTTTTCTAAAGAACTTGCAGCACACCGTGAATATGAGAGTACAGTGGTAGCTCAGGTTAAGTACTTAATTCGTTCTGGAGGTCCGTTCTTAACCTGAAACTGTTCTTAACCTGAAGCACCACTTTAGCTAAGGGGGCTTCCTGCTGCTGCCGCGCCGCCGGAGCACGATTTCTGTTCTTATCCTGAAGTAAAGATCTTAACCTGAAGCACTATTTCTGGGTTAGCGGAGTGTGTAACCTGAAGCGTATGTAACCTGAAGCATATGTAACCCGAGGTACCACTGTAATTCATACTTCTATAGGCTTCTTCCAAACCATAGGCACACACAATAGTATCCTCAAGAACTGGATCAGGGATTTGAAGAATACAAGTGAACATATGTGTAAGATATTACACTGTTACACTGTGTTTCCCTAACTTGGGTCTCCGGCTGTTTTGGGACTACAATTCCCATCATCCTTGACCACTGGTCTTGCTAGCTAGGGATGATGGGAGTTGTAGTCCAAAAACAGCTGGAGGCCCAAGTTTGGGAAACCCTGCATTATAAGTGTTTGCGCATGATTCAATAGTGTACTGTATAACAAAGAAAATTCCACAAACCCTTCACTTATGAGCCTATCTTTGAGTACCCCTTCCATCTACCATAGTTTGGGAACTTACTCTGACTTTGGGTGCAGCAGCTCTGAACTTCACATAAAATAACGTGAAGGCATTATCTGAATTTGGTACACCTGAAGGGTCCTGAAAGAAAAAAGAGAGAAAGAAATGTCATTCGCAATATGAGCTTACTAAACAATAAACTGTTACACAGTGACTGCAAAAACTCCATACACTGTAAAGGTAAAGGGACCCCTGACCATTAGGTCCAGTCGTGACCGACTCTGGGGTTGTGGCGCTCATCTCGCTTTATTGGCCAAGGGAGCTGGTGTACAGCTTCTGGGTCATATGGCCAGCATGACTAAGCCGCTTCTGGCGAACCAGAGCAGCGCACGGAAATGCCGTTTACCTTCCCGCCGGAGCAGTACCTATTTATCTACTTGCACTTCGTGCTTTCGAACTGCTAGGTAGGCAGGAGCAGGGACCGAGCAACGGGAGCTCACCCTGTCGCGGGGATTCGAACCGCCGACCTTCTGATCGGCAAGTCCTAGGGTCTGTGGTTTAACCCACAGCGCCACCCGCGTCCTTCCATACACTGTACTGCCATGCATATAACTAGATGCCACTGGGAAAGGAGGACACAGAAGTAGTAGAAAGGAGGACACAGAAGTAGTAGACTGTGCACCCAAGGAAAATATAAGTGGCATGCAGACCTCTTCAGAAAAACAGCCCTCTAGGCCAGTGTTTCCCAACCGGTGTTCCGCGGCACACCAGTGTGCCGTGAGACCTTGCCTGGTGTGCCGTGGGAGGGAGGCGGGAGAGGCTCCGAAGCGGGGCGGGGGGGCGGGAACCTGCAGCGCGGGGCGCCCTTTGGAGGACGCCCCGTGCTTCGCGCAGCTGTCCGCAAGCCTTGGGCGCCTGGGGGAACTCCCCCCCCCGCGCGCAAGGCTTGCGGGCGGCAGCCTGCAGCGCGGAGCGCGGGGCGTCCTTCGGAGGACGCCCCGTTCTTCGCGCAGCTGTCCGCAAGCCTTGCGCGCCCAGGGGAACTCCCCCCCCCCGCGTGCACGGCTTGCGGGCGGCAGCCAGCAGCGCGGAGCACGGGGCGCCCTCCGTAGGAGGCTGCGGAGGGTGGCGCGGAGCTGCCCGCGCTCCAGGGCTTCTTGCAGCTCCGCGCCACCCCCGGATCCCGGCGCGAAGCCGCGCGGGGCTGCGGAGGGTGGCACGGAGCTGCCTGCGCTCCAGGGCTTCTTGCAGCTCCGCGCCACCCCCCGGATCCCGGCGCGAAGCCGCGCGGGGCTGCCTGCGCTCCAGGGCTTCTTGCAGCTCTGCGCCACCCCCCGGATTCCGGCGCGAAGCCGCGCGGGGCTGCCTGCGCTCCAGGGCTTCTTGCAGCTCCGCGCCACCCCCCGGATCCCGGCGCGAAGCCGCGCGGGGCTGCGGAGGGTGGCACGGAGCTGCCTGCCTCCAGGGCTTCTTGCAGCTCCGCGCCACCCCCCGAATCCCGGCGTGAAGCCGCGCGGGGCTGCGGAGGGTGGCACGGAGCTGCCTGCGCTCCAGGGCTTCTTGCAGCTCCACGCCACCCCCCGGATCCCGGCGCGAAGCTGCGGAGGGTGGTGCGGAGCTGCCTGCGCTCCAGGGCTTCTTGCAGCTCCGCGCCACCCCCCGGATCCCGGCGCGAAGCCGCACGGGGCTCTGGAGGGTAGCGCAGAGCTGCCTGCATCCCGAAGCCTGGTGCGCGCTGAAGAGCGCCCCCGGGCTTCACGCACCTCTCCGCAAGCCTGGGGAGACCAGTGTGGCTCCCTAGGCTTGCGGATATCAGGCTCTTCTGGGGTCGGGGGAAGCTTGGGCTTCCCCCGCGCCTGCCCCGTGCCTGGGGAGGGGAAAAATTTTTTTTTCTTTATTCTCCCCCCAAAAAATTAGGTGCGTCTTATGGGGCGGTGCGTCCTATGGGGCGAAAAATACGGTAGTCAATATAGGCACAGAGTTAAATTTTTTAACATTTTCTAATGGTGGTGTGCCTCGAGATTTTTTTCATGAAACAAGTGTGCCTTTGCCCAAAAAAGGTTGGGAAACACTGCTCTAGGCAGCCTCCCCAGCCAGGTTTAATTTGTGAAATTCGCATCCTTCCCGTTTGGGAAATTCACATCCATTCCAGGCAGCTGTGCAGTGAATGACCTCAATGTGGAAGCCCAGTTAAAGTATTGGCATATTCCCCCTAGGCTGACCGGAGGCTGAGGTGCCTTCTCTATTGTACAATTCTCTCCTGGTCAATGAAAATACATACGAATTCTCCCTTTTGCATATCTTCTACAGTCTTGCCATCTCTCCCTAAAATAGGTTTGTTGACATTCTAATGAGTCACCCCAAACTCTTGCAGGCTGCAAGATTGCATCTTCATTGGATTCATGGAATCATAGAATCTTTAAAGAGTTGGAAGAGATCCCAAGGGTCATTTGGTCCAACCCCCTGCAATGCAGGAATCTCAGCTAAAGCATCCATGACAGATAGCCATCCAACCTCTGCTGAAGGAAGGAGACTCCACCACCTTTCATGTTCAATGGATTGTTGAGGAACAAACACATTGTTCAAGTTATTTACACACCACAGAAGTCCGTACATCATAAAAGTGTGTGTTGGATAAAGACAACTATTAAATTTGCCAAACACCCAACATGCTGTTTCAGAATGTAAAAGTACAGCGAAGAATCACAATAAGAAAGGTAAATTATTGGGAGATATTCCCAAGATATTTTAGTTCAAAAGAAACACCTACTCACTACTGGTTCTTCCAACTTACCCTTTTAATGAACTGGTTTGTGAGGTTTTGTAGTGTATTCACAGTGTATGTTTTCATGAGGTGCATAGCTCTTGAAAGACATTGTTTGGACTTTGCAAAATACACAGGATAATCCCTAAAGTTTGGCTGGAAAATAAGAAAAAACAACATTTTAAGCAAAAGCTAAGAAAAAGGGAATTGGAATGGACACAATACATCTTCATCTTTGAACTGAACAAGGTTATCTCTGTCTTGCACTAAATGCACATGTTTTAAGAATCAGGGATAACACGATTTATCCCAGGAAAAAGCAAACACTCTTGTATCAGCAGACTTGGTGTCTCAAAAGAAAAGAGATGGACTGAAAGCACACTGCCTTGAAATATGCAACGGAATGAGGAACAAACACAGGTCCTTTTAGGAAACTAACCACCAAGGCTGGCAGAGGTTTGTGCGAAGAAGTTAATAAGCCCACATTCTATACCAAGGGAATTGTATTCAGAAGTTGTGTGATCGTGCTAGGGGGATGTAAAGGAGGGGAAAGAAGAGAAGAAATGTGTGTTAATTCCTCCTCCTTCTCTTCTCTATAGCCTGTCTCATGAAAAGCTGCTCTGAATTTTGGGGGAACCTCTGTAACAGCATGGGAGACTGCATTGGGATCTACAGAGGAAGAGGAATTAGCTAAAATTGCTCCCTTCCCCCAGGAATACCTGCTGAGGCAGAGTCACTTCCATCTACAGAATGAAGTGTAGGGATTTAATCCATAAGAATTGTCATGGAAAGCATGAGGTCCCTTTTCCAGTTCTGTCACTGGATTTCCTCAGTTTAAAAACCCATGGGAAACACAATTGTGTACCACGAAGTAATGTAAACAGGGACAAAAAAAACTGAGCCCAACTTACATGCGATGAAATATATGCAATACAATCATCAAGTTTAGCCAGCATAGGGATGAAACCATCACTGTTTACTGACAATGCAGGGGAATTCAGTTTCTTGAAGAGAGAAACAACATGTGATATAAGTATCAGTAAGAAAAACAACAAAAGAAATCTGCATTCAGTACTATTCATTACAAGTCTTCCAATAATTAAAAGAACAATCAAGGAAACTAACATTCAGGACAAGTATTTCATCCAGTCATGTCCCATGCCTCAAGTGATGAACATCTGGACATTCTTCACCCCTGATATATAGGGTTAGATTCAGACTTAGAAATCAGAAATCAATGAGACTTAGGTTAGTCATGACCAGGCATAGGCAAACTCGGCCCTCCAGATGTTTTGGGATTACAATTCCCATCATCCCTGACCACTGGTCCTGTTAGCTACGGATCATGGGAGTTGTAGTCCCAAAACATCTGGAGGGCCGAGTTTGCCTATGCCTGGTCATGACTAATTTAAGTCCTATTGATTTCAGTGGGTCTACAGTGGTGCCCCGCAAGACGAATGCCTCGCAAGACGAAAAACCCGCTAGACGAAAGGGTTTTCCGTTTTTCAATGCGCTTCGCAAGACGATTTTCCCTATGGGCTTGCTTCGCAAGACGGAAACGTCTTGCGAGTCTTGCGATTTTTTCCGCTCCCCCCCCCTTTTTCTAAGCCGCTAATAGCCTTTTAGCCGCTAAACCGCTAAGCCTTTAATAGCCGCTAAGCCGCTAATAGCCTTTTAGCCGCTAAGCTGCTAAGCCTTTAATAGCCGCTAAGCCGCTAATAGCCTTTTAGCCACTAAGCCGCTAATAGCGCTAATCCGCTAATAGGGTTGCTTCGCAAGACGAAAAAACCGCTAGACGAAGAGACTCGCGGAACGGATTATTTTCGTCTTGCGAGGCACCACTGTACCATAAATATGACTAAGGCTTGTGTCGCACTTTAAACCAAACCATGGTTTAGTGTAAGCATGAGAGTCCAGTCCAACTGCTGATGAGCTAAGCCATGGTTTGGCTTTGAATTATTGTCCGAACCAGAGCTTATTGTTTGTCTCTTCCTTGGTTACAGCTTGTGGTTCGTCTGCAGTGAGACAAATCATGAGCTCAGGTTGGGGTGATGTTTTTCCCCCCAAGTGAAAAGAACACTCCATTGCTGTCTGTCTATTCTCCACTGGTTAGCCAGAAGTCGGATGACCAAATGAGGAGCAAAATGACTGCACACTTGCACATTCAAGCTAAGGTACGGGTTGGTGTAAAGTTATTCCAAGATGCAACCCATAATATTTTCCTCTTAAAACATCCTCAGAATATGTTTCTTCTCATCAGCCCATGGAACATAAATGCATTTTAAAATTATTTTGCTCAAATATCACCCAGGATGCTCTATTTTAACACTCTCAAGCTGCAGCAACCAAAAGTTCAATGAACATGGCAAACAGTGCCCAGAGTTGGGAACCTTACCTAGTTCCTTACTATTTATTCTCATCAATATCTGCTTACTTACTGTAAATTGGTTTAAAATGCTTTAAGTAAGCATTTTCCTATGCGGAATTTTCCGAACTTTCAATAGAATTGTCTTTCGGCATGGTCACAGCATCAAGAAACATGAATAATGGTGGTCCATTTAATAAATTGCAATAAATTTATAGCCCCGTCACATACTGATCATTCATTGCATGTAACTGTATGCATATTTTATATTTGATTTCACCCTCATAACAAGAGACAGTGACTGGTTTAGGGTCAGCCACTGAGCTTTAATCTGAGTGGCGATCTGAACCTTGGTTTCACTTGCCCCAGTTGACACTCAACTCACTGCTATTAACTTTGGTTGCTGCATTTCCTGAAGTAATATAATTATTTGTATTTGTATTATGATTAAACAACTTTCAGTCCCATTCTATAGGTTATCATTATCAATGTTCTTATTGAAATTATTCAGTTATTTTTTAACGTCCTGGCCAAAGAATCTGCACTTGACAACAGTTGGGCCTAAGAAACATTTCTCTAGCACCCCTTGGAAATTTCCTCCTTCCTTGTTTTTGAAGACCAAACATAGACAGAGGCTTAAAACCACTTTAACAGAACAATCTTATGCATGCTCACTTAGAATAAAATTCGGTTTAATTCCATGTACACTTACTCCAGAGTTTTACTAGATTTTAACATAAGAATGATAATTACTAATCAGAGCACGCAACTCTTTAAAGAGTCTCTAGAAAGACATGACTCTTAAGTGGAAAAAGTTTTTTGGTCTTTTTGTGTGTGTTTCAAAACAATTACTTACCGTATTAATATTTTCCAGTTCATTAAAATATGACAGTTTCTGCTGGATATTTTCTGCCAGGTCCACAAGCTCTGACTTTTCAAGGAGAAATATAAATTATTTTTAGAGGCAGGTAAAAATATGGAGATACACTGTATGTCAGGAGAGGACAACCTGTGGGCTGATTATACTAAAGCAATTGCATACATTTTGTTACATTTTACTTGCATATAAAGGTCTAAGATGAACTTGGTCAATCAGCTATTTCTATTAGAATATGCTTACATCTGAAGCCATTTGCTACAATGGGCATTCATATATTTAGGTTAGAAAGAGTAAGTTGAGTTTAAAACCTGAAACTTTAAGTCCGACCTTTTTCTGGTCCAATTTAAGGCTGATATCGCCCTATTTAAAAAGTTACTCTCTGCCAGGATATACCGGTAATCCGTTCTAGAAAGGGTCCACTGCTCAGAAGAAAAGGTAAAACAAAACCCTGGCTTGTCAGGTGCTCTTCTTGCCACACATCCCTTGTTTCCTTTATAGCTGGTTATCATAGGAATTGTAAAGACTAAGAACTGTTCACTGTCGACTTCCGGGTTGGCGCCATCGCCGAATGGCGGACTCCCTCCGAGCTCCGGAGGGAGCCTGCTCGGCAGGGGCTGGGTCCTACCGCGCCGGCGACGCAGGGACCCTTAAAAACCACGGGCACGGAGCCCGTGGACATGGGTGACTCGGCTGGTACCGTTAGCGCCCTCCCGACTCGTGAAGGAGCCTTTTTAAAGGCTACGGATCGGGTGCCGGGGAGTGGCGTGGTGCTTTGAGTCCTCTGCTTTCCCTGCCGAGCGAAGCCGCATGCCATCTGGCGGAGAGCGCTGACTTCTTCCATTGAAAATTCGGACTTTTAACAACAACCCGTGAGTAATTTGGAAACCGGGTTTAAAAGGAGGAAAAAAGGAATCTTTTTTCGGATTTGGCACGAGCGGGGGGGGGATCCAAAAAGGAAGTCAGTCCCCCTCCCTACTGTAAACATTTTAAAACAAGGACTGGGTAACCAAGGTCTAGAAAGAAGCGTCTGACAAAAATTAAGAATTCCACGATGGAAAACTACAAGAACTGTGCTGGAGGAGAAGAGTGGAGGGAGAAGGAAAACGTAACCCCCCCCTGGGAACCGGGGCGATTTGTGAGAGAGCCTGGTGAAAAGAGACAGAGACTTTGACAGCTGTCAAAGTAGCTGTCAAAGTCGGAAAATTTAAAGAGGACTCTGCTATGAGGACTTTGCTAGTTAATTTCGTTACAATTAGCTACGATTTGGATACAAAATGTCAAAAACATGGAACAACATTCGGACTTTTGGATCAGAGGAAACAAAGTTACCACAATCCCCCTAGAGGGGTTTCGGGACATTACAAAGATGGTCGTAAGTGGAAAAATACTCTTGGAATTGTACAGGACTTGTTATCTCCTGGGAAAGCTGCAAAACTGAAATAGTATTTTGTCTACAGGGGTGTTTATATTAAAGGAGACAATAGAATTTTCTATTGAAGAAAGGAAGGGACTGAACGTAAGTTTTTGTTCCTGAATAACAACAACCCCTGTAGAGCTACTAAATTTCTGAATTAGAACGTTTTAGCAGCGGAACAAGACAAGAAAGTGGACTACAACATGGAAAGAACAATGGGGGGAGCCTTAAAGACCAAGGAAACTAAAGGCCCTTAGGGGCCGTTTTTGGATTGGAGATTTGAAGTTAAATACCATAAAAATAACTTTTTAAAAAAAAAAAACTGGCAAGGAACTGGGGGAAAATCTGATTATGGATCTAAGATTTCCAGGCAGACAACAGATAGACTGATGGACATGGGGAATTTAAACCGGGGAAGGGGGGGGGGAGATTTAGAATCCAAAGGCTGTGTAACTATTTGCTGAATTTTTCTTTTTATATACTTGTTATCTTTTATATCTTTATATAGTTTTTATACTTTGTTGGGGCGTCTTTATTAAAAAAAAGGGAATTCATGGAAGGAAAATGGGGTGGACCTTGGGGAGAGAATCTTTGACTTTTATTTAAGGTAATGATGATGACTGTATAAATTTAAATCTGAACATTGGGTTAAACAAATTAAACTTTAAATTGGGAGTGAGAGCTTGTAGAACCAACGTTATGAAAGGGGAATATGGTAGGGATGGGGGAGGGGGGAGTCCCAGAAAGTGGGTAATGAAAGTAAGGTTTCAAATGTATTTTATTTTTGTTTTATTTTTACTTTCTGTATTTTGGAAATTTCAATAAATATGATTTAAAAAAAAAAAAGAACTGTTCACTGTCTGCTTTTTTCCTCCTCCCTCCCCATCGTTTTTCCTCTTATGTGTCATGCCTTTTGGCTAAATGTGTTTAGCCTTTTGGCTAAAGAGCAGGATCAAAAAGCTTGCAATAAATAAATAAACAGTGTAGCTACAGATGCATAGGAAGCTGAAGTGTTTTTCTAACTAAGTATGAATTTACCTGCTCTTTCAGTAGCTGTTCACAGGCTTCATGCAGCGTCCCTGTCTTGGTGGAAACAAAGAGATATTGCTTCTGTAACGACTCCAGGTGCTCAAGAGCACTGTTGACATCACTCAAGATAGCATCGCATTGCTCTTCAAACCCAGACAAGTAAGCTCTTGTCTGCCTAGAGAAATCAGAACACAACAGTTACATATAGGCACACATTTATCCTTTGAACTGATAGAAAGATTCAGGATAACAGCACGGGGAATCTGTGTAGCTGAACCTATACTGTGCAGACAAGCTTCCGAGCGATCTGGTTAATGAGTGGCTATCTAAGCTTTCTAACCTTATGCGCAGAAACCGGTCAACATCTGACGGAAACCAACACATGGCTTATTACAATCAAGGCCTGCCTGAACATACATTACAGAACAACACCAAACTCCTTTTCAACTTCTATACTTGAAGACCGTACTTCATGGTATATAGAACAATTCAGGACAAAATACATACCGTATTTTTCCCTCTATAACACACGGATTTTTTCTCCTAAAAAGGAAGGGGAAATGTCTGTGCGTGTTATAGAGCGAATGTGTGGTCCCTGGAGCCAAAAAATCAGGCAAAAGTCAAATCGTGAGTCACGGAGAAGGGAAACCTGAAAAGAGGAAGTGGCTGCTTTCCTGCATTCTGCCTCAGGGTCTTACTGCCCACCCTTCTCTGTTTCGTTGCTGTGATTGCTGAAACGGAACAAAGAGCAGGGAAAGCCCCTCCCCTCCAGGAAAGCCCCTCCCCTCCAGGCAAGCAGAGTGTCGTTCTTTCTAATTCCTCTCTGTGCTCCGGTGCTGCTGGGGGAGAGGGAGAGAGAGTGGGGGAGGGAGAGGGAGAGGGGGGAGGGAGAGGGAGAGAGGGGGGGAGGGAGAGAGAGGGGGAGGGAGGGAGGGAGGGAGGGAGGGAGAGAGAGAGAGAGAGAGAGAGAGAGAGAGATGGCTGGCTTGGGGGGGAACTTTTGCCTTTCTTTCCTCCCACCCGTTAAATCCCTCTCCAGCATTCTTAGCCAGCTGCTTCTCTGCACACCCCTCTCATGTCCCTTCTTTGTTTTTCCTTCGCTCCCCACTTAAAATGTGGTTACAAAGCATAGATCAACATGGATCCTCAGGATCTTTGCATTGGGTCACCCCAAATTCACCATCAGATCACATAGCATGTCCATGGCTACAGCCTGCCCCCCCAAAATCACACACCCATTGTTGCCTGGGGCTGCAATGGTGCAAAAATGTGGTTACAAAGCATGGATCCACAGGGATTCTCAGGATCTTTGCATTGGGTCACCCCAAATTCACCATCAGATCACATAGCATGTCCATGGCTACAGCCTGCACCCAAAAAATCACGCACCCACTGTTGCCTGGGGCTGCAATGGTGCAAAACCGTGGTTACAAAGCATGGATCCACAGGAATTCTCAGGATTTTTGCATTGGGTCACCCCAAATTCACCATCAGATCACATGTCTGTGGCCACAGCATGAAGCACAAAAATGATACATCCACTGTTTCATTCAGAATGTTTTTTCCCTTGTTTTCCTCCTCTAAAAACGATGTGCGTGTTATGGTCAGGTGCGTGTTATAGAGCGAAAAATACGGTTTGGGTATTGCTCTGGAGAGCCTCGAAGTATGTGATGAAAACCACATACTGCAAACAATCAAGCAACGGCGTTATGACCACGAAAAACAGCGTTTGTCTCCTCACATTCTGAGACCCTGTTCTCCGGAGGCCCTAGGCATAACTACTTCTTACGGATTTTGTGCCAATTACCTAAAAGACCTACTACTTCCTTCCCAACGAAGAGCTTTTATGCTTTCCCCTTCGCAGTGGCCAAAGGTAAAGGGACCCCTGACCATTAGGTGCAGTCATGACCGACTCTGGGGTTGCGGCGCTCATCATGCTTTATTGGCCAAGGGAGCCGGCGTACAGCTTCCAGGTCATGTGGCCAGCATGACTAAGACGCTTCTGGCGAACCAGAGCAGCGCACGGAATCGCCGTTTACCTTCCCGCCAGAGTGGTACCTATTTATCTACTTGCACTTTGACATGCTTTTGAACTGCTAGGTTGGCAGAAGCAGGGACCGAGCAACGGGAGCTCACCCCATCACGGGGATTCGAACCACCGACCTTCTGATCGGCAAGTCCTAGGCTCTGTGGTTTAACCCACAGCGCCACCCGCATCCCGTGACCATAGGTAGATACTCACAAATTCCTTATCAAGTCCGCCTGTGTGCCTGCAATCACAGAGTACCAGATTCACTGGACCATATTCTTTTGGACTGCCCTTTGCAAAGCAAACTCCGCAAACAGATGCTGAGCAAGAAGTTAGACCTGTGACCCACACGGCTCTGACAGAAAGCCAAACGAGGTTCCTCCTAGCGGATAGGGACAAGGACGTTACTGCCTCAGTGGCAGTAATTTCCATTTTACCCGGAAGGCTTCTTAATGAATCATCCCTCTAGGAAATAGACAGGGTGAAGCAGAACAACCAAGTGCCTTATGACCCTCGACAGCCTCGCTCCTGTCCCTTTTAAATTTATCCCACTGATTTGAAATGTCTTAACTTGTAATGCCAATAAAGGTATTTGCATTGCATTGTATTGTATTGAGTGGAACGGGAGGAGGATGAAAACAAAGGCATAGCACACATCAAAAGCACACAAGCACAGCAGGACATTCTCATAGGATGTTTGGCAAGTTGCCATTCTTGGATGCTATGCCGTGATATTCACAATTCAACCAGTGGGGTGGGGAGGCATATATACCTGTATTTAGCCCCTTCATCTTGATCCATCTGCGTATGGAGTTGATCAAACCATGAGAAGAACTAGAGCAAAGAAAGAAAGAGATTACTCAGGATGTTCTGGGAGAACGACATCAATGGCATTTGGGCTGATGAAATGGGCTTATTAGGAAATATAATCCAGTGTATTGTAACAATAGCACTGGTGGTAGAGAGAGGAGTCACTGGGTGATTCCTGGTGTGGGGGCTGCCCCTGTCCATGCTTCCTAACTGGACGGCAGAATTCAGAAGGTCTACTCCTAGTGTAAAAAAGTCCCTCCCAATTCTGTGATTCATTCCTTTGCAATTACACAGAGGGGGAAAAAAACCTAATGAAATGTTCTATTTAAAAAATAAAATAAAAGCAACTCTCGGACAAAAAAGGAGGTCCGCAGTGTTCCCATCACCAGCCACTCTCACCCAGCCCACTTCTCCTTTAGAATCTGACAACCTGTACAATGTCCCTGCCCTCTTCACCAAGTTAAGCATTATGGTCCAGCTTCTCTTCCAAGTACAGGCACCTCTGAATAGGGAGAGGGACACAGACAGGCCTCAGAGAAGGAAGAATAAAGCAGACATGCACAAGCATCTAAAGACAAATGCCCAGCCAGAATTTTTGCCTATGTATTAAATAACATCACATTTAACACCTTACGTTTTGCATTTGGAATAGGAGAAGGCTTGATTTTTATGTTATGTTTCACCTGCTGTGCTGTTTCGATTCTTTCATTTTCCATACGCAACATGGAAAACCCTTTCAAGAGGATGTCCTCTGTGGATTCTGGCACTGTTGCTGTCAATGTTACGGTTAATGATTGTTGACCAAGACTGCTGAAATCTTCAATAGGAAGCTAGACACAAATAAAAAATAAAAATGAATGAGTTGAATGCCTTAAACTGTTTTTTTAAAAAAAACTAGTTTCTTCATTACTTACTTCCCCCCATTGAATGTTATAACACACAGTATCATTCATTCAAAACCAGATCAGAATGCTTTTATGTCAAAATTGTTCATTTAAACAGAAACAAATGCAACAGATAGCTTTTATTCCTTTTTCGTTTCTTTACAACCAGATGCATCTGGAGTTCTGTAGCTCTGTTGTACTCCACTGGAAGTTCCACTGGAACGCCAAAGCTGCAGTTTAACTTATTGATCTGTAAGCTAATATAATATACTCTGTTGTTGTTGTTTAGTTGTTTAGTCGTGTACGACTCTTCGTGACCCCATGGACCAAAGCACGCCAGGCACTCCTGTCTTCCACTGCCTCCTGCAGTTAGGGGTATACTCTGTACTGGTGTCCAAAATCACAAACAGCTGGTGGTAGAGAGAGGAGTCACTGGGCCATTCCTGGTGTGGGGGCCACCCCTATCCATGCTTCCTAACTGGACGGCATAGAAACATGGGACGGTCAGAATTCCACTTGGAAGAGGACACTCCTGCCAACATTTCTGCAGGATGCACTTAGTACAGATTTATGAATGAGCACCCCAACTGAGGGACGCGGGTGGCGCTGTGGTCTAAACCACAAAGCCTAGGCCTAGGGCTTGCCAATCAGAAGGTCGGCGGTTCGAATCCCCACAACGGAGTGAGCTCCCGTCGCTCAGTCCCTGCTCCTTGCCAACCTAACAGTTTGAAAGCATGTCAAAGTACAAGTAGATAAATAGGTACCACTCCTGCAGGAAGGTAAACAGTGTTTCCGTGTGCTGCTCTGGTTCGCCAGAAGTGGCTTAGTCATGCTGGCCACATGACCCGGAAGCTGTACACCGGCTCCCTTGGCCAGTAAAGCGAGATGAGCACCGCAACCCCAGAGTCGTCCTGCGACTGGACCTAACGGTCAGGGATCCCTTTACCTTTTACCCCAATTGAGCAGGCAATGTCCTGTACTGTAACAACTACCACAACCAACATCAAGTGTGCAAACAATTCTAAATCCAGAGTTATGATTAAAGCATTCTTTGAAATGTGGGCCATTTTTTAATAGAGGTGTTCACCATCTCTATGCACAGCCCGAATTGTAAGGTGATGAGGAGTGAGTCAGGTGAGGTTTTCACATACCTGAATCAGATTGTGCCATTAATGGGATGTTGAGTCATAACTCCCTAAACTCCAGAGCTGTTCTACAGACTTGGGTGCTGCAAAATGCTGCATTTTGCCAGTTAAAATAAAGTGATTGCTGCTTTTTAAGAAAAAAAGCAAAACCCAGCTTAGGGACCTTTACCTGGGAACACATGGAGTAAATGTTTTTGAGATCAGGCTGCAAATCAATTAATATGGAAGATAGGCAGCTCTGACTGAAAGCTGTTGGAGCCCCTTACACTAACATGTCACAAAGACATACAAGCCATCACGAATATCATCTCTGTTGCTGCACATCTAGTCACCAAACTCTGCCACTTTATTCTCACAATTGTGAATAACATGCACCTTCAGATCAATGACACTGACATGGGGACTTGCATGGCTCCACTATATGCCAAGCATTTCCACGATTGACTTGGAGCAATGCTTTCTCAGCTGCTGTCCCCAAAAAACCTCTCCTCTGCCCTTGATACACTGATGGCATCTTTGACATCAAGAAGCCACAGACAAGAGGCAGTAGAGAAGCTCTACCAGGACTTTAACAACTGACACACTCCACCAGTGCTGGATTTACGTACGTAAGATAAAAAACAAATAAAATAAAACCTACATACTGCAACAGTGGCAAATGGCCTTAGATACCTGTTAGGTCCATAAATTACCATATAGCATATATTCAACTCAAAAAACAGCAACAATTTGTTGTTGACAAAGGACAGCTGGACATATAAAGGGCCCCATTACCTTCAGTAGCTTAGGGCCTCATCAAACCGAAATCCAGCCCTGCACTCCACCCCACTGATCTGAATTTAGAGCAGTCCACAAAGCAAGTATCCTCGTCTGGACCCTACTATGCAACTACATAATGAACATAGAAGCACCACTTAATGTTGGAAAACTAGGGGCTGCTACGCGCTACCAACTTCCACCCAGAACACATCGCAAAAACCACTGCCTACAACCAAGGTAAAGGTAAAGGTACCCCTGCCCGTACGGGCCAGTCTTGACAGACTCTAGGGTTGTGCGCTCATCTCACTCTAGAGGCTGGGAGCCAGCGCTGTCCGCAGACACTTCCGGGTCACGTGGCCAGCGTGACAAGCTGCATCTGGCAAGCCAGCGCAGCACACGGAACGCCATTTACCTTCCCGCTGGTAAGCGGCCCCTATTTATCTACTTGCACCCGGAGGTGCTTTCGAACTGCTAGGTTGGCAGGAGCAGGGACCGAACGACGGGAGCGCACCCCACCGCGGGGATTCGAACCGCCGACCATGCGATCGGCAAGTCCTAGGCGCTGAGGTTTTACCCACAGCGCCACCCGCGTCCCATGTCTACAACCAAACCTTGAGGTAAAACAGGATCTGTTCTGATCTGTCAGACAGAGACTCCCTATTAAAGTATTTACACCAGGCATTTCTACCAAACACAGCCAATGAATTGAGAAAGCAGATCAAAAAGGCCAGACTGATACCCAGGAATAATCTGCTACAGGTCCAGAAAAGAAAGTGACAGATCATTACTTGCTGGCTACCTGCATCTCCTAGTTAAAACCACTCCAGCATATCATCAAGGACCTACATATCCAGGACAGTGAAATGTCCCTCTCAAAGGCCTTGGGTGGTAGGCCTGCTCTTGCTAACAGACAGCCTAGGCAGTTAACTAAAACCACTTATCACCAGCAACAACAGCAAACACCACATCTACTCTGATAACATTATTAAAAAGGTAAAGGGACCCCTGACCATTAGGTCCAGTCACGGACGACTCTGGAGTTGCGGCGCTCATCTCGCTTTATTGGCCGAGGGAGCTGGCGTACAGCTTCCGGGTCATGTGGCCAGCATGACCAAGCCGCTTCTGGCGAACCAGAGCAGCACACGGAAACACCGTTTACCTTCCCGCTGGAGCGGTACTTATTTATCTACTTGCACTTTGACGTGCTTTTGAACTACTAGGTTGGCATGAGCTGGGGCAGAGAAACGGGAGCTCACCCCGTCGCGGGGATTCGTACCGTCAAATTTCTGATAGGCAAGTCCTAGGCTCTGTGGTTCAACCCACAGCGCCACCCGCGTCCCGATAACACTATTACAGAACTAATAAAGTCAGCCACAACATCAGCGTTTCACGCATTTGCATGTCTCCCAATGCAACAAATACGATCATATGTCAGTAATGCTCTTTTGCATTACTAGGACAAACAGACTAGTCTCTGCACACAGAAGAATCAATGGGCACGAACTGAAAGCAGGAGAGCTTTTCAATCTATCATGGCATTTTGGTCCAAATAGAGGTAAGGTTTGCTGTTCCACTCCTCATGCTAATTCACTAAGCAATAATGAGGATGGTTCTACATGGACCTCACTCCAGGTATCTGATGAAGTGGTCTAATCCACAAAAGCGTATGACGTAATAAATTTTGTAAGACTTCTAGGTACCCAAGACTTTAGTTCTTTCTACCTTGCTTACACTGTAAATCACTTGGAGACAGAAGTATGTGACTGGAAAAATGCTGTAACCCACTCTAGGCTCCTGGGAAACAATGGACTATAAAGTAAACAAGCGACACGACACAACCATCCCTACAACCTTCCTATCTGTAATATTTGCAACCATAACTACCTTCAAGGAGCTCATGGTGGTGTATATGAATTTGAACCATTTTTATTCTCACAACAACTTTGTGAGGTGGGTTAGGTTGAGAGAGTATTACTTGCTCAGTACACAAAACAATACGGGACGCGGGTGGCGCTGTGGGTTAAACCACAGAGCCTTGGACTTGCCTATCAGAAGGTTGGCGGTTCGAATCCCCGCGACGGGGTGAGCTCCCGTTGCTCGGTCCCTGCTCCTGCCAACCTAGCAGTTCAAAAGCAAGTAGGTAAATAGGTACCACTCCAGCGGGAAGGTAAACGGCGTTTCCGTGTGCTGCTCTGGTTCACCAGAAGCGGCTTAGTCATGCTGGCCACATGATCCGGAAGCTATACGCCGGCTCCCTCGGCCAATAAAGCGAGATGAGCGCCACAACCCCAGAGTCGGTCACGACTGGACCTAATGGTCAGGGGTCCCTTTACCTTACACAAAACAATACTCAAATTCCTTTTGCTTTTTAGAATAAGTGGCACCTGAATTCAGAGCAGAAAAGTAGCAGAAGCAAGAGAAGAGGCTAACCTTTTCTCCACCAGCAGTTTTCCCTGCTCCACGTTGCCGGATGTATGCATCTGAGGGCAGGTCCTTTTTTTTTTTTGGCAGAGTGCCCACACCTCACTATTTTTCTATATACTTCTAAACACAGATAAATGAATACCAGCCCTGCAGGGCTTACAAAGATGTTTTTCTATCAAACTCCTCTGTTCAAAATTCCAAAAATTTGAGAGGGGGCGTGAGAGAGAGAATGAATTTTAATTCTATTCATATTTAATTGTTTTTAATTATTGAGTCCCCTCCTCCAATGCTTTTTGCTATTCTTTAGCTATTTCTTATTTTATTATTGAGTCCCTCTCAGGCTCATCACATCTCACAGGCCCACCAGAATAAACGAGTGAGGACCGGATCTTGCAATATGAGCTGATTGGACCCTCTTCAAAGAACTCTCCCTAACTGGTATTGGGCTTAGCATTTATTCTCAGGACACCAAAGAATAGCAATTGGCTGGGGAATTAACAAGAGAGGTCAGAGCAGCAAAAGACAAGAACCATCCCTATAATGCATGGCAAATGTACTGGATACATAAACTCTTCAGACTGTGGCAGGAATCCAGCTATAGCAGCTGTAGAAGGATGAGAAAACAGGGGGTGAAGAAGGAGCTATGGGTGGAGGGCAGGGTGGATAAAAATCAATGATTTTTATAGATTTAAATTGGATTTTTAAAATAAAATGCTTTGGAGGAAAAATCTTTCTAAAGATAGTTTTCTATTTAAGTTGCATTATAGTCCAAAGGCTATTCATCAGGAAATGAGGATTTGTTTTAAGTTTTTCATGTGTGCTAAAACTCAGTCTAAGTTTTTTGTTTTTGTTTAACCGCATCAGTTAACAAACATGGATACACATGCTATAATGTTATTGTTTTAGGTAAATAAATTATTTAAATTGTTATTAAGGAAATAACATCTTTCCAATAAAGTACAGCAGAAAAGTTGTCCAAATATAGTTAACTTATTAAACCTCACAATAATTTCATAATTAACTAGGTATTTCTAATACTATGATCAAATGAGTAATTTTTGAAATAACTGTAAAAACAACTCTGAAAATTTATCATTCAAAAAATGAAACCTACATCTGGTTGTAAATATTAAGATCATACCAGCAAGAATGAGTCTTTCTGTAAAAAATATACGTATATGATTTAAATCAAGTCTTACTGACTAGTGATTTAAATTGTGATTTAAATCAAATCCACCCTGGTGGAGAGAGACCCTCCCACCCTCTGGACCCCCTGGGAAACTCAACAAACCTGCTGCACCTGGAAGTGTGTGTGGAGAGTGCAACTGAATGGGACACAGCTGCGAGCAGCCTGAGGAAGGACCAGCCACCTTGGGCCTGCCCATAAAAAGTAAGGCTAGAGTGAGAGGAACTTTTTTCATTGTAAGATTTCTGTAGGTGAGCTGGAGTGTGTGTCAGAAGGAAAGTGAAGTGGTGTTGATTTATAGATATAAGTAACTTTGTATTAATGTAACATTACATGTACAGTGGACGCTCGGGTCGCAAACATGATCCGTGCAGGATGCACGTTCGCAACCTGCAGCTGCGCATCTGCACAACTGCCAAAACCTGGAAGTAACCCGTTCTGGTACTTCCAGGTTTCGGTGGTCCATAACCCAAAAAAATGCAACCTGAAGCATCTGTAACCTGATGTATGACTGTAACGTAATGTTGTTGCTTCAGTTTTCAGTTTACTGCTTGGAGACATTTGTAATACATTAAGTAGTATAAAAATTAAATAATCCATCAATCAACCAACACTTATGGTGAAATGTGGCACAACCTTTCAGAGTAACCAAATAAAACCTTATTACACAGCATGACAGAAATCTGTGGTCTTATCAAGACAAGTTGTTTGCTGTTTGCTGTGGTTAACAACCATTTTCACAAAATGCATATCTGAATTGGAGAGGGTTGAACTAGATGACCCTTCCAACTCTATAATTCTATGATTCTGATTCTATGAAAATGCACCTTCTGTACCATGAAAATATATTATTATTACCACTATTAAAATGAACTCTCCCTAATTTAGGTGCCAGACAAAAACATTCCTCTTCAGCCAGGCTTCTGGCTGATTCATATCTTTTATTCTTTAAAATGTGCTTGTTGGAGCAACACCAGATTTAGGGAGGTGCAGGCAGTTCCCCCGCACAGGGTGCAAGATCGAGAAGATCCATAACTGATAAGATCCATTTGGGGTTGCTGATTTTGGGCCTCACATGGGGTGCCACATTACCAAATATTACCCAAGGCTACCCTTCATCTTCCGATGAAGGGCAGCATACCAATTTAATAAATATTATTAGTAATAATGATGTTAGCAGACAGAGTTGCCCCCCCCCTTTCACCACCTTGTGGCGGCATGTGTGTACATGTGTAGGGTTGCTGCCTTTGGTTGGGCAAAATGCAGGAAGGTAAAAGGTAATTTGTCCCTTCGGGCAAAATACAGGCCAGGTGTGTTGAGGGGGAGGGGAAATGGGGGGGCTTAAAAACTGCTTTGCAGCAGCTTGCTGATTTAACATATAGAATAAGGGCACAAGAAGAACATACGTTTTAAAAAGATTGGAAAATGTTTATTGAATATATGGAGGTAAATTGTTTACACTTTAAAAGGTTGGTAGCATTAAGATAAATTCAACAGGGTAAATAAGTTTTGATGGATGTAAACAATGGAATACTGAATGGTTTAGCTTATGTAAAATATGCATGGATTTATGATATGCAGGTGATATGCATGGATTTATGATATGATGCAGGTGGCGCTGTGGGTTAAAGCCTCAGCACCTAGGACTTGCCGATCGAAAGGTCGGCAGTTCGAATCCCTGCGGCGGGGTGCGCTCCTGTCGTTCGGTCCCAGCGCCTGCCAACCTAGCAGTTCGAAAGCACCTTCGGGTGCAAGTAGATAAATAGGGACCGCTTTCTAGCGGGAAGGTAAACGGTGTTCCGTGTGCTGCGCTGGCTTGCCAGAGCAGCGATGTCATGCTGGCCACGTGACCCGGAAGTGTCTGCGGACAGCACTGGCTCCCGGCCTATAGAGTGAGATGAGCGCACAACCCTAGAGTCTGGCAAGACTGGCCCGTATGGGCAGGGGTACCTTTACCTTTTTTATGATATGCAAACTGAACCACGGAGAAGGGAAGTAATTGGTTTAAGGTTGTTTAGATGACTATTCTAAAAATAAAAATCACACCCACCCATATATATATATATATATATATATATATGAATAGTCATCTAAACAACCTTTAATCAATTACTTCCCTTCTTTTCTCTCAGTGGTTCAGGTTGCATATCATAAATCCCTGCAGAGAGAGAGAGAGAGCGCAGTTTCTGCACCGGGCAAAACAAATTTATGTAGAAGGTAAGATAGATAGCTTATGTAAAATATGCAGGGATTTATGAAATGCAAACTGAACCATGGAGAGAGAAGGGATACACACACACACACACACACACACACACATATACACAGAGTGTGTATACATACATATACAGAGTATGTGTGTGTGTATATATATTGCTTTGCCCGGTACAATATATATATATATATTGCTTTGCCCGGTACAGAAACGACTTCAAAGCAATCCATTGCAATGGTCAAACCGAAGCTTATCTTGAGTTTAAACATTACAACAACCATGTTGGAAGGAAAAATCCTCCCCACCTGCTGAATTTCTGCCTGCCAGGAGGTGGAGGAGGAATAAACGTGAAAAACCAGAAAAAGGAGGAGGAGGAAAGAGAGAGAGAGAGGGCAACACACTCCCCACCTCTTCCTCAGAGAGAGCTTTCCCCTCCGCGGAGGTTCGTGGCCCCACTGAGGCCCCACGGAAGCCCCACATCTCCCCCTTCCCGGCCCAGCCAACCCCGCCAGGGACCCTCCGCTCACCTCAGCCGGGGCGGGCAGGCAAGGCAGCGCTTCCCTCAGCTCCAGCACCGACTCCTGCTGCCGCTCGGTCAGGGGCGCCAGGGGCCTCAGGGGCCTCTCCCACAGGCTCAGCCGCTCCCGGGCTTCGCTGGGCAGCTCGGCCGCCATCCCGCCCCCTCCTTCTCCCTTTCTCCCCTCGCCCGGAACTATAACGCTGCCCGGAATCGTTTCCGAGGAGGCGAGGGACGCTGCGCAGCGGCGGACGCGTCACTTCCGCCTCCGGCAGGAAGCGGCTGGCAAAGCCTAGGCCTCCTAGACTCAAGAGAAATGTAGAGTGAACTCGCCGGCCGGCTTCCGGGGTCCGTAGAAAGAAACGCACGAAACGCATGGCGCTTCAGTTACCCAGCTTGCAAAATATTTAAATTAAAGCGGGTTTCTGGGGTTAAAATGGGTTTAAGAGGGTTTCTGGGGATAACAGGGCGTTGCTTTTCTCTCTCTCTCTCTCTCTCTCTCCCAGAGCAAAAGTGGGGAATTGCCCGTTTTATTTTGATTATTTCGCGCTTTTATATTGTGTTTTTATCCTGAGACCTGCAAGTATAGGGTAATGTAATAATAAAAAGCAGAGACATCACCTTGCCAACAAAGGTCCGTATAGTTAAAGCGATGGTTTTCCCAGTAGTGATGTATGGAAGTGAGAGCTGGACCATAAAGAAGGCTGATCGCCAAAGAATGGATGCTTTTGAATTCTGGTGCTGGAGGAGACTCTTGAGAGTCCCATGGGCTGCAAGAAGATCAAACGTATCCATTCTGAAGGAAATCAGCCCTGAGTGCTCACTGGAAGGACAGATCCTGAAGCTGAGGCTCCAATACTTTGGCCACCTCATGAGAAGACAAGACTCCCTGGAAAAGACCCTGATGTTGGGAAAGATGGAGGGCACAAGGAGAAGGGGGCGACAGAGGACGAGATGGTTGGGCAGTGTTCTCAAAGCTACCAACATGAGTTTGACCAAACTGCGGGAGGCAGTGGAAGACAGAAGTGCCTGGCGTGCTCTGGTCCAGGGGGTCACGAAGAGTCGGACACGACTAAACGACTCAACAACAACAAATAATAATAATATTTTTTAAAAAAAACCAACCAAAATTGTAAGGTGCCTCTGACTGGGTGCCAGTGTTATTAATTTCCTGACTCCTTTTTTTTTTTTTTGGCAGGGGCTGGGAGTGTTGGAGCTGGAACTGTTTCCTCAGCCTGGGTTGTGACTGAAAGGTCTTGCTGGCAACGAGAGAAAGAGAAATCAAACTCAGCATCTGCTGTCCTCTGCTGTTTCTTCAACAAGCTCTGCCTTAAGAGTGCAGATGCACTGGGTTTTTAAAATATAAATTATATAAATTATTTATTTATATGTATGTGTGCATGTATGTATGTACTTATGCTTTTCAGCTTTATACATTTCACTAATTTTACAATCATTTTAACATTTCAAAACAACTTCCTTCCCCATCTTTCTGCGGTTCCTTAAATTTATTTTTAATATCTTCTGCATAAGCAAATTAACTTAATTTGCTCATTCTTTCACCTACTTTAAATATATACTCTTCTAAAACTGCAGGTTATTACAATAATCCTGCTAATGTTCTTTTCTGTTTACAATTTATCTGTAAATATTCAATAAAACATTTCTATTCTTTTATAAAAAGTTTGTTCTCTTGATTTGTTATTCTTCTGGTAATAAGTTCAGCTGCAATGTTAAAAGCTCAAGGTTTAGCATCGTGTGAATAAACCTGGGCGAACCGTGATCACGAGTAAGAAACTGGAAACATTCACTTCTAGGTTTAAAACTAACCATGTTATCTTGTTATGCCTGTAGTTAGTTTAAACTACAGCTCATTGAACCAAACTTATGATCAAGACATAGTTTCTGTACTTGGCTTGTAGTCCTCAGTTCAGATGAAACAGCAACTATGGTTAGTTTAAGCCCCTAATTCCAATCGCCTTTCATGTAGTTTTAATGTCATGTCCAAACTGGGCTTATGAGTAGTATACATTCAAAGGGTGTGGAGATTAAGGAATCTGAAGTTTAGCAAAAAAAAATCCAAATAATAATAATAAATGCAAAGCCTTTCTGAGCCTCATCCTTGTTACCACGGTGACTGTGGAAAGTTGCATTATGGATTCCTGCAATGCATCCTGCATTGATTCTTGGGGTCCCTTCCAACTACAGTTCTATGATTCTGTGATCTTTCCTTACATGTTATTCAAACCTCTTGTAAAATTAAGGTTGTTGTAAACAAAAATCTGCCCTTTTTCCCTTATGGGGTATCCAAGAGCCCATATAGAGTCCCTACATAGGTTCCCTACTGGTAGGAGAAAATAACAGAGGCCAACCAGAGAATATTGAGAAGCAAAGCAGCTAGCAAGCTTGATCTTTATTGATCTGTTGCAACAGGGTCCTCACTCACCACACGAAGGAGGGAGGAGGAACCCAGAACAATGGCGCGCAAGGCCTTATGTGGACTTTTGAAATTGCCACCCTGTAGATCAAGACCACCCCCAGAAACATCATACATACATCACAGAAGAGGTGTAACCTAAGACCACCCCCCAGATACATCATACCTACATCACAGAAAAGGCGGTCTAAAACAGAAATTTGAATGTTATTTTTTCCTGTTTGCCAGGTTATCTGACTGCCTTTCCTGATAGTCTGTCACCCATCAAAATGCTGATTACTCAATTCCTGAGACAATGGGAAGGCTCCCTGACCCTCCCTCCCTCCTTGCAGGGAAAACATTTGGTCAGTTTGGGAATCAAAAATGGTTCCAGGTCGGTCGTCTTGTGCTGATCTATGTACGTGCTTGGTTGGTACACTTATGAACATTTAACATATAACTAAGACCTCAAAATTCCTATCGCAACATTGAAAACATTTTTAGAAGCTCATCACTGCTTTCCTGAATCCACAACAGAACTTTATTCCGGTTTATGATGCAGGAGAGAGATAATTTTACAAATGTGAACTGCCTGCTATGCACCCTAACATCTCTCCCTGCAGCTAACTCAACTTTCAAGTACTTTCGGGATTCTTCATTCCAGTCTCGGACTCCTCCATGGGGTCAAAGGAGTGGAGCTCCTCGTGCAGAAGATCCATCTGAGCAATGATCTTGCTGATCGCAACTTTGATGGCTTTTTGCTGGAGCTTCAGTTTTTTGTTCTCCTCCCAAAGCATTTTGTTCCCTCCTTGGATGGTCTGGAGGTCCTGTTTTTCTTCCAGTAGTGCATGGTTCTCTCTTAGGAGCCACAGAACGGTTTCATTCAGTTTCTGGACAACTTCAAGTGCCTCGTTCTCCTTCAATGGCAATAAGGCTTTGTTTCTTTCTTGAACTGACAAAACTCTCCTCTCCCCTTGGCTTTCCTGCACAGCTTCAGCTGCTTCGGCCGGTGCAGTCGTGTTGCTGGCTTCCTGGCCTACAATTTTACTGGTTTCCTGGGCTGGGGTAAATTCATTTGCTGACGACTGAGCAGGTTGCTTTTCCTGCAGGAATGGGGCGGGCTTCTTCTCCTCTGGGTAGACCTTCAGAGCCATATTCTTTTCCCGGAAGATCTGGAGGGCTTTCTTCTCGTCTCTAAAAACCTGAAGGGCTTTCTCCCCCATACTATCCTTGAGCCCTGCTATGATCGGAAGGGCTGCTAGAGGGTGGTTTTCTTTCTGGAGGACTTGCTGGAGACTCTCGTCATAAATAACCTGGATGCCTTTGTTCTCCATCCGAAGTGACTGCAGAGCCTTATTCTCATCCCGGAGAGCCCTGTTTTCCACTCGGAGGGCTTTGTTTTCCTCCCAAAGGGCTTTGTTTTCTTCCCAAAGGGTCCAGTCATTGTGCATCTTCTTGCCCGAGTGCTTCTGTCGGGCTTCTGTGGCGGAAGAGAGTGCTGACTGAATATAGGTTTCGTTCACCCACTTGCCGTCTATGAAGATAAAGGTGTCATCGCTCAGTTTGACCCGTGGCGGGATGTAATCCATTTTTACCATCCAGCAGCTACCGGTACAAGCATTGGTTCAAAGGAACAACTGAAGGGCTGGATTACTGCATGAAACAAAGAGAGACAAGTCAAACAATTTCCTTAGCAGTTCAGCAACAGTATTTATTCGCAAGCCGTACAAAAATCTACCACTGGCGCTTCAGAAACAACAGATGGGGAATCAAAAGACAATGCTTTCATTATTAAGATGATAAATTACATGAAATTAAGCAATGAAACACAGCTGTTTTCAAGTCAATACAGAGACCACAGCATATTCAAACTATGTTTTCACTTTCTCTTTGTGAATTCCTTGTTTGTTTGTTTGTTTCAATCCTTATTGATCTTTTGTGTCTGGCAAGTTTATAAAGTCACTTTGGGGGAGAAGGGCCTTGATATAAGCTCTCGCAAAGTTTTAAGTCAACTCTGACACTGCCTAAGCAGTTACTACTAATCAGCCTCTTCTCTTTGTGTAACTTTTCCTCCCAACATCATTGCCTGTTCATTTGAGGGCCAAACCAGCCATGCACTTAAATACACAGCTACGTATCTTGTTTGTTACAGTGTACATGTATGATGAAGCAGCTTGTTTGGGGGCTTTTCTTTGATTATTATTATTGATTTTTTAAATTAGCCCAACTTGCCACACGTCCAGGTTTTCCCGGACATTTGCTGATTCAGCAGAAATCCGCCCGGATGCCATTTTGCTGGCCGAATCCCGGACGTGTCCTGGAAGAACTGGACGTATGGCAGCCCTATCTTCAATATCTCCATATTGAAATTGAGATGGCAGAGCTAGAAGCCTTATGGAAAATATCCCTAAAGGACACCAGTTCAGGAGTCTAGGCAGCATTATTCAGACAGCTGACCTGTATGTTGAGCTTTCTTCCTGCGGGCCCTCCAGGCTGTCAGTATTTTGCAGGAGCGAAGCAAGCTCATACTGGAACGTTCGCAATTAAAAGTGGATTAAAGCACTCTGTTGGCATAGTGCAACAAACCCAATTTTTAAAAAAAATACAGAGGGGCTTTTTGTAGCTTTGTAGGAAAGTGATGGGGATGAACTGACAATAAACAGCAAGGTGTGTCAACATCCTACAAGCAAGTTTTAGAAAATTGTTACAGTTACATTGTAGTGGAGCTCTATATAAGCAGGCTGACTGAACCCTTCAGTTCAGTTCTGTCCTGGCCTATGAATAAACAAGAGCTGTTT